TCACTACGTCACCATGTGTCACCTGGTTAATTAACTTCTTTTAAAAATGATGACAACATGACATTTAGACAACAGGTACGAAAGGGAAGGCATTTATGAATTATTTTTGAATAACTGAAGGTGTCACTACGTCACCATGTGTCACCTGGTTAATTAACTTCTTTTAAAAATGATGACAACATGACATTTAGACATCACAGCAGGATTAATGCAAAAATAAATTCCAATCATACTTTATACTGCAAGACCTTCAGGTCTCGCCGCTTAGCGGCTCATTTACAGGTATTTCATCGTCAGTAAATGAATCCTCATTATCGTTTGGTTCAACCTGTTTATATAATCCTTTCATTCTTCTTTCAAACATAACACCATGTTTGTTTACCATCTATTCTTCTCTGTTTCCTATCACATTTATCCTTAATGCTCATTTGAAAGTTTTTGTCTTTCATGTCTGATGGTTTTGTAGCATAGAGCATTTTACACGTCATACCTGCACACAATTCATCATAATGTGTATTTATCCATTCATCTAAAGGATTTGTTGATAATTCATTAAATCTTGTTTGGCTTCAGTCATCGGTATGATTCGTACATTAAATGATGAAAGGTCATATTGCATAAAATACGTCAGTAAATTATCATAAAATTCCTTTGTGCATGAATCCATTAAATTCTTGAAATAATCAAATTGACCCTTGAATTTACCATTAACTCTTAAAACTACGTATCTTCTGTCTCCAACTTCAATTTTGACAGGGTAGACGTTATTAGTTACCAAAATGAAATTGGCAACATTCTGAGCAGTTCTTCTGGGTTGATTCTTTTCATTAATTCTTATTTGATTATCCGTAATAATTGATTTCAAAGCGTTGAAGTTTGCGAGTCTGTCTTCACCTACATTCTTGAGTTCATTAAGTACAAGAAACATTTTATTCTCAACTACTGAATTGAAATTACCCGTTAGCTCACTTATTTCAGCAATGTTTTTACATGAATAACCGGCGAGAAGTTCAGAAATAATGTCTGTAAATCTGTTTTTACCTGTTCCCTGAAGTCCTTTCAAAATAATTGCTGTTTCATTCTTGATTCCAGGATGTTGAATCATTGATGCAATCCAGCCGAGAAGGTATTTATACACTTCATCATTATTATCACAAATGGCTTCTTTAATGAAATTCATAAACTTTTCAATTTTTGAGTAATCTGGTTTTTCGAGAACGTTGTATTTATAACACTGAAACGTTGAGAAAACATCTGGAGAATCAGATTTAAAGCAAACACCCTTAACGGTTAATGAGGATAATTGATTTAGTAGTACGTCCCATGCTGTTATGGTTTTACCTTCTTCTTTAAATAATTTAATCATTTTAAGTGACTCTTTCATGTTTGATTGAAGAACGAATGATATTTGATTCATTTTGTCGTGGATATTATAGTCCTTTTGAATGAAATATTTGTTTCCACAATCTACAAAACGGATTACACGTGATAAATCCTCAATTACTTCAGAACTGTTTTTATACTGATGATTTTCAGCCTTGCGTCTAATATCTGTTATCAAGTTTTATATCAAATGTTATTTTTGGCTTACGTAATAAAGGTAAAACGTATTCATCATAATATTCTTTTTGATATAGTTTTAGAATCTTCACTAAAACAAATGGAGAAGTCATTAAATGTGCATATCTACTACGTGCTTTTTCAAAATTACTTTTTGCATTTTCAGTTAAATTGCAGAAGTTATAAACGTTATCGTATGCTTCATTAATTAAATGATTAGGTAACGAATTAATTGCTTGAAACAGTGTGAATAATGTAACTTCTTTTTCTAAATTCATGTTTCCACCGTCATTATGTACTTCAAAATCACTGATGCCATCAACTATGCTCTGGGCAAGTTTATCGTCAATGTTTACATCTTTGTTTTCATTCATAATAGTCTTTATTTCTTCGTTCTTCTGTTCAACTCTTACCTTAATATTCAAATCATTTAATATATCATTCACTGTTCTGGTTATGGTCGAGTCGTAACTTCCACGAATGAATGAGTATGTTTTGATTGGTTCTGTTGCATTCTTGCGAACTCTTGAATCAGCCATAACTACTAAAGAACGCTTTGAATCATCCATAGAAGTCATTATGTCAATATCATAATCATTGCATGAATAACATTTAATCATTCTGTTCGAAACTGAATAGAAGAAATTAGTGTTGCAATAAATGTGAAGACCTCCTGAAGCGGTTTTAACGATAACATCTTTATCCGAAAGTTTTGATAAAATATCTTTTCTAACTGTTTCTTTAAGTTCATCATTGTACGATTTATTGATATCAACATCTATAATCGTTAAATTTGAAATTTTATTTACTAATAAAGCCATACCAGTTTTCCTTCCTCTTCCTCCATCGTGTTTGAGGTAGTTATGCAAATCAATCTTGTTTTCACCAATTCTTTCGTTGAGGGTTTTAGTTTCTGCCACAACTAATTCCTCAGCTAATGAATCAATAACTTTTTCATCAGAAACGATATAGTTGCTGTTGTTGTTTGTTGCTGTCATTTATATAGGAATAAAAAAATAAAAATAATTTTAAAACTAACTTTATTTTTGGACTGCATCAAATTTCCTGGACTGTTGTCTAAATGTCATGTTGTCATCATTTTTAAGAGAAGTTAATTAACCTGGTGACACACGGTGACGTGGTGACACCTTCAGTTATTCAAAAATAATTAATTATTGAATAACCTAAAAACCATTAACGATAAAATATATTTTTGGTCGTTTATGACAAAAATAAATGGTTCATTTACTCACAATATTTTTGTACAAAACGACCCCAAACTTTTAACTTCTTTTCTGCAGTTTCTAATGCTATCTTAGCGAGTTCATATTCTCTAAATTCTCTCTTTAAATCTTCTTGTTCCCATTGGTCTAGTTCGTATGGAGAATCTCTATAACCATAACATATCTCACGTTCATGTTCTAATTGTTTTTCGCACATTTTTCTAACTTCTTCTTCAAACAAATGTTTAGCATTCTCTACTGTATCTTCGAGTTCTTCTTCATCTAATTTCACATGAACTTTCTTGTCTATGGAGTCCATAATATCTTTGACATAAAATGCATACTTTACAGAGCACCATTCAGCAACAAAATGAACGAGGTCAGGATGTATGTAAATACCTTTGAATTCATTTATAACACCCTTAGTAAGCTCATAAAATGCTTGTTTTGAGGTCGAGCCACTTTTGGCTTGACCGTATTCGTTCATCCAAAACTCAAGAATTTCCTGCATTTTAGTACTATTGAGAAATCTGTTTAAATGGTTTAACCTTCCCGCTTCTCTTGCCATCTTTGTTGCATTAATGTAACCATCCTTGTCTCTACGTAAGACTTCAATACCATTATAAGTGCCTTTTGTGAATGTTTCGCCATTAGATTTGTTCGTGAATGTTTTTGCTTCGACTGACATTTCTGTTCTTACATACAAAATAAAAAAATAAAAATAATTTTAAAACTAACTTTATTTTTGGACTGCATCAAATTTCCTGGACTGTTGTCAAAATGTCATGTTGTCAGTAATTTTAAGAGAAGTTAATTAACCTGGTGACATGGTGACGTGGTGACACCATCAGTTCTTCAAAAATAATTCATAAATGCCTTCCTCCTTTCGTACCTGTTGTCAAAATGTCATGTTGTTCGCTCTTTTGGAGCTCAGGACTTTAAGCAGCTCTGAACCATCCGAATACAGTCATAAATGGTGGCCTATAATCTTCACCCGAACCTGTTGGATTTGTTGTAAATGTATGTGTATGATTTCCTCCTGATTCAGTTGGTCGAAAAGTCTTTTATGCTGAATTGTTATAAGATGGAGATAAAACATCATAGCCAGCTTTATAGTCTGAGTTGTATAATGGGTGGTCTCTTAATGAGTGGCTATGGTCGCCAGAAAAGTTTGTCGTTCCGGTATGAGTGTGCGCAGGTAAGTTTGCTTCAGTAATTTTCTTCGAACCTCCTGTTTGCTTTGAAGAGTTAGCACAGTATAAGAATTTGTCTACAATCTGCTGCCACGTACCAAAACCCAGAACTGTTGCGGGATTTGTTGAGTTCATTGATGTATATAAAGAACCAATGGGGTAAATCATCTCAAGAATTGTATTTAATCCATTATGAATATTGAATTTATTATATAATATTGAAACTGGGTAAGAAATTAAAATTGGTCTTGTTATCAATATTAACGTATTATTTTTGAAAATTGCTTTTCTAACATCTTGAAATTTTGTGATTTCAGACCAGTTTCTTCCATCACTACTGATATTTACTAAATCACCACATCCAAAAGCAATGAAATACCCATCAATATAAAATAAATTAGTAAATCTATAATTTCGAGTAAGTTTTGGAGTGAATGAATAAACCAATTCCCAATTTGATAAATCCTGTGATAAATAAATATGTCTGTTATAACTTACAGGATATGAATAGACCATTCCACCCGAAACGAGAACATAAACATTTGATCCATAACATAAAGCTTCAATCTCTCCATCAGCTTGAAAAATTTGTTCAAATTGACCTTGTGGTATTGAAGATGATCTATAAATTTTATCATTTTGTAGGATAAAATACATGTTGTTAATGTAATACCACTTACTTGTATAATCAATTTTCAAATCTGATGACATCATACTAAACATATAATAATTTATCCCATCCTCACTAATGAAAATTTGATTGACTTCATAAATTAGTACCCATTTATTATTAACGCATCTAATAGGATTATTTGGATATTTAAATTTAGCATCTTGATTTAAATTACATTTGAACCATTGGATACAATCGAATGAATAACAAGGGCAAAAATCATCTCCAACCGTTATCATTCCCATAAATTTACCGTTATTATATTCAACATATAAAATTCTTGGATTAATGATTGGCTTTCGTGTATCAGGATTCCAAACAGATGGAGTAAATGATTCATAGTTTTTAAAATCATTTGTTTTAAAATAATAAAGCACTCCAGCTGTATAAAATAAATACATGGTCACTCCATCGAAACATATCCATTCAAAAGAATCTATATCAAAGGTTTTATCTGATGATTTCATAAAATTTAAAAATGGTGTAGTAAAATAGACCTCTGATTGTTTTATTTCTTCATTAACAAATGATATATCAGCTTTCTTTGCTAACTCAGTATTAATGAATGAAATAACTTTTTCCTTATCTGCTTTCTTCTCTAACTCATCGTTAACATAAGTTTTATCTGCTTTAAGGTCTAAACATTTTGAAACCCATTCTGTATCAGCTTTAACTTTAAAAGTCTCCAATGTCCATTCATGATACCATTCAACCTTTTCTTTAATTTCATTATCTTTTTCATCAACATAAACCAAATTTGCCTTCTTCTCTAACTCATCGTTAACATAAGTTTTATCTGCTTTAAGGTCTAAACATTTTGAAACCCATTCTGTATCAGCTTTAACTTTAAAAGTCTCCAATGTCCATTCATGATACCATTCAACCTTTTCTTTAATTTCATTATCTTTTTCATCAACATAAACCAAATTTGCCTTCTTCTCTAACTCATCGTTAACATAAGTTTTATCTGCTTTAAGGTCTAAACATCCTGAAACCCATTCTGTGTCAGCTTTAACTTTAAAAGTCTCCAATGTCCATTCATGATACCATTCAACCTTTTCTTTAATTTCATTATCTTTTTCATCAACATAAACCAAATTTGCCTTCTTCTCTAACTCATCGTTAACATAAGTTTTATCTGCTTTAAGGTCTAAACATTTTGAAACCCATTCTGTATCAGCTTTAACTTTAAAAGTCTCCAATGTCCATTCATGATACCATTCAACCTTTTCTTTAATTTCATTATCTTTTTCATCAACATAAACCAAATTTGCCTTCTTCTCTAACTCATCGTTAACATAAGTTTTATCTGCTTTAAGGTCTAAACATTTTGAAACCCATTCTGTATCAGCTTTAACTTTAAAAGTCTCCAATGTCCATTCATGATACCATTCAACCTTTTCTTTAATTTCATTATCTTTTTCATCAACATAAACCAAATTTGCCTTCTTCTCTAACTCATCGTTAACATAAGTTTTATCTGCTTTAAGGTCTAAACATCCTGAAACCCATTCTGTATCAGCTTTAACTTTAAAAGTCTCCAATGTCCATTCATGATACCATTCAACCTTTTCTTTAATTTCATTATCTTTTTCATCAACATAAACCAAATTTGCCTTCTTATTTAATTCAGTATTAACGTATTCCTTATCTGCTTTCTTCATTAACTCACTATCCACATATTCCTTATCCACCTTCTTCATTATGTCATTTAGGAAACCTTCTATGAATTCCTCATTTAAATTAAATCTTCCAATCTTCAAAACTTTAGGAAATGCATTTAATGCGTAATATCTCTGTTCTTCTGGTGGAATTGATGTTATATCATCCGTTATTCCTTTAATTTTTGAATTCATAAATAAAATTTCTTTTATATTTGATATCACTGCACCACCTTTGCAAACGAATTCGAAATGGTCATTTTTCAATACTATCTCCAAATCTCCATATTTCAACCTTTGCGTTTGTTCTGCCGTCTTTGAATTATATGCATATATGGCGTATGTAATGGTCTGAAGGACCTGGGCGCTTTGCGCCTTAAGTTGCTGTTGTTTAATCATTTATTACGATTTAAAAATAAATATTTAATCCGTTATCTCATCAGCTATTTTCTCTATTTGAAATTGCCATAATATTTCATTCATAAATTCTAAATCACAATCAAATAGGTCAGTTATTCTAAATTTAATATTTGATAAATCTTTTGAATGAAGAATAAATGAATTCCCGGATAATTGAAACGGATATGATAAAGAAAATGTGTTTAAGTTGATGGATAAAATGTTTTGTATTGATGGGTAAGAGTTAGGGTCTAATGTTTGATGTGAAAATCTCATTGGGGTATTAACTTTATCACATTTGATTAAAATGAAATTGGAACCAGTGTCAGAATACAAAACATCCCCAACATCTTTTTCAAAATTTAATATCCCCAACAATGAACGAAGATGAGGAGTACAAAATTTAATTTTCAGCGGAAATTTAATAAGGTTATTTATTTCATCAAGTTCAAAAAGTTTATCAGGTTTTGATTTAAAATTTTCTTCATACCATACGATAAATGATTCATTTAAATAACTTAAAATCATGTTAATATCCCATTTCGCTATCACATTATTTATATACATATCATACGTTTTTTCAAGGTCATCTTTAATAAATGATATATAATCTGAAGGGTCTAAAAGAATGGGATTAAATTTACCACTCACAGAAACGAGAGTAACATTATAAATTCCGCTAACTGTTAAATTTAATTCACAGTTATTATTCGAAATAATATTGATAATTGACATTTTTTATTACGATTAAAAATATGGTAAAGCGTTATTTTCCAGTGATAAATAAAACTAGAATAAGATTACCTCAAGAATTCATAAATTCAACGAATAAGAAATTCATTCATGTTATAAATTTTAGTGTTTTCAGAAAATATGAGTCAGTGTCATATTCATCAACAGGTTATATTTCACTTCATTCAAATTTAGTTCAATCAAACCCATATAATGACCATTTCATAAGATTTTCAGATGGTATTAAAAATGTAATTGATAGATTAAAATATGAACAGATTGACAATATCGAATTTTTGGAATTTTGGTTTAAATATCCCGATGGAAAAAAGATTGAAGTTAAAGATAAAGCTGATACTATAACAAAAACAATTACAATGACCGATCCGGATAGTGGGGAACAAAAAGAAATAAAACAAACGATAGAAACTGGTGAAAGGTCAATTATTATTGATTATGATTCAAAGGATTATTATTCGATAATGTTAATGCTTGAATATTAAATAGCCTTAACAAAGAATTTTTCAAGTGATATTTTATATTCATCAACTATTTTATTATAAATATCATTATATGTTAAATGAAGTTCAGTTGTTGTTCCGTTCTTTGATATCTTAATTGTGCTAATATCCTTTATAGGATTTATTTTTGCAACTGTTCCGCAGCATGAAACCTCATCATCTATGAAAAATTGAATCTTAACGTCTGAATCTTGAACATCACAAAGAATGGCGATAATGTGAATTAATGATTCATAAGGTAAAATAATTAAACCGGATTGGTCAATTAAATTTATTATTGAATCATAATTATTAATTATTATATCACGGTAAATTTTCATTAATTCAGAATTAATGTCTATTTTATATGGGTTCTCGATGTTTGATGAAAGAGGCGGGGGTATGTTGGATAAGTGGGAATTTCAACAGGTTCTTTACCGGGTTCAGATAAAATGATTGGGTCTCCATTCTCATGGTTTTCTTCATTCTCCTCATTCTTCGGTAAGTCACGAGTTAATAAATTTGGTTGAGTTGCTGACCTTGTTAATTCAGGGCTAACATTAACTTTAACATTTTGAATAATTCGTGATTTATCATCATTTACGTTATAACCAACCGTAATCTCTGCTTTTGCGTTAGTGTTCTTTTGACTAGTGAAACGTCTTCTCATTTATAATCGAATAAAAAAATATATTTAAACTTTTATTTTGCTGGAAGTTTTGAATCTATTATTCCCTGTATTTGTTCTTGAAGTTGATTTTTAGCTGGTTCATTGTAATTAATAGACCTAATATATTCATTAATTGCATTCTTATAATCATCTGATTTCTCAAATTTTCTTTTATCTGATTCCTTAACTAAATCATAAGTTAAACCTCGTTGCTGATATAATGGTTTCTTAATTAAATCTTTGAATGCTTGAGATAAAGCACCTGATGCAATTCTTGCTACTATAATTGGTTGGAATTGATGTTTAAGTTCATCTTTAACATTTGCGAAAACTGGATCGAATAAAGCAACTTTAAAGAATTTCTTAGCTGAAATTTCAGGTCTAATATTTGCATATTGACCATCAAACTGGTTAGAATATCGTGGTAATCCATCCGGTCCCTCTTCAATAGCATTTAATTCTTCATTGAAATAAGAATATGGATTATAACGGTATGAATTAATTGGACCATTTTCACCTTCTCCAATGTATTGTTTAACAGCTTTTCCATTTTCATCAAATTGCATAGGATAACGTTCATTATATGCTTTACGTTTAGGATAATCAGTTATAGTTAATTTGTAACCATTTATGACTTTAATATTACCTTGACCATCAGTAACGAAAACTTCATTTATACCATCAGGTTTTCCATTTGGACCCGTAATGTCTGCTTCGTGTGCTTCCCAATTTGGACCTTGACGTTTGGCATATGCTTGAGCTTCTGGTAATGTTAAAACGTTTCTCATTTGTTTAACATCTTTTTGAAGACCAGCAACAATATGAACTAATTCTTTCATTCCATCAGGAACTTTCATAGTTCTATTATATGCACCCTTTTTGTTTGTTCCTTGTTTTAATGGAACCTGTAGAAGATTTGCTATTTCTGTCATGTTTAATTATAAATAAAAAATAAAAATTAATTATAAAAAGTTAATCAAATTTAACACTTCCTTTATTTAAATCAACTATTATTTTTCCATGTTCACCTAATTGCTGATATTGTGTGTAAAGTTCATTAATGCTCATTGGTAAATTCACTTGATAAAGCATAACGTTCAACTGTTGACGACTAAACCCACTGAAAATGAAAAGTGTTGATAGATTTGATTTAATGTTTGTGCTTAATGCTTTGAAGTATTGAACAGCCATGAAGAATGAACACTGAATGTGTCGACATTGAGTTAATAACTGATTAAAATATGATTTCTCATTTGTTATTAGTTTTGATTTCACTGCATCATCTAGAAAAATGAGTGAATGCAAAAATTCTCTATCAAAATTTGAAATAGAAAGTGTTTCAAATAATTCATCCCGTTGTTTATCAATAATTTTATCCTCTAATCCTTGCTTCTTGATTGTATTATATAATTCTTTATACATTAAAAAGTTTTTTAAATAATCTTCTGCTTCTTCTTGTGATAAATAAATAATTGGAATTTTGATTAAATGCTTTAAAGATTCAAATGTATCATCTGAAGGTGAACCTGAACGGTTGATATAAATTAACACATGTGAATAGGGGGAAGTGTTAGCAATAATGATAATTTGTTTTAATATCGTTAATGTTTTACCTTTATTTTGTTTACCAATTGCTGCAGTGATTGAATTTAAGTAACATTCAGAATATGGAATTTTCATTAATTTTTCCTTAGATAGAGCATTTCTATTATCACTCAATGCTTCATTAATCATATCATCTATGTATGTATTATATACTCCTGCTAATTCTTCATAAGGAGTGTATGAATTTAAATCCATTTAATCAAAAATAAATTTATAATTTTAAACATTTCTATTCATCAATATTTCATCATATGAACTTCTATACTGTGGTGGTGTACCTGTTGGATGATATTTCAAACCTTCATCCGGTGTCCATGTCCAATATGTAGTCCTAGTAAACCAAACCTGAGGAGGATTTGTCACCTTTGAACAGTAAGTGTCATTTTCACCCTGAATGATTGGATAAGCTTTCACTTGTACTGTAACTTGTGAGTTGAAAGTTTCTAATCCATCAAAGAATATACCCGCTCCATCACGTTGAACTGGAATAGTGCATAAGAATGAAGTTTGGTCTTTCCATGTTCTAGCTAATGGCGTGCCATCATCTGCATTCAGTGGTCTAGTTAATGAGTCCTCGTATTCTTCTGTGCATTCATTCACTCCATCTAAATCAGAAGCTTGAAGCATACGTGTAAAGAATATGTCGCCCACTGTGGTCATCGCTTGATCGGGGAAGTTTCTGGAATCTATAGTGACCTGAAGACCTCGAAGCATTGGATTTTCTAAAACTGTTCTTTGCATTGCATTCTTCGGAAATGCTAACACAACATCTGTAACATTATGAAGAGCGTATGAGAAATCTGAGCTAATACCTTCAGGAGTGATGCAACCTCCATTTAGTGAACGAACGTCAATATGTTGAGCTGGAATCATGAATGGATCTTCCTTACTGAATAAACGTGGTATTGCTTTAACTGATTCTTCAATTAAACCGTATCCTGGTGTAATGCATTTATCCTCTAAAACTTCCATCTTTGTGCATGAAATAATAACGTCATCAACTGTTGCGTCAGCAGATGTAGCGGCTAAGCTTGTAATTAATTTGGCAGGAAGTCCGATTTGTTGGAATTTGCGATCATATTTATAAACATGATTCATAATCTTTTCATAATTTTCATCAGTTATCTTTTCATAAACGTAATTTTGTAAATCAGCAACTCTTAACGGGTCAACCTGACAAAATACTAAAGTATCCCTGAAAACATAATATTTAAGAATGATATCACCAAATGATTTAGGATAATCATCGAACGCCTGAAATGCTAACAAATCATTTACCGGAATAATCATATCAAAAGTGACATCAACTTCTTCATTTGCTTTCTTGAAAACTTCTGAAGGGTCAATATATTTACCACATACTGAGTTATCATATTTTTGAACATTATTATATAACGAATGAACAAACTTTTTAACTTTCCTTTCTGATTTTGGTTTATATGTTGCAAATGCGAAAGATTCACGGGCGCAATCCATCTGAAGATAACCGGCATCACCTCTTTCGGTTTCTACTTCTAATTGTTTAAAGCTTTGATTTGATGATTTGTAACCAACGAATAAACGCATGCATTTAAAAGCGGCATCACATGTGAAAGCTTTATTTGAAACTAGAGTTGCTTTAACTTTGCGTTTAATATATGTGTCACCTAATTGGTTCACATCATGAGCCGGATTTGTAATTCTTAAATGAGTTTGTTTATCATCAAAATATGGAGCATCAGAGTCATAGCATGAACTTTCAAGTTCTCTATAATATCTTCTACCGTCATTCTTTGCGAATATTTCATTTATCTTTTCGAATGAATGAAACACATTTCCATTAATCGGTTTAGTGTTTGGCACCAAATAGTTAGTCGTCATTTATTAATAAATAAAAAATCAAAATTAAAAGATGAAAATGAATTTTTAATTTTAATGAAATAATCAACTATGGCTGCAGGTATATTTAAGAAACTGTGGGATAAAGTAAAAAGAGGAGCGAGTAAAGTTTGGGAAACATTGAAGAAGGGGGCAAATTGGATATTTAAGAATAAAGAAGCAATTAGTGACGTTGCTGAATCAATAACACCAAAAGCTGCCCCAATAAGAGAAGTTTTAAATAAAGGAGAAAAAGTTTATCAAAGACTACAACCGATACTAAGATAAAAATAATATTTATTTATTTTTCCACTATCTACCTCCTATTTTATTAAGTATTCCTTCAGCAATTCCACCAACTGCGTTACCTGCTTGTGCTCCCATCGCCGGATTACCTGCTTTAGTACCTAATACTCCACCTATGATAGTTCCTGCCGTTTTCGCTACTGGTGCCAAAAAGTTTGCAACGGGTTTAATAATCTTTTTATAAACCCAACCCGCAGCTTTCTTAATTCCATCCCATAATTTTTTAAAGAATCCTGCCGCCATTTCTGATTTAATATTAATTAAAAAAATATATTTCATCGCTTATATTCTAATTTTTATTTAATGATAAATGAAACCGATTTTAAAAATAAATGAAACAGAGGAGGAAGAAATAAATGAAAGTGAAAATGTTCAACAAAAAATAAACGTTGTTAAACCAATTACTGAAATAAAAATTTTTTCATCTGTTGAAGAATTTAATGACTATTATGCTAATAATAAAAAATTATTTGAAGAATTGACAACATGTAAATTGAATAAAATTTTTAAAGTTGATGGATTCAAAATTTCAAAAATAAAAGGAGTGGTTAGTTTGAAATCTATTCCTCAATCAAGAATCACCTCATTAATGAAAATAGATGATTTAACAAAAAGAATAGAAGAGATTGAAGAAAGAATGAATCAAATAATTGATTTCATAAATTCAAATAATCATTAGTTTCTTAAAGTTCTATGTTGAACTCATCAAATTCTTCTTCATCATTACCATTACCTTTAGCGAGTTTATTTACTCTTTTAACTTTATCTTTTGATAGTCTTGCGTTTAATTTTTTCTGAAGTTTTTCGTTACCAAGTTCTAAAATTTTACATGGATGATATTTAAACCCGTTAAATTCTTTTTCCTCAGTTTTAATCATTAATCTACAAAGAACTTTAGTGAGGTGGTTTTGTTGTTTAAACCATTTATCCTTAATATTTGTTATAAATTCAATATCCGGAATTGATTCCCAAATTTTTGAATTTTCGATTAATTTACCATCAAATGCAAAAGCAATAGGTTTAATATTAAACTTACCTTTATAAAATAAACTTTGTACGCAATCATCAAAATAAACGTCTACTTGTTTAACCCGGGTGAGAATTGGTGAAAGTTTATCCATTAATTGATTCACAGTCACGAATTTTGATTCACTCATTTCTTACGAATTAAAAAAATAAATTATTCAAAAATGTAAGACATGAATTTTTAAAGTTTATTTTTTATTCATGAAAATAATTATTTCTAATTTCTTTTACTCTCTCGTATATACTAGATTTAAAGAATTCAGAACATTTCCCATAATCGCCTAAATGTTTTCTTATCCCTAACGTGTGCCAGTTATTATATGAAACTGAATAAACTTTATCTTTATCTTTACACCTTTCATCACTTCCAATATATTTATATTTCAATTTTGATTTAGCATTTTCATATTCATTAGCGTTTAATAATTCACAGTCTTCCTTTTTAAATTGATGTTTAAGATATTCAGGATTTAATACTCTACGTTTATATGCTCCTAACTTAGTTCTAAAGGTTTTTCTACAAAATTTAGGAATTCCATCCTCTTTAATGTCATCAATGATTTCCATTTCATTATTTTCAATTTCTTCTTCTCGTTTATGAGGTCTTTGATTATGACTCCATTGATTCCATGAAATTAAATATTCTTTATCATTATATTTATACCTCATTAGCTTATTTTGGCTTTCATATTCATTTAATAATTCACAATCTTCATTTTTAAATTGATATTTAACCCATTCAGGATTTAAACAATGTTTAATTAATCGCGGAATATCTGACATCATCTATATATAGCTTCTTTTATAAAAGATAAAAAAATAAATTATTTTAAAATTAATGTTAATTTTTTTAATGATTTATAAATAAATATATTTTAATGCATCGTCTATATATAGATGTAACAAAAAAAGTCACTAAACCCGTCCGCATATACTACTTGAATTGTTAAAAAGAATATCCACGAATTAGTCAAAGCACTTTAGTAATCGAAAAAATAAACTTTAATTCATATGAAATTTATTATCCAAAGATGCGTCATATTCTCAATTCACTAAATCAAGCGGTTTAATTCAATTCAATCAGCAAATTCAATTCTACTGTGAGTTTTAAAAATTCTTATTGTAATGATAATTCGAGCATAAATAAATAATCAGCATTATAACCTGCAATAATTTACCATTTTAATTCACAAATGTCAAACCAATTTTGATTGAATGCGTAATCGCCTATTTTAGATTTGCATTTATTAATTCACACTATAGCATGTTTAATATCCTTAAGTTTTATGACTTTTTTATTGCTTCAGCCAACGACGATTATTGTTTCGATTAATCAATGAATATATTATTATTACATATTTTATTTATAAATGAATAATTTATCCATGGAATTAGTGACTTTTTTCCAAATGCAAAATCTCAAAAATGCTATTCATTACGTAATTTTCATATATTTAACAATTAATCGTTATAAAAATACTGTTTCTCAATTCTAATTCGAAATATATTCATTCTGATAAGTAATTCCTGGGTCTTACACCTCCGAAAAGATGGGTAATGTCAAATTGTCAAATCATTTTTTGATGTTTTCTTTCTTTGTTCTTTCTCGTTCTGCTCTTTATCAATGCAAATCTCCATTAAATCACCCACCAGTAGTTCCTAATGGTACATTAAAAACCATGTTTCTCTTTACAAGACACGGATTAAATTCTCCAGAAGCCAATATCTTTCCTAAAAAAGATGATGGATTCTGGCTTTGTGATGCACACGAAGCAAGATCACCTAATATGCGTGTCTCTACAGTAAATAATACTTACCGTCGTTACAGACAAACTATATTCCATGCACAATCTCCGTTCCCTCCAAACTGTGGTGCAACACAACTACTTGTTGAAGGAATGAATGATCAGCATGAACTTGGCGAATATTACAGAAATTACTTAGTAAATGAACTTAATTTGCTTTCGGAATTCTATGAACCATCACAGGTAGAGTTCAGATCCGGCCAAAAAGCATACTCTGTTAAATCAGCCCAAGCTTTCATTGATGCTTTATATCCACCCGAAATTCCAGGAGAAATGGTCGATATCATGGTTGGAACAGGAAAACAAGACGTAATATTCAACGATCCAAATAATTGCAATGATATTCAGAAGTATTTCTATTCTTGGATTGCAACAACAGAATTTTCCGAAAGATTTAACACTACGAAAGAAATTTTAGCTCCACTTCTCAATTACATCAAAATTCAGATGGATGAAATGCTTTTTTACTCATTAAACGAGATGATGATGTCTTATTATTGTTCCGACAACAAATTACCATCAGTTGTTACAGATGAAGTCCTCGACACGCTCTACAACAATACTCAGTACACGTTAGAGAACTTGTTCAACAAAAATCTATTTACAGCCGGTCCAGCTTGGAAAGAAATGTTCAAACACATTGATGGACAAACAGAGAAGAAGTTCTTCTTGTACAGCAGTAACATGCCAACAATAACATCCATAATTGCTTCTATTACAGGAGTTACTTACGTTCCTCCTTACAATTCTCACCTTTCCATCGAAGTTTGGACTGTAAATGGAAAAGATTACATCAGAGCTGTTTACAACGGAGAAGTTCTTAAAAACCAACTTGCTGATGGACAGGAATTGATCGAAATTTCTAAAATGAAGGAAGGTGTTTCACCGCTCTTCAAGTACTGCACAACAGAGATAGATGTTTTATCTGATATCAAGTATTATAACAGAGTTTTACTTTAATAAAAAGGTACTGTGTTTTTTTGTTAAAATAATTCTTTTTCTTTATCTTTCTTCAAGTAATTTCGTAATAGAGATTAGTTTGTTTTCAATCGTTGTTGTTGCTGTGAGATTAAAAACAGAAATTAAAAAGATATATCTAAAATAACTTATATATTTTAATAAAAACGATGCAAATTGGTCCCCAACTACAATTATATTGGTTGTTATCCTATAGCAGCAATAATAAAGTTTCAAATACATTATGGATCCAAGACAGCATCATCCTTTATAAAAATATAAAAATATGAGAGGAATTCATAATTTAACTTTTTAAAAATTATTATTTCAATGTTTTGAAGATCATATGAAACGAAATTTTCGTAAATTGACACAAGTCAGATCCAAATTTGCAATGTTGAATGAAATAGAATGATTATATGTTTCTTATTCGAGTATTAAGTCAATTTCATATGAATATTTTTCATTTTTAACAATTCTACTTAATTAGATTTTCAATCAAAACGTCACAAACTTCAATGGGTATGTTGTAAATGAATTCAATGATAGCAAGTGGGTGAAAATATTTCACCACCATGTAGGGCCTTTATTCCCTACTGACAAAGTTCTTCTTCAAAGGCAAGTTGCATTTATAAATGAAACTGACAAATTTAGTGTCTTAGGTTATCTTAATGACAATTTCCTAATTAATGGTGTTTTTAACTTCTTATTTCACTTCCCTGATGATTATCCAGAAGATTATTATTACTTTAATCAAAGCACCAATCCTCTTATAACATTAGCTGTCGCCAATTTTTCATCACGCCTTGTAATCAAAAAATGTGAATTTATTCAGAAACCAAATTTTTATTTAACAGGATTGGGCATTACGACTGCAAGTGATACCTATCTAGATGGAAATATTCATTCTGGGAATTACTGGTATTCAGTTGGTGCAAATCAATATTATCAATCTAAAATAGGTCAAATTCCGGGGCCACCTTGCTTTGATGAAATGCTAGGTGTTTCTACAACCGATCTATGGATGAGAATACGAAAATTTGAGGATATTAGATTCTTTAATAATTTTTGTCGATTCACAATTCGAAATTGTGATTTTTCATCTTCTATTTTGTATACTCTTCCACTTTTTTATATTCAAATTCTTTATAAAAGTTGATCTTCATTATATCTTAGCTAAGAAAAGTTATTTGGTTATGAGATTGGATAAATTTGAGGTATTTAATCATAAAAAGTTTATATTTAACGTGTGGGAAGTCCCCAGATTGTCAAATAAAAAAAAATCTAATATTTACTCAATAAGCTTACAGATATAAAGATTTTATATAAGCTTTACATTTGTAAACTTGTTTGGTAAGTTTTCTGTGCATTTTTTGAAATCAATTCTAATTGTGAATAAATTTTCCAAATAATGCATTCTATTATATGTGAATTCCTTGCGCATTAGATTGAATGATAATATCCTGCAAAAACTGTCCTCTAAAAATCTAATTTTGAATACAAAAAAAAAAATTAAGTGGAATAAATCTAAATCTTTATTGTGCATCGAGCATTTTCAAAATGCTAGAAGCAGTAATTGATAATTCTTCATCAGATGAATCAAAATATGAGTGAATTTGGTCATAAACAGTTTCATCTGAAAGTAATTGATGAAATCGTTTCTTTCCGCATGTAGATTCTTTATTAAGAACATTCTCTAGTGCAGCAAGCATGATTTTGACATATTTTACTGAATTTTCTGTCAAATAATCCGAAAGTGTTTCGAAAACGTCATCAGTCACAACCTTCTCGATGTAGTCAAGATCTTTGTAGTAAACAATCCATGAAATACATAAGCAACAAGACATTGACACTTTAATACTTCCATTTAGAACTAAATCAACGAAATTGTCAACAAAACCATCAATATTAAGTATGTTTTCGCATATATCTTGGTGACTCATCATGTTTGAAACAACATCAAATAATAAATTTGAAAAATCTTGGTTATTACGAGAGAAATCAATTGAAAAGTTGATGAAATCTAATTTAAGCAAAAGAGATGATATCTGTGGCCATGATGACATCTCAATTAAAAGATCAAGAATTGAAGATTTTTCTTTGTCATTTCCATTGGTAATAACTGATAAAATAAACGTCATTTTATTTGTATCGATGCCAAGACACTCGATAAAGTCGGCTTCAACGAAAAATCGCTTTAATAATTGAATAATAAGAGGAGTTGTTTCTTTGACTTTATCAATTGTAGAATTAAACGAATATTCAAGACTAGGATATAATGTTCGGTAGTATTTACTGATATATGATGGCTCAAGTAAAATTATCTGATAATAAGTCTCAATACTGAGTATATATTTCTGTATTTCCCAGTCGAATGGTTGTTGTGGCTTTTTCATGAGAATTAAAAGTAAATTCATGAATTTTGGATGAGAAATGATTTGATCAACGTATTCTGGGAATGAAATAGAAATTAACTTAGCAATTGTCAAAATAGATATTGTCTGTAGTTGTTTTCCGGTGGTCACGTAGTATTCTATCCATGATGGATTCTGTATAAAAAAATTTAATAAGCCATTTTCTATTAATGATGGAAAATATAGAGATTGGTCATATATCAATGATCCAATTACATCTGATATAATGTTGATATGCTCGTAATCCTTGTCGTATGAGAATAAAGCTTTAATAAAATCACTTTCAAGGACAACTTGAACACGATCTTTAGGGAAATGCATCAAATATCGCCTATTAGAATGTAGCTGATTTAATAATTCATCAGTAACTTTTCCTTCGTTTGTTTCTAAAATAAATTGAGATAAAACGACTTCATATCTATAAATTTCATCAGGATCGGGCAGACCAGTATCTTTGTTTCCAAGAGTTTGGCGATCAGCCTGTCTGAAAATTGAATTTGATGAAGAAATCAAAATTAAATTTTGCGAAAAGTGACAAATAGCTAAATTAATACTCAATTCATAGCAGTTAATTCTTAAGCAAAATGCCTGTAAGAAACTATACATGGCACGATGGGCGCTACTTTTTTGGCGCCAGCGGCGCCGCCCGCGCCTCCGGTGTATAGATCCAAGGTGAAGTCATTTTTCTATCCCTGGGATAGACGATACACCCAAAATGTCACCTTTTTGGGATTCTGTTTTTTTTTAAGGTTCTCGCTGGCGACCCGCCACACGTTCGTCGAAAAAAAATTGGTGATTGGGGGGGTCGCCAGCAAAAATCAAATTTTTTTTCGACGAACGGGGGGTCGCCAGCGAGAACCTTAAAAATAAACCTCTGAAATTTTAAAAAAGAAAAAAGTGTGAAAATCCCCTTGATTCGAACCAATGGACTTTACGATTATACTATGACTCTTACCATTGAACTATGACTCTAAGGGTTCGAAAATTTATTTGGTGATAATATAAACTTTAATGAAAAATTAATCAGATCAATTTAGAAATATTTATTTCATAATATTGAATGAATGTATAAATCTAAATAGTATATTATCAAAAAAAAATAAAAATAAAAAAAAAATAAAAATAAAAATAAAAAATTAATAATAATAGTACCATCACCACAATTAGCAAATTCAAAAGATATATGAATTGCTATCGATCTCTTTCAAACAAACACATAGAAATTTTGATTAAGTATTTCAAATTTTTATATGAGATAAATATTGAACAGATAAAATATAAAACAATTTTTAATAATAAATATAGATATTTATTTTGTAGCCATTAAAATTTCTCGGCTATCTAATAAAATTTTGTGAGAACGTAATCTTTTCAAATTTAGTATCAATCTTTGGTCTTTTATTGTTCTCTCACATGTTGCTTCTGAAGGTGAAGCGGAGATAACACGAAGGGCGATATCTGCAAAGATTGATACATTGCCATCTCTATGAGAGATTTCTTCCCAACCGTATTCTTGACGTTCTTGAATCATATCATCAGAGAAGATATCATTATCACTATTAATATACGTGTTAAATAGTGTAATAATATCTGTTATTGTTTGACCCGGAATACGAAATTGTTCCAAAATACTTTTGAGATACTGCCTAGCTGCAACAAAATGGTTAACCGGCTGATTTGAACTAGATGTTACATCTGCGAGATCAAGCATAGGAGGGTCAATTGTAGCAGTTACCTGACGAATTGATCCCTCCTCAACCATATCAAGAGAAACTTCAGTCGAACCTTCTTCAAAGATAGAGTCCATATAGATAGATTGAATGTCTTCTACTGGATTAACGAAAGTTACGTTTGTAATATCAAATGAATTAATTGCCGGAGATTCGTTGATCTGCGCTCCGTGGACGAATTTTTGGTTGAAATAATACCTACCTTTCGGTGTAAAAGCGAAGGCTAAGCACCAAAGACCTCCAAAGTCCGATCCAAGGGTATAGTTCAACAACGATCTTGAAAGGATTCCAGCAAAAGGATTGTTGTTGCTGCTGGAAAGGTATTGGAGTGCTTCAATACCCTTGCAAAGCCATACGTAGCAATCAGATATCTTGGTTTTATCTGATTCGAACGTGGAAATAAGCTTCTTGAGAATTGCCAAGCAGTCTCTTAAGAACTTGATGTTTTCAATATCAATACGCGTATATCTTGAAATTTTGTCTTGATACTTGATAATAAACATACAAATATTATAATCATAGATCCACCTGGTGGATACATGCTTTGGACAGAGAGCTCCGATGTCTTCAACATGGATTCTACAAAGAGCTGATATTTCGTGGATATGTTTCACAATTGCTCCTAATGCTACGTCTTTTGTTGTCATATATTGATAACAATTATGAATCCTGTGGCATAAACACGGGATAAACAAGATTTTGAATAACCTTGGGTCATTTGAGTTGTAGAACGATTGATTCCATCCTTTCTGAAAACATTTCAATTGCGCTTTATTGCCATCGCAAACTACACTGCTGATCTTAACATCTCTAATGAAGATTCTGTTAAATCCTTGAGTAAGCGAGTGGATATAATCTTCAGATGTTCCACCATTCATTTGGATTGACTCAACAGGATAGGGCCGCTTGCTTTGCAGAGGATTTGTGAGGGAGAAGTCCAGATTGTGAAACTGCTGAGTCTTCCCCTCATCAATGGCAACACAGGTACAGGCAAGCTTAGCAAACTCATCAACTTTTGCAACATGGATTGAATTTGCAATTTGTATCATTGTTTGCCTTAGTTTGTCAGTTGAAATAGGCTGGTATATTTGAGAAGCTAGTTTATCAACATTGATGTTAACATTGTGTAACTGTGGGAACTTCAATATCATCGAGTCTGCAGTATACATTATAATGGTTTTAACTAGCTTTGTAAACTCTGGGCTTGAGAAGGTATTCAGAGCCAAGTTAAATCTTCCAGTAAATGTAGCAAGCTGTTCATAGATATCCCCTAACGATATAGGTGTAAGCCCTGTTGCTGGGACGTTTTGATAGTATTGATCGATTGTTTGTTGTGATGCTACTTCTCCTGGTGTGCATATGTGCCGTTTGTTTTGGATCCATTTTTTGAAATGATCCTCACGCATTTCTTCCATTGCACAGTGGCATATAGTTCCGTCAGGACGCTTTACTAGTTCATTGCATTTAACATAATATTTTCCGTACTTGTCGCCTGGTTTTTTATATCTAAGATACTGATGCTTAGTACCGACCTCAATGTCTTTATAGTACGTCGGTACTGCATCAATCATTGTTGAAATAATGAAGTGATTACTTAAGCATTTTTATTCTCAATTTGTTTTGAATAAATTCAATTTTTTAATGCATAATTTTTAAAAATTCTCTAATATACCTTAGATATAGATACATTTATTATCAATTCAAAAATTTCAATATAGTTTTGGGATGGGTAGCCCATCCCATATATTCAAATTTTCAATGATTTTGGGTTGGGATTCCCAGACCAGAATAATTTCTAATTATAATTCGTAAAAATATATGTATATCTCATTATTACATCATTTAATATATTTTTAGTTAAATAGTCACTATTTTCACAATTTTTATTATTAATTACTGAACTAAACATGTTTCAAATAGAAAGAGTATAAAAGATAAGTGTTTTTCTAAATGTGTTTCGATAAGAATTATAATAATTGATGGTTTTTACAGCCAAATTTATTTTATTATTTAAATTTCAATGAAAAAAGATAAGAATTTTTTAATAAAAAATTTTTATTAAGAATTTTTTTTGTAAAATTGACACTGGGATGACGATAGGGCTGGGATCTTATCCACCCCGTTCATTTGGGAAAATTGCAGATCTATACTCCGGTGGCTCCCACTGGTGGGGAGGAGACGATAGAAAAAGATATAAATTTTACTAAAAAAATTGAATTTTGGAAATTCTTTTGATTTTTTTGAATGATTTACGAAGAGATTGAACACATTTTGTACTATGAAATATCGTTATTAATAAATTTACTTCTTAAACATCTATTAAAATCGCAATTTTGAATATTTTTATGATTTTTTTTGACCCGATCACTTGCGCCCGCGCCCACTGGGAGGGGTGCTTGTAAAGTATTCAAAAATCAATGTAAACATTTCAATTTTTGCTCCCACCTCCCATTGGGAGGGGGCATATATCTTGTAGCGTTCAAGTTCAAGTGATGAAAGTGCATAAGAAAGCTCCTTAATCATACCGATAGAAACAGCATTAGGGGCGCCAAATGGCGCTCGGTGATGTTTCCCATAAAAGCTTAATTTCAGGTATCCATAATCATAACCTGTCAGACGCAATAATTCATTAGCACACAATCATCGTTTCTCAATCAAGAAACGAAACGCACGATTGATTATGCTGGCCATTAAATTTTCATATCAAATAATTTACTACTTCAAGAAAAATTAAAGACTATCATCAACCAAAGCTTAAAATTCTCAGTGTTTACAACTCTCATACTTCGAATATGCATATTTCCAAAATAGCATGAAAATTTTTTTCATTTGAGCTCATTTTCTTTTGTTCTATTAACTAATACATGCAGTACAAGCTTGTTATACGTATACTTAATAAGTAAGGTCTTAAGGGAAATAATAAAAAACAATTTTGCTATTAATTATATTAAACAATATTTATTTGTAATTTCGTGATAATTATATTTCTTATTACAAAGTAAAGGTATTTGATATAATGTTTGCCTTACAAAAATGTTTCCTTTGTCTTGCCACCATAGGTATTCTATTTTGTCACTTTTTGCGCCCGCCGTGCCATGTATATAAGAAACATAATTTTTTTAAGGATACCCTTACGTGTCAGATTTTTTGCGCATACGAAGAAGTCATGCTAGACATGAGCTATAAACCTGAAATTTTAGCAACATATTTAAAACTTTTTAAACTACAATACACTTTAATATTCAAGAACAAAAATATTCTTTTTAGAAATTACATAATTATTTTATGTGAAATCTATATAAAAACATATTTTGCGAGCGTAACTTTTTTCTTTATAAGCACCTTATATGACTGATAAACTGTGAAGGCACATAATTGTTAATTCATAGAGTTGATATGTTTCCAAAATTGAGAGGAAATTTGAAAATTGAATACCCTTTCAATTCAATTTTCAAAAGATATCAGCTCCTTCAATAATTGAAGGACGATTTTGATCATTTGCTCTTAAAACAAGTATGCCATGGAGAAAAAAGTTACGCTCGCAAATCTGAAATATAACTATCATATAAAAAAATTAAATTTCTAATTTTTTACTCTATAGATATTATTGGCCACTTGTGTAATGCATAAAAGTTTATGTCATATGCATACATTTGGAAGTATGGGAGACGAGGGAAATTACTTCTATGAGGCACTAGGGTTTTTAAAAATTTCTCTATCGGACTCACCATTCAATTTCTCGAAAATTAAAAAAAAATCAATAATAGCTAAAATGTATTATGCATAACAAATTTTAATGTTACACGGTATTTTTTGAACTTCATGACATGAATTTTCTTTATATTATTTTTTTTTGGATTTTCTATGATTTATGCGATAGGCTGGAACAACATTGTAAGTGCAATGATATCATTTATAGAGAAATCTAAAACTTCAGCATTCAGAACTCGCAACCACAAAAATATTCATTTGCTAAGTAAGTAAAGTTGATTAAGTTCGACACTTAGCTTTTATACGTAAAACCAAGTGTGTATTGTTATTTCTTGTTAAATTATTGAGAAAAAAATAAATTGTAAGAGAAACGATACTGATTATTGAAATAATATTGAGGGTAGCTGCAGATTTCTTCATTAACATGCCGGAAATTTGTTAATCTTGGTTTTCTATCATAAAATCTGTCGAAGAATCTAAAAACGGAGATATGAAATAGAGATCATGTAAATCTAGAGTATCCTGTCAGAAAAATAGACTAAGCATGTAACCCTTTTTTGGTCATAAACACTTTTTACCACTTAGTCATACAGATGATCATTAAATTTAAACGAGCACTTTTTGTCAGAATTTATTCTTTTACAAAGACAGAAGATTTTAGTATTATTTAATATTAGTGCTGTAGCAAAATTCAAAAAACGGTGAAAATTCAGTGAATTTTTGAATTTACATTTTTTTCGACATTTTTCTTGATATATCCATGCACATTAAGAACACAGCTTTGATACGCTTAAAAAAGCATATTTCATATGAAATTGTTAAAGAAATAAACAATTTATATAAAAATTGCACTTATGGGCAGTTTAGATATATAATTTATATATAACATATATACAAATCCATAGACAAAGTGCAATAACTACAATGTTGTAGAAAATTACAGCAGAAATACTGACTTTTTGAAGGATAATAAGAATTCTTCTAAATGTTGTATTTTTATAATTTGATTGATTTTTTTTACTATTTCATTAATCTTTTATGAATAATAATTATTTTTAATATATGTGCTATTAAAATTTCAAATTTTGACTAATATATCTAAGTTATCTGAACGAAACATTTAGAAAATATCATACTTACATTGAAATAGCAAGTAGAGCATATTAATAGCAAGTTTCTTGGCTTTATATCTATCATCTATTGTTGTTTGATCAAACAAAATTCACTCTATTATATGGTGTCAATTAATTAAAACAATTTTTAATAGTTATTTATTTAGTGCGAATAAGTGCAAACTCATAAATGAATAACTTAATAGTAGAAATGAATTATCTGATATAAATCTCACATTTTGTCCATCAGAAATACTTTAATTGCATACGCATAACTATTAGTAATACGTCTGGAGTGTCAATTAATAACAATCCCACAACAAGTAAAATTCAGATTTTTATTAAACTTATTTTTTCCTAAAAGTTTTCTCAAATTACTCTATATACATATGTGGATAAAATAATAGTAATATTGTAAAAAATTAGATAATTTTTTTTATTTGAGAACCTCTCAAAAGTTCATTCAATTTATCAATTGTTTCAGTTTGATGTATATTCATTTCTGGAGCCTAAAACTTTAGCAATCATGACAATATCATATTCTCTTTCTAACTACGCAATGTAAGGGTATCCTTAAAAAAAAAATAAAGGTGACCAAACTATTTTTTGAAAGTCCGCCATAACTTTAATGGTACTATTTCAGCGTGTACAATGAATACAAAAATTCTAAGAGTGCCACATAAAATAGTACTTTAGACTTGAGTTAATGCTACCAAGCAAATGTTAAAAAGATGACTTTAGTGTTTTGATAATCAAAGATTAAAATCATTATTGTCTAAATCAATAATCATAACGACAGAAGTTAATGTTTTTTCATCAGTGCTTTAAATCCACTTTTAAAAGTATACCTCAAAAATCAAAATATCAAAAAAAATTGGCCGATAGGTTTGGCTTTAATTTTTGTCTGCTTTTATGATTTGATATGGATGTTATAATTTTAAAAGTTGAGCCAAATTCACCAATAGATTTTTGAGATTTGCAAATACTCAATAATTTTCAGAGTGTTATCTTTTATTAAAAGAACTATTTGGTTTCAGTATCATATAAATTGATATTTACTTTCTATTTGAACCTTCATTTAGCTAATGATTTAATAATACAGATTTCATCTAGTCCTTATAAGAGAATTTTGAATTTGTTATAATAAAAAAACAAACAGATATAGCTTACACTTCTATAATAAAGATACCTTTTATAGAAATCAGTATGAAATGTGTTTTGGCTTATTGGAAGCATATCAGACATAATCGCCATAATCAAAAAATCTATATACCCAATAAGTAATAAATTTGTCGATATAGATTTTCCATAAAATTAGTTTTTAGTCTGATCTTAAAATAAATTTAATTTTTTATAAAAAAAATCACATTTAAAAGTACCTTTTTAGTAGCTCGAAATTATAGATCCAAGGTGATGTGATTTTTGCATCCCTGGGATGGACGATACACCCAAAGTGTCACCTTTTTGGGATAACATGAATTTTAAATATCATGAGAGTTCTGCAAACCATATGCACAATATCTATTCAGCCTGACTTCTTGTATATATGAGTTAGACTTCTTAAATATTGTGCTTGGGGCGATATAAGCATTTCCGAGATTACCATCGTGCTCTATAGTATGCTACTTCTCCCTGGTTCTAGCTCAGTTCCAAGGATATTGGCGTTCAAGGATTTGGCAAGGTCCTTCCGAAGTCTCTCATTCGATGAGAGATTTCGGAAGAATCTTGCCTTAAAGTACTCCAACTCTTGTTCTTTTGTTCCTAAATAGTGAGAAAAGTTATTTGACTACTTAAGGTAGAGATTATCCGAGGTCCCTCATTTGATGAGAGGCCTCGGATAATCTCTGCCTTAAAATTGTACACTTGTAGTCCATGAGAGTGTAAGTATACATTGATAGGACAGCTTTCTTCTGAAGTCTTAGATTTGATGAGAACTCAGAAGAAACTTTCATATTTTATAGTAAAAGGAGTTTCAGGAGCTCCAAAGCTCCCTTTCGTAAGGAATAGGAGCTTTGGAGCTCCTGGTTCGTAGATGTGCTTCGCATCTTTCATCAGCAAAGGACATTTACCATCTGGGACTCTGTTGATGGAGACTCAGGAGCTCCAAAGCTCCCTTTAGTAAGGATTAGAAGCTTTGAAGCTCCTGGTTCGTAGACGTGTTTCGCATCTTTCATCAGAAGAGGCCCAAATGGTAAATAGCCTCTGCTGATGAGCTTCAGGAGCTCCAAGGCTCCCTCTCGTAACGATTAGGAGCTTTGTAGCTCCTGAAGGTAAGGTAGGATTGCTCTGATCTCTAATCAGTAGATGCCATGCCTCATTATGAACTCTACTGACAAGAGATCAAGAGCTCCAAGGACTCCCTTTTTAGTTAGTGGGCGTTCTCACCATTTAGTAGGATTGCTGATCCTACTAATGAAGTGATCACTTAGTATACGTTTTGAATAAATTGAATTTTTTTAGAATTTAGTATTTTTATACACATCACATGTATATTATAAATACATAAATATATTCTTTAATTCAAAAAATTCAATTCGGTTTTGGGATGGGTATCCCAGCCCCAAGTATTCAATTTTATTCAATTTTTAAAGAATTTTGGGTTGGGATGCCCAGACCAAAAAACGCTTTATATTTTGATGTGTAGATACGTATGTGTGCATCATTGTTGTGTTTATATTATGTTTTTAATGAAAAAAAAATCTGATTCAAAAAAAATTATCACTAATTAGTTGATAATATAAAGAAAAATAGATAAATTGTATGTTTTGAGAGTATTTATCCACATTCACTCATATGAATTTCATTAAATAGTGTCTTTTTACTCCCAAATTTATTTTGAATTATTGAAATCAAAGAAAAAAAATCAGAAAAATTTCTCGAAATTTTTATTTTCAAAAAAAATTTGGATTTTATATTGAAAACTGACACTGGGAGGACGATAGGGCTGGGATTGGAGATACCCCGCTCACTTGGGAAAAATACGGATCTATACTCGAAATCCTGTTGGTGGATTTCGGGCGTACTTCAAAATTAGCTTTTCTTCTACATATGCAAGCTATATTTTAAATATGGGGCAAATCGGATCGGCGAAAGGAGTTTAGTTACCTTTAAAAAAATATGAATTTAATATTAATTCCTCCATTTTGATGTTTGAATTGACTTTGAGAATAGTACAATAGGAATATCATTAATCACATCTTGTTCTGGTAAATATGATTTAGTGATATGATTTCATCGAAATTTCAAAAAAAAAAAACAATCAATGTTAATATATGTTTGTCTTAATAGTAATTGGCCTTTTTGAATACTTCTTAGCATGAATCTTTCAAAATTCTGGTGGAAAATGGAATTTGTTGGATATTTTCCAAAGTCTTTTGAGTTGATTGAATTTTTCTAATAAACCGAAAAGTTTATATCAAAAAAGGATAATAAAAGAAATGTCTAAATAGATTTGACCATCTTGAGAAGAAAAAAATCATAATTTCAAGACCCCAAAAATGATGCAACGTCAAAAACCGAAATTCATCCATTGTACAAATTTATACTCTTTTAATGGACATAATATTTTATCGATTAATGTATTTGATAACAATTGAAATTTATGATTATTCAAAATTGAGAAGTTTTAACGAATCTTAAAATTCAATTTTGAAAAGTGAATTAAAGTTTTATTTACCAGACAATATATTGGTGACTCAATAAGAATGATTTCAGTATGGATCAAAAATTGAGATATATTGGCAAATTCAATACTAAAGAAAACTTCACACTATTCAATTGGGAATTTGAGTGTTGAAGCTATAATCTTGATATACATATTGAAAGTTCTATATGGAAAGTATATTTTTACAGGCAATTTCAACAACCTTTTGAAAAATATCCATAAAATTGTAACGTTTGATAAAATTTATACAGGATATTTAAGAGGAAACAGAAACACGTTACTCTGAAATATTCCGTATAAATTTATTGTTTTAATTCCATTTAATTATTAAATCTCTTTTTTAAACTTGAATGTCTCAATGGATAATTTGACATTTTTGAAAGGAATTAAGACTTTTGAATATTTCATTCATAAATTAAGGGAATTTCTATAATACTTTGGTCTACCTTATTGTCATATCTGTTTCTTTATTAAATGAAATAAAAAAAATTGAATTCTTCGCCTGTTTTTTAATATTTTGAATTTTATATTAAATTGTAAATTGTAAATTTTTTATGAAATTAAAAACATTCAGCAACATTTATGCAAAGACAAAATTCTTAAAAGACAAAGATATAGTTATCCTCTCAAATTTCAATTATGAATTCATTCAAAAAAAATCAGGTCATAAATTTCATTTTTATGATCATATCATGCTAGTTTTGATATATGTTAATTATTTATCTTTCACCAAACACAAAATCTCATGTCCATTATTGAATACTTCTCTCACAATTTTTCAGAGAATTCGACCCATGATTTTAAATTCATTATAGAAATTATTTGAGTGCAACGGTATTTGAATTTATAATTCTTAATTTCCATGCTAATTAATATTATTTAATTACCCATATACAATTTAAACGAAATATTTTTACTCAAATTGTCAAACGGAATTCATTTTTTTAAATGATGAGAAGTGCACTTGCGTTTAGTCATTTACTCTCCAAAGAAGTAATTAATAGCAGCTCTCCAGTTGTTTCGGACAAGAAATTAATATTCTCTGAGGTAGATGATGCTAATGCCCCTGAAATTGTAAAAACAATAATCGAAAATGGAATTACAACTATAGTTTATAGCATTTCCGATGCGGATGTTTTTGATATGCTGGAACCGTATATATTAATGGTTGAAAATTTAGAAATTGATGAATATCCAGGAGATACTTTATATTTAAATCATGAGTATTTACGAAATCTAAAATCTATTACAATTCCAGGAACTATCCAAACTATTGGACAATCTTGTTTCCAATATTGCAAATTTACAAGTATTGATCTGAAAAATGTTACAACCGTTTTAGGCGCTGCATTTTTTGTGTGTAGAAATTTAGAAACAATTGTCGCACCTAAATTAATTAATATTAATAGTCAATTTGCTGATTATTGCTTCCAATTAAGTTCCATTACAACAGGTGAATTAAGGAGTATTCCAGCTCAGGCATTTAGACAATGCAGAAAATTATCAAGCATAAACATTTCAAAAATAACTACAATTGGTGAAGAAGCTTTCAGATATTCAGGTATTACTTCAATTTCAATTCCAAAGGATTGCACAGAGATTGGCAAATATGCTTTTGAAAATAGTGCATTAACATCAATTATATTTGATGATAGTCAAACCAGTGAAATAAAAATAAATCAATATGCATTTGCAAATACATTTATTTCAAGCATTTATTTACATAAAGCTGTGAGACATTACATGTTCTATACAGGCTATCTATGTGCATATTGCAGCAAACTAGAAAATATTACTTTTCATAGTTCGATAACAAGCATAGAAAGTCATTTTGCATACATGTGCACAAATCTTAAGAGTGTTGATGCAAAAGGAATCACAAGAGTCGGAACGAGTGCATTTGAAATGTGTATTAATTTGGAGTCTGTAACATTTGAAAAAGTAACTAGATTTGGTTATAACTGCTGCAGATATTGCTCCAAACTTAACGCAACTTTTAATAATAATGCAGCAATTGTGTTCGATTGGAGTTCATTTGCATTCTGTGAGAAACTTTCATTTGACTTGATGGCAGAAAATTGGCAATTAGATCTGAAAACATTTTTTGGTTGTAATGGTTTCACTAGCTTAAAATTAGGATCTCAGCTCAAAAGTTATGGTACATTCAAAGGTTGCATGGGACTCAAAAGTGTCGAGATTTTAGGAAGCATTACATCAATCACAGAAAATTGCTTCCAAAATTGCACAAACCTTGAAAGTATAAGTTTCACTAGTAATCTCACATCAATTGGATATTCAGCATTTGCATCAACTGCATTAAAAGGAAAATATGATTTTACAGGAATTCATTTAGGATACTATGCATTCGAAAATACAAAAATTGAAGAAGTTACTATTGGTACTGGCGAATGTATGGTTTTCGAAAATTGTGCCAATCTAAAAACGGTTAATATAAATAGTAGTAATTTCATTGTTGGACCTTTAATTAATACTATTAATGTTGAATTCAAATTTTTAAGCGGTGGTGAAAATATCACCATGGATAATAACATTTTATTATATAAATTTACAGATAATACCGGCACTTATAAACATTTAGTAGGATTTCTTCCAAATTATAATGAAAAAACAATAACAATTACTGATTTTTCTTCAATTCATCCATATGCATTTTCTTTATGTGATAAAATTACAAAAGTGATTATTGATGGAACAAATGTCTTAATAAAAAGAAATGCATTTTCATATTCTAATGTCAAATCTATTGAAATAAAGAAAATTGGACAAACATATATCCCACAGTCTATGTGCTCTGGTAAAAGCAAAATCCAGAAAATAGTAATTCCAGAAGGAGTAACATCCATAAGCTCGTTTGCATTCTATAGTTCCACCGAATTAACCAGTGTGAAATTACCATCATCTATAAGAATCATTTCAGATCGTGCATTTTATTATTGTATTAAATTAAAGTCAATAGATCTAAGTAATGTTGTTTATATTGATAATAAAGCATTTTCTGAATGTGAATCATTAAACGTTGAATTTTCGGAAAATTTGAAAGATATCTATAATAACGCATTCGAAAATACAAATGTAAAGAATGTTATCTTTCCTAATTCTCTTCAATTTCTTGGAATACATCCATTCCAGAATTGCCGGAATTTGAAGTCAATTAAAGTTGGAAATGGAATTACTTGGATTGATAGGATTGCAGTTGATTGTCCAAAATTGGAGAAAGTTATTTTACCATCAACAATTGTGAATATTTCGAGTAATTCGTTTGATAATAGTCCTTCAGTTGAAGTTGAAATTGATTCTGGAAATCCATATTTTGAAGCACATGATCATGTAATAATCGAAAAATCTACGAAGATTGTTATTGCATCATATGGAACATTACCAAAAGAATATGAAGTTCCAGATGGTGTTGTATCTATAAGACAAATTTCAACTAATAAACACTCTGAAAAAGTACAAAATGATAATGTTTATCTTGGAATTTCTGCAGCCATTATTAAATATCCAAAGTCAATGAAATATTTTGAAAGCGTAAAACCATATTTGATATGCAGCGATTCCGAAGCGATATTATTGGAATTTTACAGTGCTAAACCTTATAAGGATTGTAAAACGAAACTTCCCGACTATTATTACTGGAGATTCAACCGCGGTATGACTACTGCTGAAATTGTACTTACAGTAATATTAGTTCTCATTGTCGTGGCAATAACTACTTTAACCATCGTATATTTTGTATGCATCAAAAAAAGGAAAGTAGTTGATGAGCAAAATCCATAATTTTTTTTTAAATTTCAGCCATAATAAACTCAATTTTTATCTAACCATTTATCTATTTATTATCATTATTAATTAGAAATCATGGCCTATTTCATCTTTCTTTTTAAATTAAAAAGAAAGATGAACAATTACAATTATACTAAATTATATTTAAGTCTAATCGTTTTATCTATAAATATTAATATTTGAATGTTCAGTATTTAAACATACATGGTTCAAGAGGATAGTTGTCATCGTCCCATCGTAAATATAATATATCAATACTTAAATAAACAAATAATGATATTTTAAATTACACAAATAAATAAAATAAAAACTTATATAATATAATTACAAAAAAAAAATAAAATAAAATAAATTAGAACCATGGAATAGCAGTAATTGGTTGACCTTTTTCTGTCATAGCTTCTTCAATCACCTTCTGTACGTCTTTGTGCCATTGTATTGCTTCTTCTCTTCCAATTGCACTTCCTTCCACTGGAGAAACATTCAAAATTGGTTCGATTTGGTATTCTCTGTCTGCAACAACTTCTTCTAGTGTTCCTTTCTCAGACATTATCTCTGCCAATGCGCAGACAGTTTCGTAAGACTGCACGAAAGCCCCTGCAGCTGCTGCGAAAGACAAAGCCAAAACTCCAGGCGGATTGTAGCCACACAATCTCACAATATTTGGTGACAATCTGAATGAAGAAGACTGTTCTAAAGCAGAGATATGAGGAACAATTGCTCCAGAAGCAGGACAAATAACTAATTCTTCCAATCCTGGATAAGAAGTTCTCAACAACAAAGATCTAGCACCGTAAAATCCTTGTGCAGAAACATAACTTTGTCTATGATGTAAATATCCAACAGGAGTTGCAGAACTAATGACGTGTCTTAACAAAGAACAGCCATCATGTTGCAATGGCATTGTTGATGGTTCGCAGTTGAATGTCGTGTCATAGACAGAACGAAGAGAAGTAACTCTTTCATTGAGTAATGTTATCGCGAATTGTCCAGTAAAAACAGTTTTGTTCGCTACAGAAGGAGGGAATTGTCTCGAGAACATCTGGTAATTACTGGAAGCAACACTTGTCAACACGTTCTGCGATTGCGAGGCAACAACAGCAGCGTATTTAGGAAAGACGTCCAATTTGTTTATCAGCAAATATTTGTAGTTTCCTTCTTTCGTCAAACATTTAACTGATAAAACTTTGTCGCCAAGCCAAAGAACTTCTGTTGTAAGCATTATAACGTCTTGTGCGAGTTCGTCAACAGAAGTTATGACATGGTTGGCTGATTGTATCAAATGATATACTTTTGCATCGATTTCCGGAATTGTTTCATCTGCTTTTAATATTTCTTTCGCGAGTAACAAAGCGTCTGATTTTTCAACTTTCGCTTTGAGTTCGAGGAGTGAATCTGTTGTCTTTAAACTTATTCCACTGTCCGCAATCACTTTGGCGATGTTGTCTTGGTTGGAAGATCTTTCTGTAACATTACAAGCGGATTGAACTTCTTCACTTGTCATAGATCTCAACAAAAGTAACAATTGAAGACATCTTCTTTGTCTGTCTCTTGATCTGATGTCTACAGTGAACAGTTCTGTCAATATGGAGTTCATCTGTTGATGTGAAGAAATCAAGGTTTTTCCTTGTTTTGTTTCTTGTAATTTTGCCAAAAGAGAATTCAAGTTTAATGTCATCGCTAATCCAACAATTGCGCTCAAGTTGTCTTCGATAATTCTGTATGCGCGTTGATAGAAATAGTCATCATCGCATAACTTAACTAATGATGCCATTAAACCTTCAAAAAGTGACGAATTTTCTTTGACAAAAAGTGACAAATTTTCCATATAATTCTGAACTTTTGATTCACGAATTAAAATGAGCAATCTTGCCAAAGCCTCGAATCTTCTTTCAGGACTGATGAGCTGGTTGAAAGCTAAGACATGGCTGTAACCTCCAATCGCTGACTGAAGGAGTTCATGAGAAAAGTTCATTGCGCACAAATTGTAGAACAAAGTTGATGATTTCGCCCATTCTTCAGCATCCAAATGTGCGTATTGAACTTGGGAAGTGATTGTTCTTGAGAACTCTTCCATAGACTGTTTGGATACAGCAACCAATCCGCTCTTATGATAGCCAGCAATTGATCTGAAGAGCTTCGATTTCGGAGAGATCAAAAACAGAGGTTCATTTCCATCAATTTCTGCTTGATTAAATTGCTGAGTGTTCGTGATTTGTCTGAAGCAATTTATGAAGGCCGGATCGATGGATTTGACTAAGTTTGGAGAGAACAAGTCGAAGATGTGTCCTCTAGACATTTCATCATTGTATTTGGCAGCGGACAATGCAATAATTGTCCTTTCTTTGATGAACATCGTTGGTTCTTTTTTGTTTCTCAATAAAACAGTTGACAAATTCACTAATCGATTGTAATCATTCGCTCTCCTTTCTGGATCGAAATCTCTTATTGGAAGAAGGAGATTATAAGCGCATGAATCGAGTTCATCACTTTCAAAGCCCAATCTAATAGAAGTCATCAATGTTTTCTCATCTTGTATCATGTGTGATGAAATTTCTCTCATCAAAGAAACAAATTTCGATTCAGTTGACAATGGCTCGGAAATTACATTGATTGCTGTGGAATATTTACCAAGCATTGCAAGAGCTGCAGCTGCAGCATCGTGTACAGCAATGTGTTTGTGGGAATATGAATACAAACAGTCGTAAGGCAAAAATTTCTGGAATTTTCTCGGAGGAATCGATGTGTCTTTGTTGACAGTTTCAACAGCTGTGTGAAGACCACAATCATGAGCTAATTTGAGGAGAGTTACTGGATGAATAGGAAGTATTCTGCTGATAATAGAAGATGTCAAAGCAACAAGAACTTCGTGATGCATTCTCTTGGATTTGACGTTCTTTATTCGTTCAGCAAAAGTGGAAATAACTGTTTGACTTCTTCCGGAATCGATGAATCTGCAGAGAACTCCGTAAAGAAGATGAGAACCAATTTTAGAGAGCATTGGTCCGAAACCTAACAAAGTAACACTTTCCGGTGATTCTTCACAGCTCAACAAAGCCAAAACAGGTAAATACATGTCATTCCAGATTCTTGGATCGATTTTTTCAATCAAAAACTGCAATCTGTCTTTAGGATCATTTGGTAACAAAGCCAAAATGTCCATGACATTTGAGATCCTCATTTTAGGAGTGTTTATACTTGCTAAAATGACTAAGATCTCAACACAGATTGGAAGGAACTGTGGATTCTCTTCTGCGACCTTCAAAACTTCATTTATTAAATCAGGAACAGCATCTCTTGGTTCGAAATCGATCTTCCAAACCAATTGTTTGAGGAAATGAAGTTTAATTTCGACAGGAATGTTCTTCATCCTTGCAACAGAATAAGATATAGTAACTAAGTAATTGGATGTTACTTGTATATCTTTGATTCTGTCGAAGATAAAGTCGATGTATTCCATCATGTCAGTTTGAGGAACTTCCTCAATAAACATGATATAAAATGAAATCCAAAGTTTGTGGCAGATGCATTTGAACTGATTTAATCTGAGAATTGTCTCTACAATTGTGTCCCAGATGTATTTCAGTTTATCCAATCTCTGGAATGAAGGAGTAACTCTTACAACAGTTCTGCAAACTCTTGCAACTCTATCTCTTATGTTTATGTTGAAGTTCTTGCAAACCCATTTGAAAGCATCATCCAAATACCTCAAGATATTGTCTGTTTGATGTCTGACAATATAATCTAAAATGTAGTCGTAAAAGATTAAATCTGTGTGTACTTTTGGTTCGCATAACAACAAAAGAGATTTTTGGATGAATTCATCTTTGATTCCATCGATTTCGAGTTTGCAAGCAGCGGCAACCATGAACAAAGAGTTTGGTGTGAATGAATAAGCAGAAATTGCATCGAAAACCCTCTTTGGATACAAATCTGGTCTTTCTTCAACGATGTATTCGCATAAACCATGGATAAACTCGGAAGGAGCGAATAAAGGTGATGTTGTTCCTAACAATGGCTCTAATACTTTCATGGCAAAGTCACAGCCAATGTTAACAAACAAAGTAATCTCGCGTTCACTTGGTTTCGCTCTCTTCACAAATTCTAAACATTTTGTGAATAAACCGTCAAATTCATTCAATTCTGATTCTCTGAATTGTTTGATTTTTTCCAAGTTCTTTTTAATGAAAAGAACCAAACTTGCAATAACAGAGAAAGGCAAGAGATTGAGGAGTGTTGGTATATTCTGGAATACTTCAATCAATATGAGTGTATCTCTTATTGTTGAGCATTTATCGTGTGTGAAATATACCAAAGCTTGAATGAATTCGTTTGGAGGATTCTGGTACAATTCAGTCTTCATGTTGAAGAACTGGTAATAGAGGTTCTTGTAAGGATCATCGAAATACTTCGAGTAAGACAACAACTGTGCTCCGACATTGTAAAAAACAACATCAGGTAGCATTCCGTAAGAATTCAACTTCAAACAAATTTTCAATGCGTACAATTCTGTTTGTGGATCTCCGGATTTCATTCCTTGAATTACTAATATAACTAAACGACTTAAGTTTGATGTTCTTGGAGGTCCTCTCTTCAACAAACTCAAGAAACAGCGAAGATGAGTACATAATGTGTCTTTTTCTGTTTTATTGAAGATCATTCTCCAAATGGATTGAATGAAATCAGGATCACATTTGCCGCAATGAAGAATTGCATGTGATACTAAAATGTAGTACTGCGTATTCGATAAACTTATCTTTGATTTCACGATTTCGCCTAAGAAAGTTGCCCAAAAATCAGCTGGTAATCCTTCAAAAGCAATTCTAATGAATTCATAATAAGTTCTCGTGTGATAGAACATCGCGTTCTGGAACAGTTTCGCGAAATCAATTATAGATTCAAATGTCGCATTTTCTTTAATTATTTTGATATAAGAATTCGCGATTTGTTCCAAATTTGCGTAAGAATTCTCGTATTTTCCTTCTTGGTTCGTGAATTCCGAAAGCATCTTTGAAAACATCGATCTGATCAATGTAGGATATTCAGCAGTCCATGCGAATCTCTGATAAAGAGATAACTGGTAAATCATTGTGCAAACGCTTGGATGTAATGTTGAATATTTCTTGTAATTCTTCAAATATTCAATCAATGCGTTAAACAACTTATTTGATTTATCCAAAGCGATGCAATCAGTTAAAATAGAGAAAACTGTGTTTAGATTTCCTAAATTCACAGTGAAAAAGATTTGTATTGTTTGTCTTGGGAAACAAGAAAGGAATTTCCAAATGTACTTGAGAATTATCGCTCTGTAAGGAACTTGTTTTGATGCTAATAAGTTCATTGTAACAACAATGAATCTCTCTAAGTATTGTGCCTTGTTTGATGAATCTAATATGATGTCTTGGACTGGTTTCAACTGTATAAAATCTCTTACAGTCAATGTTTTGACAACTTGTACGAAATTTGTCAAATTATTCAATCTTTCCAATTCAGAAAACTGTTCGAAATCGAAGTAATTCTTCATCAATGTGTGTATAACACTGTGAGGTATTTTATCAGGGTGTAATTTCATCAATCTCCTGTAGAAACAGCAGTTTGCGATGTACTTTCCTTGTACTTTTGTCATTTCTTCTGGTGTTGATCTTGGATTTGTTGACTCGTTTGAATAAATAGAGCCAATTAATCTCGATGGATTATTACAGTATTCATCGATTGTTGAGGCGCAGATCTGGCTTTTCTCCCTGTTGGCGGCGAAACTCTTGAATTTGCGGATTGCGGAATTGCTTAAATAAGTAATTCTGCTTGTCATCGTGTTGCAAAGGAAGAAAATGACACTTTGTGGCAAAGTTTGGTTCCTTTGTGTTGGCTGGTTATTGTTTGGATTAACTAGTGAATAGAACTCATTCCTGTGCACGAGTTCTGTTATTAATGTGTTCCTTCTAAGAAGCTTTTCTTGTGGTTGAAGTGAACTGACCAAATTTTTGACTTTTTCTGCCAAAAGAACAGAATCATCGAAATTCAGAGGAACTCCAATTGCCATTTGGAAACAGACTTGTTGTGACTGGCAAACATCATCATTGTTATTGAAAGTATTGATAGGAATGAAGAGATCTGGCCTAGGAATGCCCATTTTCCTGATTCTCTTGCATAAAATATGTGGAAAACAAACTGGTCGTTGTGAAAAAGTGTCATTAACTAAATCAATGAATCTGTTTTTGTTTTCAAGGGACTGCATCTCGAGATATGACTTAAAGAACTGGTTGATGACAGAGAAGAACTCACTGTCTATGTTAGTGAATACATTGGACTCGTAAATGAACAATTTAATGTAATCCATCGTTACCAAATTTTTGAAATATTTCATGTACAATGTCAATATCAATGTCAAAAGATGTAATCTATTCGTGTTCGGTTTGGCAAAGACATCATTAAGAGTCTTGGACATGAAATCAATCGAATACTCCGATGAAGAAACATAACTTAAAATGGAATCTGCAATTTTGTACATGATTGATGAGATTTGAGACCTGTTTGATGCGGCAAGTGAACAGATTTCAAGGAAGAACACGTTGGAGACACTTTTAATCATAAGATTTCCAACAATATGTACTAAATTCTTGTAATATCGTTCAAGATCTGTCAGAAATCGCGAATAAACGATGCATTTCATAAGTAAACCTAAGAGATCTTGGATCAGTTCGCTCTGGTGATTGAAATCGCCTGTTCTGTACTTCAGAATGTCAATGCAACGTGTTACATACTGAAATGCAAAGAATGCGTTCTGTTCTGAGTCCGTGTAGTTGGAAATAATGGCCTTGGTGCATACAAGCATATCTACATCACCGTATTTGATGCCGCAGATCTCTGTAAACTGCTCTTTCGGATTAGTGTAGATATGAGGAATCAAAGGAAGGATTCGCTCAACGCTACGTGCACTTTGCTTCGAAAGGAGATGTAAATCATTGACTAATGCGCTGGCTGTTTCAATAAATAATTCATCGTTTACATCAACTTTGCCTTGGGAGTAGTTGATAGTGAAGATATCTGAGAAAATAATTGCTGCTTTCGAAATTATCTCAGAATCTGTCGAATTGAAAGCGACTCTGAAGATTTCGAGATTTTGCATTAATTGGGACTTCTCTAAGTCAAGACTGAGTACTTCTAAGAATACTGGCAGGGCGGAGAACTTGTTGGATTCGACCAATTCGAAGAAAATCGATTGTTTCAACCGACCAAATAAGGAATCTGATGGTTTTTGGCCTTCTGCCTTCTCAATCAGGTAACTATACAACGAGGCATCTGTCTTGACTGTGTTGAAAACGTCGTAAAGGTTAGTTGCCCTTCTGATTGTTGTATAAATTGAAGTTAGAATGAATCTTTGGAAAGATTTGAGCTGTCTTAAGAGTTGTGGATGGTACTCTCCATCCTTCCTGCGGCAGAACCTGATAACGAAGGCTAAAACCTTTGGAATTGCACATGCATCTAAACGATCTTCAGATAACATGAACTTGATGTTCTCAGAAACATAGGAATAGAGGTATTTGACGATTGCTTTGAGGAAAACATCGCTTTGGCTGATCTGCTGGAAAACATCGAAGAATAATAAGGAAATTTTATCGTTTTCGATGTAATGGATAAGGATTTTCGCCATTTCTGTGCATACGTCGTTAATAAAATCACGTGGAGTATGCAATAAAACGTTAATAAACGAAGCATGAATATTATCAATGGCTTTGATCAATCCTTTCAAGCGAGACTCAGTTATCATGAGTCCCAGATTATTCTTCTTGAAGAGAACATGGTTGAATTCGAATGATTTCAGCTCTGTTAATTTTTGAGAAATATTTACGACAAATTTTGTCCAGATTTGAGCGGATTTGATGAAGTAAAATAGTTCTGATTGGTATTCTTTGGAATTCGGAATCCTTTCTGCAATATTTTTAGAGAAATTGGAGTGAAATGCAAGAAAACTTGTTGTTTTTTCAGTCATTTTTGTTAGGATGTCAATTTCTTCATTGAACCATAACATGGCTGTCTCAAGTGATGATGTTTGGCGTTCTTTTATTAAAGTATATAATGTTTTATCAACAAATACATCAGTTGTCTGCATATAAGTTTGCATTGAAAATCCGTAACGTATTTTCCTAAAAGTTCCTTCTTTATCTTCTGTAATATTAGGAGATAAGTAAATTCCGTAAATTGTTTTAACTGTTTGGAAGTAGAGCGTAAAATTCGACTGTAGATTTGATATAAAGAAGAATAGTGGCCATTTTATGTTGTTATCGTATTGAGTTAAAATTCTTTCGTTGAATTTTTCAACTGTTTGGCAAACTCTACGGTGGTTTTCGATTTGTTCAACAGTTTTGAGTCCCTGGCAGATGAAAATGAGAAGTCTTGTTCTTGCAGTGTTATCGTTAACGAAATAATAGAAATAAAAGAGAAGGAACCACTGGAATTGGTGGTGTAATTCGTGGTGTTTTGATAGCGGTAATCTTGCTGCATATTTAGTGATCGTGTCAACCTGATTGAAAAAATTAAAAACAACTTGATCATTTTTGCTTTTATCATCGTAGGATGATTTCGTAAGGTGGAACCATGACTGGAATAAAATTAATATTAAAGCCGATGGATGGTTTGCACATGAAGTAAAAAGAGTATCAACTGCGTTAATAAACTGGTCAGCAAGTTGCTGGGTCTTAATAACCTTAAGGAATTGATCAGCAACAAGTATTTGTGGGATGAACAATAAATCATCCATACCAATGTATTCTGGCTTGACTTTGCCAATTGTTTCACTGAATTTCGTGACTAATTCGATAACTTTTTCAGGAGATTCGAGTTGTTTCATTGATTTTGCAAAATATCTTGTAAAGAATGGGATTTCCATTGAGTAAAAATTCTTATTCGTAGAAGATCCAATTGCATCGAGAGTTTGGTAGACATAATCTATGCAGATGTCGCCATGTTGTGACATATCTCCTTTCATGTTATGCATGAGAATAAGAACAGCAAGAAGAAATCGATCTTCGAAATCAAATGGTAAATCACCGAATTGCTCTGGCTTTGGGAATAAAAATAAAGCATGGAGAGCAACTAGAAGACGAGCCATTTCACTTGTTTTGTTACCATTCGTATTTGTTCGGTTAATAAATTCGAATATTTCTTGAAAATCGGCGTTAAGTTCATCCGGAGGATGAAAACACATATCAACGAATCTTTTGCGTAATATACCGATTGTTTCAATGACATCTTCTTTCGAATTAGATGAGAGCTTCTGAAGAAGCGTACTCATGAATGTCAATAAAAATAAGTTTTTTTTTTGGCGCGAAAAATTAGTTGCTCAATTAAGCATCACCAATCGAATAGATAGTTAAACTCCATTTAGAAAACTCTGTTTTGTTTGAAAACGATTAAAATTATTTTCAAATTCTTTTAGAATAAAGATTTTTGGTACAAATTTAAGAACCATATCATAAGGTAAACCAAACACAACATCAACTGAAAATTTAAAAAATTGTTAAAATTGGAAAATATTATAAAAAAACTAGGAGAATTTAGCAAAAATAGAGAAATCATAATTTTTTTGGAAAATCGAAATGATAAAATATTAACTACTATTCATTCACATGCATAAAACTTCACTGATTTTGATTTTTGTGTTCAGCTTATATCGGTGCGCATCTATATACAGGGACCATAAAAAAAAACATGAGAGTGGGGGCAAAAACCTGATATAAGGCAGATTTCTATCTATAAATATCCATTAAATCCCTTTTTATTTGGAAATAAATTTCAAATATTCATCCAATTCTCAATAAATTTCACTTAAATCTTTGTATATTCATGTTTATAATTTGGTTTCTTAAGGATATCTTTCTAAGTTATACTCATGTAAATTTGAATTTCAAATTTCTTTGAAACTGTGCAAAATTATGAGTGAATAGGCTCAAATACATCTAAATTTACACATTATATACTAATTTTGCGAATTAAAAACTTCGAAATGCAGGTCTGCTTGTGGGTTAATTTTATAACGTGAAAACATACTTCATTGATATATGCTTATAATATTAAACTTAAACATTTATAAAAAATGCAATAATTTAATACAAAACATCGAAATGCTGGACTGTTCTTTATAAAAATATGTCGCAGAGCATTTATCTGTTGTATAATGATATATAAATGAATCTAATGGATCATGTGATTCAATTGTACCTGAATAATAATATCTCACAGCTTGATCTGTGATATCATTATATAAAAATAAATAGTTTCCTTTATTTCCTATGAACGAACAATTTGAATATGAACATGAAGTATAACAATTGATTACTGCGTAATTACTTCCTTTATATTCATTGTATAAAAAATTAGACTTTGTAATATTAATTTTACCAAAATTGTCAATTGCACTCGCTTCTATCGATGTAGTATTTGAAACTGTTGTCAAATTAATAATTCCTGTTTCTGTTGGATCTTGAATTTCATATGCAGGGCAACACATAATTTCATAGTGATAAGATGTATTCATATTACTTACTTTGATATCCCCTTGCATATGATAAAATGCAGCAAAAAATCCACTGCATTGTGATACTGAACATTCAAATGCATAACTTTTGTAGGCACTTTCTTTAGGTAAGATGCAATCTGATTCTTCGATATAGAATGATCCACCTTCATCTGTGGAACTATTGTTGTAAAAGGAACATGTTTCAAGTAATACTTTGCTGTCTGAATTAAGGTAAATTGCTCGATTTTGGTAATGGAAGGAAAATATTGCATAACGAATGTAATAATTTCCATTCCCTGATATGGGTTCGTTAGTGGTCTTATTAATAAAATCATTTGTGATATAATAATCTGAAAAACTTGCCTCAAGTTGGAAATAACGTTGTTTTTTGATTCCTTGTGTTGAAAATGCATTTCTGAGGATTGTTTAATGTTAATTACTCTGAAAGTATCGTTCAATCAAGCATAGAGATTGACAGCAAATAAAGATTTCAAATTTTAAAAGAACTTTGAAAAAAATATGATTTAGAAAAGTGACAATACAATCAAATCATGAAATATACCCCATTACGCATCGTTGTCATAGCTGGAACTCTTGCTCTTACAGTATTTTTCATTACAATATCATCCATCTCTTTTGTTGAGTTTCTTAAACTTCAGAAATCAAATTACCTTCAAGAACTTGAGATCACATTATACATTCTCTTTGGAATCTCATTGATCATTTTGCTTATTGTTGTTTATGCAGCCAGAGTAATGACTCCAAGAAGTATGCTTAGGTTTTTCGTATCAAACATAATTTTAGTTTTACTCTGCGTTACATATTCAGTTTTATCATTCACAATCCCAAGGTACAAATTAATAACAAATGGATTTAAGAAATGGGAAGTATTATATTCTAGTTTTGCACTTGATAACTTACAACAAGCATTTCATTGCTGCGGATATGAAGACTTAGTTAAATATACCGGACGAAATGATTTTTGCTTCAGAGATGAACCTGAAAATCAAAGAATAACTTGCAAAGAAAAATTTGAAAAGGAGTACATTCCTATCTTTAACAATCTTGGAATAGCATCAACAGTATTTTCCGTAATCGGGTTTGCCTTTGTTTGTGTCAGTTTTTACAATTATAAGTTCACAAATTACGAAGAAGAGAGTCCTGATGCCGAAACCATCTTAGATCAAGGGCTGATATAAATTCCAATCCATCTCTATCTAACAATCTCATTCTTTTAAGTTATATTTTTTTTTTTAATAAAATATTTGTATAATTTCGTAGTTTTATCAATTACATTCTATCGCTTTAATTAGATATTGAGCAATCATCAACATTTCCTAACATTTTTCTTTTTTTTCCCCACAAATCAGTGATTTTTCCAACAATTTTAGGTCGAATTCTTTGCCTATACCTAAAATGAATACGATGGAATATTTATCATCAAATTCAACAAGACACACTTTTTTGAGAAAAATTTGACTCAAATTTACGGTTAGAAATTAGGACAAGGAAAATTTTTACTTCTTTTAGATTTGCATGGACGAGAACCAAATAGCCGCTTTATGTGATAGCTTCTTCTCCAACGCGGATCCGAAGAACAAAGAACAAATGAACATACAGCTTAATCAAATCAAAGATGATCCAGACGCTTGGAGAGTTTCCAGAGGATTAATTGAAGGCAATCACTCTGATTACGCAAAAGCATACGGATTCCAATTGATTTCAAACGCAGTCAAAACATATTGGGGCAATATTAGTCCAGAAGAACGCGAAGATGTCAGAAATTTTGTTGCCACTGTTTTAATCAATTGGTCTGAGAACAACATCTGCAAACTCGCACAACCATACTGCTCTCAAGCTCTTGCCAGGATAATTATTCGCGATTGGCCCCAAGAATGGCCAACTGTTGTAAATGACATGATAGACAACGCTCTCTCCAATACAAACTTATTGAATGTCATCCTTACACTCCTCAGAGACATCTCAACCGATGTAAAAGACTTTTCTCAAGGCGCAATCACAACAAGTCGTATCAGTCAATTAAACAGAGCTCTTCTTGAAGTCACACCGAAAATTCTCGAGTTACTCGGCGAAGTCTTCAACGTAGACCGCGGTGTTGACATCACAAGAACAGCTATGCAATGTTTTGGCTCAGTTGTCAAATGGCTCGACCCTTCTGGCTTCTACAACTCCAACCTTCTTGAAATACTCACGCAAAACTACCTACCAAACCCTGCCTACCAGGAAGATATCCTTACAATTTTGGCCGAATTTGCAAATAATGAGGCCACAAAGAAAGACGCGAACGCTCTCAAGGTCATTCCTCCTCTATTCAAGATCATCATGGAATCCATCGGCGAACCACAAGCAAATGACCAAGAATTTTTCATTAATTTATATTTCGAAGAACAAAACCGTGTCCAAGCCATCATCAACATGCTCTACGCGTTCATGTCGAACTACCTTACAACAATAGAAGCTGCAGATCTCATCATTCCCCTTGCTGTCGGCTTCCAATGGACAAATGGCTTTTTATCAGTGGTCCAACCACAAACTGACTGCTTCAAGAACATCGTTGAGCTTTGGAATGTGGTCGCGAGACATTATCACTACGAAAGCCACAACAGATCTATTGAATTAAACGAAATGTACATGGAATTCATACATCAAGCGCAGTATGTACTGATTTGGAACATCCAGAGGCCACCACAGATCAATATAGATGTAGAGAACGAAGGTAATTACGTCGTAAAGGCTACAAATGACGCAGAAAGTCAATTATATAATCTCATGCACGAAACATTAGTTATTATGACAAATATATCACCACAACAGACTATAGATACAATATACGCCATGTTCGAAGCATTAGTCGACGAACAAAACCCAGTACAAAATCCAAATCTTCATCTCACAAAAATTTGCTGGGCAACAGGCGCTGTATCAGGAGCCATTCCTCAGGAGAAGGAAAAGAGATTCATTATTGACGTACTTACGAAATTACTCCATTTATTCGAAGGAGCCGACGAAAGTAACAAAGTATTGCTTGGCAGTGGAGTTCTTTTCGTTTCTTCGCAATATCCGAAGTTCCTTTGCCAGTATCAGCCGATTTTCACCTTAATTATTGAAAAAACAGTCCAATTCATGCACGAAAGCATCGAAGGTATAAAGGAAGTGGCCGTATCCGCATTCAGAACAATCGCGGAAAGCTGCAAACGAGCTTTCGTTCAATCCAGAGGCCAAGATCGCTCAATGTTCGAAGAGTTGATCGCCAACGTTCCTTCCACAGTATCTGCCCTCGAAGAGGAATCACCAGTCCACGCGATCAAGTTCTACGACGCCATGTCAATCATTATTACCGCGATTCCTAACGAAGGAGAGCGCGCAACTGCAGTTGGAGCTCTTATGGAGAACATAAATGAGCGTTGGGAGAGCTTTTCGCAGAGTTTCGATGTAGGTAGTGAGCAAGATGTAGAAATCATGACATATCTCTTAAGATACAACGCCGTTGTCGCAAACAATGTAGGTATTGCCTTCCATCTCCAGTTCCAGCACCTCTTCCAGACCATCCTGTTCCTCTACAACGCTGTTGCAACTCGGGCCATCGTAGAGTGTAATGGCGACGATAACAATAAATTGGCCACCAACCTCAGACAATGTTTGTCGGCCATTACGTCTGTTATTGGCAATTTCTGTGAAAACTTGAACGGCAATATCCTCCAATACATCAAGACAACAGTTATTCCTCAATGTAATGAGCAGATTGGGCTTAGCTTCATCAAGACATTCGAACCATTACAGAACTTGACATCAGGAGACTTCACAGCGGTCAACGTTTGCGCTTGTGTCCCCGAAGTTATCAAGATGTACACAAGTTTCATCAAATGCATCAAACAGGCGGCCAAGCCCTACTTAGACGACATCTACGAGCGAATCTTCAACCCTACAGTTACGATCGTTCGCGGAGATGAGAATAATACTTTATTATTCCGACAGCCGCTCATGGATTTAGCCTCAGCAATGATCCAGCATTGCTATACATGGATCTTCAACATCGAAGAGAGAATCCAAAGCTTCATAGAGTCAATTGTTATCTGTTCCCACGCAAGACAGTACGAAATCTCCACTTCCGGCCTCAAAAACATGGCAGACTTGTACAAGAAGCTCAATAACTCAGCTACTGTCCAGTACAAAGGTGCATTTTGCCAACAATATTACTTAGATACTGTCAAAATGACCTTTGAGATCATGACAGACACAGAACACAAGTTTGCCTTCAAAGAAGAGGTCGAACTCCTGAGAAGTCTCTTCCTTATGCAAATTGATCAGAGAGATCCAGTCCAGATCACGATGCAGCTCACAGAACTGATGCCGAACAAGGAACCGAAATGGATCTTGGCCCAAATAGACTCTTTCTTGAAGATGAAGGAAAAACAAGATTTGAGCAACGCCGTTGCTGATTTCTTGATCGATATAAAGGAATTCATGCCGTACGTCAAGGAACTGGACTTGGAAGCATTGGAACAACAACTCAGGAGTCACCAGGAAGATTTGAAGAATTTCGAAGGATTTTCTGGTCCAAGACAGGTTAACGAGGATGATGTTAACAACATGGTAATGGACATCAACCAGATGTAATATTATTTTAGTTTAATTTTTATTATTTTATATTTTGTTTTAATTTTTGATTTTTAGAATTATTTACTATTAAAAAGAATCTCTGATTTATTAATATTTTATTATTCATTCATGGATGGACTTTCAATTTTTTTTTTAATTTGATTTATAAAAAATAACTATAATAACTTTCTCCTTAGGAAATTGGGGTTTAAAAGTTGGATGCCAATAAAATTAATGAGTTTCAATTTAATAAATTTTATCAATTTAACTCTATGTTGGGGCGTTATCCAAGAAAAATATATTCTCTAAACGCCCCACTCTATGTTGATACATATATATTTTCCTCTTGAGTTCTTCAGACACCAAGATAGAGACAATGTTCTCTGAAAATATATTGAGTTAGAATAGTGTTCAACTTATTTTCTTTTTTCACAGAGATACATTTGTTTTTATCCAATGTGAATATATTAATTATATACTTATGTTAATAAGGGTACATATTGCCATAAGAAATTTCCTTCTAATCTTTTTAGATGGTGAGATATAAGCACTTAAACTATCCCAATTGTTTGAGAATTCTCTCAAAATTGAGCATGATGAGGAAAAAATATTGAATTCCAGCATCTACCAAAAAGTCTTATGAAGATCAATATCATCATGTTTCTACAGAAATGATGCCATTTCACATAGAAAATTTATCATATAAGGAAATTTCCAAAGTAGTAGGATAGGATGGGTTGTGTGACTTTTTTTGTTGCATCTATATATAGACGATGCATTAAAATATATTTATAAACCATTAAAAAAATTAAAGTTATTTTTTTATTCTTACATAAATGACCCAACAAGTAAAACCAGATAAAATAGATTATCGAATTTTAGAGGATGGTGTTCCTGTTTATATTCAAAGATTTAAAGGGAAGCAATATTATAGAATTGTTAATCCTGAATACATAAAACATTTATTTAAAAAGGAAGACTGTGAATTATTAAACGCTAATGAATATGAAACCAATAAATCAAAATTGAAATATAAATATATTGGAAGTGATGAAAGATGCAAAGATAAAGATAAAGTTTATACAGTTTCATATAATGAATGGAAAACCAATAAGATAAGAAAACATTTAGGAGATTATGGTAAAAGTTCTGAATTCTTTAAATCTAGTATGTACGAGAGAGCAAAAGAAATTAGAAATAATTATTTTCATGAATAAAAGATTCACTACCATAATGAAATAAAAAATATATTTATATACTAAACACATTAAAAAATTAACATTAATTTTAAAATATATTTATTTTTCCATCTTTTATAAAAGAAGCTATATATAGATGATGTCAGATATTCCGCGATTAATTAATTATTTTTGAATAACTGAAGGTGTCACCAGGTCACCAGGTCACCAGGTTATTTAACTTCTCTGAAAAAATGAGACAACATGACATTTTGACAACACAACAGGTATGAAAGGAGGTATAAATATAATGATAAAGAATATTTAATTTCATGGAATCAATGGAGTCATAAACTTTAAAAATTCATGTCTTACATTTATGAATAATTTATTTTTATTTTGTATGAAATGAGCGTCAAAACTAACGACGTGAAAAAATTAGGATTCACAAACGAGGAAATAAAGGATATATTAGATGAGATGTGTTATGAAGTTAGTAAATATTATTTAAGAAATTGTCAAAAATTTGCCGAGTTATTAAATGATTTAGATTATGATGGAAAAATGAATAAAGATGATGTTATAAATTTCTTATATCCCACATCTGAAGAAGAAAAACCTAAAGAACCTGATGTTTTCCCTGAATATTATGAAGAACGGATTAAAGATGATGAATACGATGAAATTGAAAGACTGGAAAAAATAAGAGATGAAATAGATGAAAAAATTAAGGAATTAAGAGAAGTTGAAAAATATAATGAAAATGAAGTAGAGGGTTTAATGAATATCCCAGCTTCAGAATCAGAAGTTCAGAAATCTCATGAAGAAAGATATAAAAATTATGTCTCAGAATCAACACAAAATTTATTAGATGGCGAAATAGATGAAACACTTTCAGAAGAAGGTACTAAATTTATTTGTAAACATAAGTTACAATTTATTGATAATGAAGAATACCCTTGTATCCTACTTTCACCACCTTTAGATTCCGAAAAATTCAAAAAAGCTCTTAAAAATGTGACATATGCAACTAATACGATTAAGAAAGAAGATCATGATATTTACACAAATTATTATTTAAATAAATGCACAGGTGTTGATAAAGTTTTTGATTTATTAGATAAAATATCAAAAGAAACCATTGGAACATATAAAATTTTGTGTGATTGTGGTTTCATTATTGAAGATACCAATAATGTTTCATATGAAAGAACAGCACCGAAGGAAGACGAAGTGGAAAGGTCTATACCATTCGTTATTAAGAACATAAAAGATATGAAAACTTATAAACATTATATTTATTCATTTATTTCAGAAAAAATGGAAGCAACCCATAAAACATCTTCTCATCATTTTATAGCTATTCATACATTCCTTTTCAAAGTTGTGAAATTAAATAAGACAGGAATTAGATTTAATGTATCCGGGTACGCATTCTTGAGTAAATTAAAATGTATTCGTCACGTCGCAGATGATAAAAATTTATGTGTTCTTAATTCATTTTATGGGCTTTAAAAAATAAACTTTATTTTTATTTTTTATTCTTACATAAATGAACAAAAACGGAACCGCTAAAATGAATGATAATCAAATTAGAGCAGAAGGTAGAAGGTTATTTAAACGCTTCTATAACATTCCTGATGGTGTTAATCCTAAAACTCGTAGAAGCTATTTAAATGAAGCAATAGATTCATATGAAGGGTTTGACATTTCATCAGAAAGTGAGAGATTAGCGAGAATGTTAAATGTTAATATTGATTTCTATTATTGTGATCCTCAACCAGAAGACGTGGACATAAATAAGGTAGACTTTCCATTAGTGGATTCAATAATGATAGATCCAGAATTTGAAACAATAAATATTTTATTAACACAGAGTCCATGTGGAAAACTTCACGCTGACAGAATAACAGACGTTGAAGCACTCACCGGCTATAGAGTTTGTCCATATTGTAAAGAAGAAGTTTATTCTATCCGTGATGATCCAGAAAGGAAAAACCAAAGAAGATTTTTAAAGCATTGTGAGAAATGTAAAGAAAATAATGGAAGATTAATTCAAGACGTTCAATTGCAAAAGACACAGCAACCATATGCACCACATATTACGAAACAGAAGATATATCAGTGGTTATTAGCTCATAATTTGCAGGAATATTATCAACCGACAAGATATTATATTACTTTTGACTTCGAAACATTAGAGACTAAAGAAGAATTACAACTTTCTGAGTGTGCAACTTTGAACGCTTACTTAAAACCATTCATGGTATCATCAACGGTTAAATTAAATGATAAAACATATACGAGGAATTTTTGCTTAACTTCGAGTGATTCTTTTATTTCTGATTGGATTGAGTTTTTATTTTCAACCTGTTCATTAGTTGCTAAATCAAATATTGAACAATATGAAGAATTAATGAAGTCGCAAACGGACTCTTTGAGTCCTGAAGGTCTTTCAGACCAAACGACGGGACTTTGTCTCATACATTAAATGAAAAACAGAAGGAAGCATTTAAAGAACTTCTAGATGAGGAATTCAATAAAGTGAATATCATAGGTTTTAATTCGGGAAAGTTTGATTTAAATTTAATTCTTCGTGATTTAAACACTGCAAAATGGAAAATAAAATCAATGCTGGGTTCATCTTCACAATTTAAGCAAATCATTGTAAAGAAAACAAACGTTCCATATGAATTGAGATTTATTGACATCAGAAATTATATAGCGGGTGGGACATTAGACCAATTCACTCAAGATTTCGGAAACAATAAAACACGTGTTAAATCCTTTTTCCCTTATCAATTCATCACGTGGGAAAATTACGAAGAAGAATTATATAAAGTGGAACCATTCACGAAAGATTCATTTTATTCAGCATTAACTCAAGAAACTATATCAGATAGTGATTATCAAATATATCTCAATGATGCTAAAAATTTTAAGAATAGATTAGAATATTTTATTCATTATTGCAATAAAGATGTTGAAATTATGATTGACCCAATTGATAAAATTATTGAAGAAACATTTGTTTATAAAATTGACATGCTTCATAATCTTTCTTTATCATCGAATGCTTCAATGATTCGTTACGCTTTAGCATATAAAGACTTTAATCCTAATGAAAAATATCCTGAGGAAGAGATAGAATCAAGTTTTGAATTAACGAAAAAGTATTGGAAATATAAAATTGAATCATATAAGAAACAAGATGAAAAAGCAGAAAGAGATACTAAAAATAATGTTTCAATGGATGATTTTCAATACTATCACGATTTAATCCTTTCATCTAAATGTAAAATGTGTGGTAAAGCGTTTACATATGCTAATAAACCAACATTAGATAGAATAGATAATGAAAAACCACATACCAAAGAAAATTGTCAGTTAATGTGTTGTTATTTCAATGTCGTGAAATCAAATAAAGATGAAGATGTTCAACGTTTAAGAATCAATTTAAGAAATTACGCATTAAAAAATAATTTACCAATGACTTTAGATTCAGTTGAAGCTTATCACATTCTCCGTAATGGAATTACTGGTGGTTTATCAAATGTTCAACATAGAGTAAATCTTAAAGGAATCACGCACATTAATAAACTTGCATATAATCCAGAAACTAAAACTATATCAAATGAGGACACCACCAACATTATGACTCATTTCGTTGGTGTTGATTTTAATTCATTATATCCTTCATCATTTTCATCTAATCCTCATGATTTCATTCAATATACTGACCATAAAATGTATATGCCGGGAAGATTGAATGGTGTTATTATTTGTGATACAGCAACAAAGAAAGCAAAAGCACTGGGAATTATTAGAAAGAAAAATACTTTATTCGTGGCTGAAGTAAAGGGTCACATTGATGAAAAATACATTAATGATTACATAAACTTTTTACCGATAATAAGAAACTTAGATATAGGGTGTCCAAAGGTGCGTTTAGCACAGCGCTCTATATGAGACTATTAAAGGAGATATATGCTGATTATAAATATATAATAAAAAATATGAATATATGTATATGATGAGTAAGTTGTATTTTGGCGCCATGCCGGGATATAAAATGAATTTTGAGACAAGAGGCGGTTTCGCGGGAAATTTTGGCGGGATTTTTTTCATTTTTTTAATGAATCATAAAGAAAAATCCTCGCTTTGCAAAAAAATGCAAAAGACTGTAAAAAAATCTACGAGACATTGTAAAATGCTCGGTATGGATGCTCCTAGCTATTCCACTGTAACGTATCATGTTAGGATGTATCACTTCATGAACAAAAAGGCGCCCATCATAAAAATTGACAAAAAATTGCCGGATCAAAGAAAAATCAAAGCAATTCTTCAAGCGCTAGATGAAGACCCAAGAGCATCACTCAGAAGGATAGAGGAGATGACAAAGATACCACGTACAACAGTCAGTTATTATCTGCACAATTATTTGAACTACAAACTAGCGTATACACGTTGGGTTCCGCACAACCTTAATTCAGTTCAAAAAAAATCTAGAGTCCAATCTTCGAAAGAGCTCCTTTCTATATTGGGTGCTTATCAATCCAAGAAGTTTCGCTTTTAGTAACAGGGACGAGTCTTGGTTTCAATATGCAACAGAAGCCAAAATCATGTGATCCGAAGGATGAAATCCGCAAACATTCCCGAAGAAAAAATTGACACACCAATGATGATGTTGTCGGTTTTTTTGGGGCGTGAATGGCATCATCGCAATTGATATTCTTCAAAAACCTAATACGATGAATGCTCAGTATCTAATTGACAAGTTTCTTACTCAAATTATCAATTCTGATGAGTTTGAGAAATTCAACAACAAAACAAAAGTTTGCAATTCATTTTGATAATTCAAGAGTTCACAAAAGTCATAAGGTAATGAATTACTTGTGGAAAACAATGTCAAAGTTGTTCCAACCCAATTTATTTACCTGATATTGCACCCTCTGACTTTTATTTATTCGGCACGCTAAAAAAGAGAGCTGAAGACGCGAATTCGCGAGTCCAGATGATCTTGAAAATTTGTAAGAGAGCAATTTGAGCAATTTTCTCATGATGATTTAAAGCGTGTCTTTCAAGCCTGGATCGATCGCTGCGAACGTGTGATTGAATCCAATGGTGATTATATTTAAATAAACTTTATATATATGTAACTTGTTTATTTCTATTCGCAGTATTCAGGTTTGTGCTAAACACACCTTTGGACACCCTATATTATCACAGATGAAAAAACAATTGGTAGTTTTATGTATAATTACATGAAATCAAACAATCTACCAGTTGACCAGAAACAGAGGAAATTAACTCAATTAGCATCAACACACAACCAATATCAACCATTTTCTTCTTATTATCTTTGGTATCTAATCGACAGATTTCATTTTATCATCGATGATATTCAATCAATTTTAACATTTACTAAAAACACTTGTTTTAATGAATTTGCGAACAAATTTATGAACGAAAGACAAAAGGCTGAATTAGAAGGAAATAAAGGAAAAAGTTTATTTTGCAAGATTTCACTTAATGGATCATATGGTTACGATGCAATGAATACACAAAATTACGCAAAGACTAAAATAATGAATGCACAGAAGGCACGCGTTGCATGTATGTCAAATAAGTTTAAAAACATAAGAGAAATAGGTGAAGATACATATCAAGTGATGCTTAAAGATAGATTTTATAGATGTGATACATGTTTACAAGAGGCATTCTTCACTTTAGATAATGCTAAATACTGGTATTTGGTTTTCATTTATGATTTTATGTATAAATGCATGGATGTTAATTGTTTTCATTTCATTGAAGGTGATACTGATTCATCTTATTGGGCAATCGCTGGCGATCCAAGTCTTCCTAACACTCAAGCATTTCAAGCAATTGTTACCGATAAACAATTTTATGATAAAAATGTTTTCAAATTCGCACCATTTGATTTCTTCTGTTTTGATGAGAAATTTAAACCTAAATTAAAGAATAAAGCTGAAGAAAAAGCACATGAGAAGAAGTTATTGGGTTTAGCAATTGAGAAACAAGGTGATAACATGGTGGCGTTATGTCCTAAATGTTATACATCATTCAACGGTTCAATTGATGGGAGTGATTTTAAAAAGATTGCACAAAAAATGAAGGGTGTTAGTTTAAGACAAAATAAGCAATTAACACCTAAAAAATATTTGGATATAATAAATGATAAAGTGATATTTGATGGTCAGAATATTAATTTACAACTTAAAAACGGGTCAATGACTCGCTTAACAATCGGTAAGACTGCATTAACAGGAGCACACACTAAGGCTGTATGTTGTGAAAATGGATGTTGTATGCCATTTATTTAATACAATTTAAAATTTTATTCTTAATGAAATGCCACAGAAGAGACAAAAGGAACCGTTAATGATGGTTTTGATACTATGATTCAAAGAGGTGGGCACCCTTAAAACATTGATTTTATTTTTATATAAATGGATAACGTAGATTTAAAAATTTTAATTGATGATTTAGTACTTAATCAAAATTTTCTTAGTTATTATGAATTAAAATCATATCTCCAAAAATATAATAAAAATATAACGGGTGATGATATGGAATATTATTATCCATATTATAAAAATGAAATTTTGAAATATCATGATAGAATAATTTCTGAAATTAAAGACAAAATTAAAAATAATGAATATACAAAGGGAAAAACTAAATCACAACTTAAACAATTGAAAGATTTCAAAAATAAAGTATTAACAGAAGAAGATATTGATGAATTATATAAATTATATAATCCTGAGCCGCAAAAGCCAAAGCCGAGGTCTAAAGTAGCAAATGTTCAACAGCTAAAGGTGCAAAACGCCCAGGTCCTTCAGACCATAAATGATGCACAAGCTTTAATTTATGATTCATTAGTTAAACCATATTCAGCCCGACTTTTAAATGAAGATCAACTTTTGGAATTCATCCTTCAACATAAACTCGAAGCGGGAAAGTATATCAAACCTTTATATACAGCATATTTAAAACAAATGAATAGAATACATCCAGAATTAATGAAGGGGGGAATGAAATCCAAAATCAAAGCAGATAAAATTAAACCACTTGCAACACCAAAACCTCCAACGACAGTACCGCCTCCTCCTTCAGTTAATCCTTCATCATTCACTTTATTATATCCATTTCAAACATTAAAGATGCAAAAAGATTTTAAAAAGGATTTCAAGATATTAAATAAACCAATTGACCCAAAAATTCAACCGTTAAAGGAAAAATTTAGTCGCCCTTCATTTGCTCCATATCCATATTCATACGAAATCGATCATCTGGAATATTCAAAAGGAAAAGTTACTTATTTATTTGCCATTAACATTAACACTAGATATTTATATTGCATTCCAGTGAAAGGGAAAACAGAACAGGAAACAAGAAGAGCCATACAATACTTACTAGATCATGAAAGAGTAGATAATATCAGGGGTGATGGTGATAAAGGATTTCAGGCAACTATGACTCATTATTTCCCACAAATTAATTTTTACTTTTCATCCTCTCCATATACGTTTCATAATAGAATAGTTGATGCGGTAATGAGAACTCTTAGAGATGCGTTAGGGGTTAACGGTCAGATATACTGGGCTGGAAATCATGACTCCATCATACAACAGTTAGTATATTATTACAATAATACATGGCATAGAACTATAAACATGAAACCAGTGGAAATGAAAAATGATATTTCAAAAGAATGGGAATATATTAGAAAGCACATGGAAAGGTTGAATGATGTTAAACGTGAACAAATTAATTCGGGGCTCATGAATTTTAAACAAGGGGATAAAGTTTTGATTCATCTCGATTATGGAAAAACTGATAAATCAATGACAAAAAGAAGACGAAGATTTGACACAATAGCTGAATTTGTTAGATATATTAACGGCAATGCATTAGTTGAAGTTGACAATAAATTAATAGAAATTCCGATTTATTTTATTACTCCATTATATTTAAATAATATTTAATTTTTTTTATTTCGTAAGAAATGAGTGACAACAAAGCATCCAAGAGTCCAGACGATGAATATAAAAAGAAACTAAACAGAATTAAATCAAAAATATGCTATTACAAAAAGAAGCCGCAATGCGGTGGGGCTGATGCCCATAAAACTAATGGAACTGAAAACGATGAAGAGAGGAAAGAAATAATCGAAAAATTAGAAACTTACCGTTCAATCCTTAAACTGGGTGAAGCAAAAATAAAAGAATTTAATAGAATAAATAAATTGATTGGAAGAGATGAATTTAATAAAGATGAATTTTTAAACTCAATCCAAATTTAATTTTTATTCCTCTTCGACAACGTCTCTCTTTCCATCATTACTGCATAACCACATTTTCTCAGTTTTAGTGGTTTGTTATTTTTAGCAAGTTCTCGCATCATTTTTATCGTTTCCTCCCTTGTTATGATTCGTGGTAAATTTTGAGCTTGTGGGGTATCCATTTATGATAAAAATAAAAATTTGTTATCAGTTATTTTATCGTTAATGGTTTTCAGGTTATTCAATAATTAATTATTTTTGAAGAACTGAAGGTGTCACCAGGTCACCAGGTCACCAGGTTATTTAACTTCTCTGAAAAAATGAGACAACATGACATTTAGACAACAACACAGGATTAATGCAAAAATAAATTCCAATCATACTTTATAAAGCTTCATTTACAGGTATTTCATCGTCAGTAAATGAATCATCATTATCGTTTGGTTCAACCTGTTTATATAATCCTTTCATTTCTTCTTTCAAAACATAATACCATGTTTGTTTACCATCTATTTTTCTTTGTTTCCTATCACATTTATCCTTAATGCTCATTTGAAAGTTTTTGTCTTTCATGCCTGATGGTTTGCAGAATAGAGCATTTTTACACGTCACACCTGCACACAATTCATCATAATGTGTATTTATCCATACATCTAAAGGATTTGTTGATAATTCAATTAAATCTTGTTTGGCTTCAGTCATCGGTATGATTCGTACATTAAATGATGAAAGGTCATATTGCATAAAATACGTCAGTAAATTATCATAAAATTCCTTAGTGCATGAATCCATTAAATTCTTGAAGTAATCAAATTGACCCTTAAATTTACCATTAACTCTTAAAACTACGTATCTTCTGTCTCCAACTTCAATTTTGACAGGGTAGACGTTATTAGTTACGAAAATGAAGTTTGCAACGTTCTGAGCAGTTCTTCTGGGTTGATTCTTTTCATTAATTCTAATCTCATTATCCGTTATAATTGATTTCAAAGCGTTGAAGTTTGCAAGTCTGTCTTCACCAACATTCTTGAGTTCATTAAGTACAAGAAACATTTTATTTTCAACTACTGAGTTGAAATTACCCGTTAGCTCACTTATTTCAGTAATGTTTTTACATGAATAACCAGCGAGAAGTTCAGAAATAATGTCTGTAAATCTGTTTTTACCTGTTCCCTGAAGTCCTTTCAAAATAATTGCTGTTTCATTCTTGATTCCAGGATGTTGAATCATTGATGCAATCCAACCAAGAAGATATTTATACACTTCATCGTTATTATCACAAATGGCTTCTTTAATGAAATCCATAAACATCTCAATTTTTGAGTAATCAGGCTTTTCGAGAACGATGTATTTATAACCTTGAAACGTTGAGAAAACATCTGGAGAATCAGATTTAAAGCAAACACCCTTAACGGTTAATGAGGATAATTGATTTAGTAGTACATCCCATGCTGTTATTGTTTTACCTTCTTCTTTAAATAATTTAATCATTTTGAGTGACTCTTTCATGTTTGACTGAAGAACGAATGATATTTGATTCATTTTGTCGTGGATATTATAGTCCTTTTGAATGAAATATTTATTTCCACAATCTACAAAACGGATTACACGTGATAAATCCTCAATTACTTCAGAACTGTTTTTATACTGATGATTTTCAGCCTTGCGTCTAATATCTGTTATCAAAAACGAGTCATCAAGTTTGATATCAAATGTTATTTTTGGCTTACGTAATAAAGGTAAAACGTATTCATCATAATATTCTTTTTGATAAAGTTTTAGAATCTTCACTAAAACAAATGGAGAAGTCATTAAATGTGCATATCTACTACGTGCTTTTTCAAAATTACTTTTAGCATTTTCTGTTAAATTGCAGAAGTTATAAACGTTATCGTATGCTTCATTAATTAAATGATTAGGTAATGAATTAATATAGGGTGTCCAAAGGTGCGTTTAGCACAGCGCTCTATATGAGACTATTAAAGGAGATATATGCTGATTATAAATATATAATAAAAAATATGAATATATGTATATGATGAGTAAGTTGTATTTTGGCGCCATGCCGGGATATAAAATGAATTTTGAGACAAGAGGCGGTTTCGCGGGAAATTTTGGCGGGATTTTTTTCATTTTTTTAATGAATCATAAAGAAAACATCCTCGCTCTTGCAAAAAAATGCAAAGACTGTAAAAAATCTACGAGACATTGGTAAAATGCTTCAGTATGGATGCTCCTAGCTATTCCACTGTAACGTATCATGTTAGGATGTATCACTTCATGAACAAAAAGGCGCCCATCATAAAAATTGACAAAAAATCGCCGGATCAAAGAAAAATCAAAGCAATTCTTCAAGCGCTAGATGAAGACCCAAGAGCATCACTCAGAAGGATAGAGGAGATGACAAAGATACCACGTACAACAGTCAGTTATTATCTGCACAATTATTTGAACTACAAACTAGCGTATACACGTTGGGTTCCGCACAACCTTAATTCAGTTCAAAAAAATCTAGAGTCCAATCTTCGAAAGAGCTCCTCTCTATATTGCGTGCGTATCAATCCAAGAAGTTTCGCTTTTTAGTAACAGGGGATGAGTCTTGGTTTCAATATGCAACAGAAGCCAAAATCATGTGGATCCCGAAGGATGAAGATCCGCAAACATTCCCGAAGAAAAAAATTGACACACCAATGATGATGTTGTCGGTTTTTTGGGGCGTGAATGGCATCATCGCAATTGATATTCTTCAAAAACCTAATACGATGAATGCTCAGTATCTAATTGACAATGTTCTTACTCAAATTATCAATTCTGATGAGTTTGAGAAATCCAAACAACAAAAACAAAAGTTTGCAATTCATTTTGATAATTCAAGAGTTCACAAAAGTCATAAGGTAATGAATTACTTGGTGGAAAACAATGTCAAAGTTGTTCCAAACCCAATTTATTCACCTGATATTGCACCCTCTGACTTTTATTTATTCGGCACGCTAAAAAAGAGAGCTGAAGGACGCGAATTCGCGAGTCCAGATGATCTTGAAAATTTTGTAAGAGAGCAATTTGAGCAATTTTCTCATGATGATTTAAAGCGTGTCTTTCAAGCCTGGATCGATCGCTGCGAACGTGTGATTGAATCCAATGGTGATTATATTTAAATAAACTTTATATATATGTAACTTGTTTATTTCTATTCGCAGTATTCAGGTTTGTGCTAAACACACCTTTGGACACCCTATAGCTTGAAACAGTGTGAATAATGTAACTTCTTTTTCTAAATTCATGTTTCCACCGTCATTATGTACTTCAAAATCACTGATGCCATCGACTATGCTCTGGGCAAGTTTATCGTCAATGTTTACATCTTTGTTTTCATTCATGATATTCTTTATTTCTTCGTTCTTTTGTTCAACTCTTACCTTAATATTCAAATCATTTAATATATCATTCACTGTTCTAGTTAATGTTGAATCATAACTTCCACGAATGAATGAGTATGTATTGATTGGTTCTGTTGCATTCTTGCGAACTCTTGAATCAGCCATAACCACTAATGAACGCTTTGAATCATCAATAGAAGTCATGATATCGATATCATAATCATTGCAGGAATAACATTTAATCATTCTGTTCGAAACTGCATAGAAGAAATTAGTGTTGCAATAAATGTGAAGACCTCCTGAAGCGGTTTTAACGATAACATCTTTATCCGAAAGTTTTGATAAAATGTCTTTTCTAACTGTTTCTTTAAGTTCATCATTGTACGATTTATTGATATCAACATCTATAATCGTTAAATTTGAAATTTTATTTACTAATAAAGCCATACCAGTTTTCCTTCCTCTTCCCATCGTGTTTGAGGTAGTTATGTAAATCAATCTTGTTTTCACCAATTCTTTCGTTGAGGGTTTTAGTTTCTGCCACAACTAATTCCTCAGCTAATGAATCAATAACTTGTTCATCAGAAATGATAAAGTTACTGTTGTTGTTTGTTGCTGTCATTTATATAGGAATAAAAAAATAAAAATAATTTTAAAACTAACTTTATTTTTGTTGCTGAATTCGATGAAGTCATGACAAATCATTTCCTGCTGTGTTGTCAAAATGTCATGTTGTCTCATTTTTTCAGAGAAGTTAAATAACCTGGTGACCTGGTGACACCTTCAGTTCTTCAAAAATAATTCATAACTGCCTTCCTCCTGTGTTGTTGTCAAAATGTCATGTTGTCTCATTTTTTCAGAGAAGTTAAATAACCTGGTGACCTGGTGACACCTTCAGTTCTTCAAAAATAATTCATAACTGCCTTCCTCCTGAACTGTTGTCAAAATGTCATGAGGTTAGAAATGAGGTTAGAAATGAGGTTAGATCTAACCATCTACCCTAAAAATTATTTTTGGTGAATTCAATAAAAATAAATGGTTCATTTACTCACAATATTTTTGTACAAAACGACCCCAAGCTTTTAACTTCTTTTCTGCAGCTTCTAATGCTATCTTAGCGAGTTCATATTCTCTAAATTCTCTCTTTAAATTTTCTTGTTCCCATTGGTCTAGTTCGAATGGAGAATCTCTATAACCATAACATAACTCACGTTCATGTTCTAATTGTTTTTCACACATTTTTCTAACTTCTTGTTCGAACAAAGGTTTAGCATTCTCTACTGTATCCTCGAGTTCTTCTTCATCTAATTTCTCATGAACTTTCTTGTCTATGGAGTCCATAATATCTTTGACATAAAATGCATACTTTACAGAGCACCATTCAGCAACAAAATGAACGAGGTCAGGATGTATGTAAATACCTTTGAATTCATTCATAACACCCTTTGTAAGCTCATAAAATGCTTGTTTTGAGGTCGAGCCACTTTTGGCTCCACCGTATTCGTTCATCCAAAACTCAAGAATTTCCTGCATTTTAGCACTATTGAGAAATCTGTTTAAATGGTTTAACTTTCCTGCTTCTCTTGCCATCTTTGTTGCATTAATGTAACCATCCTTGTCTCTACGTAAGACTTCAATACCGTTATAAGTGCCTTTTGTGAATGTTTCGCCATTAGATTTGTTAGTGAATGTTTTTGCTTCGACTGACATTTCTGTTCTTACATACAAAATAAAAAATAAATAAAAATAATTTTAAAACTAACTTTATTTTTGGGCTGCATCATATTTTCGTAAATGTTGTCAAAATGTCATGTTGTCTCATTTTTTCAGAGAAGTTAATTAACCTGGTAGCACCTTCAGTTCTTCAAAAATAAATAATTATTGAATAACCTGAAACCATGAGACTTTGTCACCGGACTCTTTGAGTCACTTAACGTAAACATTAACGTAAACATTATTTCTGCAGTTCATTACCTAATTAATTACAGACATAAAATATATTTAGTTCATTCGGTAAGCCTTGACCCAAAAGTCTGGGCTCAAGCACATTCAATGAACGCGGTACCATGCGAATACAGTCACAAATGGTGGCATGTAATCTTTACCCGAGCCTGTTGGATTTGTTGTGAAAGTGTGTGAATGATTACCTGCGGTTCCACAGAAAATACCCGTGCTTGAATCTACTGGGTCAGTTGTGATATCATATCTATTCATTCCCCATCTATCCGAACCCGCTGCAAGATTTATATAACCTCTTTTTGTTATTGAATGTGAATGATTACCTGTTGTGTTTGTAGTTCCTGTATGAGTGTGCGGTGGAAGGTTTACTTCTTTAATTTTCTTCGAACCTCCTGTTTGCTTTGAATATCTAGCACAATATAAGAATTTATCCACAATCTGCTTCCACATACCAAAACCTAAAACTTCTGAAGGATTTGTTGAATTCATTGACGTATAAATAGAACCAACAGGATATAATGTTTGAAGTATTTCTGTCTTTAATGTCTGAAGCTCTGTTTTGTCAGCTTTCTTCTCTAACTCATCGTTAACATAAGTTTTATCTGCTTTAAGGTCTAAACATCCCGAAACCCATTCTGTATCAGCTTTAACTTTAAAAGTCTCAAATGTCCATTCATGATACCATTCAACCTTTTCTTTAATTTCATTATCTTTTTCATCAACATAAACCAAATTTGCCTTCTTATTTAACTCACTATCCACATATTCCTTATCCACCTTCTTCATTATGTCGTTTAGGAAACCTTCTATGAATTCCTCATTTAAATTAAATCTTCCAATCTTCAAAACTTTAGGAAATGCATTTAATGCGTAATATCTCTGTTCTTCTGGTGGAATTGATGTTATATCATCCGTTATACCTTTAATTTTTGAATTCATAAATAAAATTTCTTTTATATTTGATATCACTGCACCACCTTTGCAAACGAATTCGAAATGTTCATTTTTCAATACTATCTCCAAATCTCCATATTTCAACCTTTGCGTTTGTTCTGCCGTCTATGAATTATATGCATATATGGCGTATGTAATGGTCTGAAGGACCTGGTTGCTTTGCGCCTTAAGTTGTTGTGGTTTAATCATTTATTATGATTTAAAAATGTTCGGACTTTGCACAAGAAATGCTCAGGTTATTTGATAAAGAATGGATGAATTTCGTTAGCTGGAGTACAACCAAATGGACAAGATTATTCGGCGAACTATCCCATAACATTCAATTCCTTCTTAACAAAACACCCGATATTCTTAAATCAGATGCGATGGTACGATCATCAATCAATCTCACTGTTTCTTCAGATATAAATGCTATCTAGGAAGGCACTGAAGATGAAGAGCCAGAACAAGAAAAATTTGCAATACCTGAAGCTGATATAGATAATTTTATGTCAGCTGTCTCTGAACTCTCTAATCCTCATGATGTTAAATCTCTCGGCGCCATTATTGAAAAACATCAACCAGATTTGCTGAGCATGGAAAAGGTTCTCGAAATTAATATGTCTATGCTAAATGCTGACACATTGAATGAATTAATAGATTTTGTGAAAGATCGATACCAGAAAATGAAAAAGGAATACCCTGACGGATAGAATAGTATTTTTACGTTTTTCGTGTTTGTAAATAGAGTTTTTCATGAATATCGAATCTACTTTTTTTTAAACTTAATTTGGAAATGTGCATATGTTCATTAACTGTTTGGATGAAATACAGACTTAATATCATATCAATAAGATTTGCTTATTGTAATAAATTTTCAAGAAGAATTTATCTTTTCGAATAACATAAGAGATATAAATACTTATAAATATAAATAATGGGTGATGTTTATTCAATAAAAAATTTATATCAAATAAGATCATCAAAACAAAAAAATATCAACGTTTGCCGAGCAGTCATATTGACTAATTTGTGCCATTATCTTTCAAAGCCGCATGAACAGCATCAATAAGATGTTTTGATCTCAATTTTTCTCGTTTAGAGAAATCTGACTTTTTCTCAAGCAGCCGTCCAATTACCATACTATTCTCTCTAATTCTGAACAAAACAGCATCTGAATTAGATCCGGTTGTAGAGATGATGTTAGTATTAACATCATCTCTCTTCAATAAATAATCTACAACATTGTATCTTGAATACAAAAGTGCTACAAAGAGAGCAGTTTCATTTCCTGAATTTACTGAGTTAATATCAAAGAAGTTTAATGCAAATTTGACACCTTCTATGTTATTTGAGATACTAAATGCATGAAGGATATTTTCGCCGTCTCTTGTTGTATATTTCATATCAACATTATTTTTATAAAGAGATTCAACGAGAGTCAAATCTCCTTCATACGCAGCTTTGATTAATATGTTTGAGTCAGTCAGTTTATAAGTGTTTGTCATACTTTTATCAAATATTTCTGCTTTTACATTAATATAATCGTTTTTAACAGCGTATTCTATTGTAGAATTATAGCCTTCTTGTGCTGCGAAAGAAAGAATTTTGTATATTCTGTTTAAATTCTCTAAATTGTTGTCTTTTCCCGCAGCAATTAGAGACTTAATTGATTCTGAACTTGTGTCTACGTTGCTGCGGCTTTTTTTGTCAGCGAGTGATGTAAATTTCTTACTGATATCACTTAAAACTCTAATGTTAAGTACTTTACCAATTCGATGCAAAATTATGTTTGCATCTGAGATATCTTTTGAAATATTAACACGGGCATGCTGCATAATTTCAAGTACATCATCTATTAAGAAATAATCATATATGTTTTTGAAAATATGACTGAATTCTTCGGCTTTGAGAGTAGCTTTGTCTAAAATATTGCACATCTGCTTTTTTGTACGCATTTCAATAAAAGAAGAATCATTATACCAATCTGCTACCTGCTGTGCTAGCGTTTCGAAGTCAACTTGCATTTAAAATTTTGAAATAAAACTAAAGTCGTAATTTCAAAAATCAAATTAAATGGTAATCTGATATTGGACATAGTAATGCGGCACATTTAATCGTAAAAAAATTCTTCTCAACTATTATTGAATGAGCAAAATTGAGTAGGGGTAATTTTAACTAAAAGTGACACGCCTGTAAAAAGTGACACACCCGTGAAGGGTGTGATTACCGATCGGTAATTTCGACAGTTTAGAATTTAAAATTTTTTATGGAACTGTTGCGAGTTTCATAAAGAATTTAAGGAATATAAGCAAAGATTTGAATCAAAATCTTAGACCTAAGCCGCTCGATTCGCTCGCGGCTTCCGCGAATTACAGATCAGCAAAGATTTGAATCAAAATCTTCGAACTAAGCCGATCGCTTCGCTCGCGGCTTTCTTTATTATTTTAAATTTGCATATTTCCATCAAAAGTTCATAAGGTAAAAAATTTCGTTTATTTTTACTAAGAAAAAAAAGGTTTTTGATAATAAATTTATTTTATTTCGAAAAAGTAGCAATAATCGTAAAAGGGTATTGATAGGCTTGCTAAAGTAACTAATTTTAGCTGTCAAATACTTTTGTATTTTGAAGTAAATTAGTATAAATTTGTTTTTACTTTTATTTCGAAAAAGTAGCAATAATCGTAAAAGGGTATTGATAGGCTTGCTAAAGTAACTAATTTTAGCTGTCAAATACTTTTGTATTTTGAAGTAAAATTAGTATAAATTTGTTTTTACTTTTATTTCGAAAAAGTAACAATAATCGTAAAAGGGTATTGATAGGCTTGCTAAAGTAACTAATTTTAGCTGTCAAATACTTTTGTATTTTGAAGTAAATTAGTATAAATTTGATATTATTTTAACTCCCTTTGAAAACCTCAATTTTCCATACAGAGGGAACGGGAATAGCATCCAATATTCCCTGAGAATGGTTGCGCATTCTCAGTTCCCTCTATATTTCGAACGAAGCTCTCATCGGTCTTTTTTTTTAATACTAAACATTTTTTCCCCCTGTCACTTTTAGCTAAAATTTGGGTTTGCCAGATTCATCCTTATCCTTATGGAACGGATAATTCTAAGAGAAAAAGCAATTAGAGATTAAACAACAAAAGATTAATACTGCAACACAAATTGTAGAAGCTATGTTTTGAAACAAATCCATAAAAACGAAACTTTTAAAATGAAATGAAATTATATTGAGTTTAAGCTTAGTATTCTGCATAATATTTTATCAATGCTTATATAAAAGCGTCGTTGAACATCAATACTGGGAAGTCTTTGATCATCCGAGCACTTCTTGCTTTAATATGACTTTTGATGAAATAAATTTCAAAAAGATATTGGAATTGAAGTTGGTCGAATATAAAATGTTAAAAATATGAGTATTCTTCATATCTTGGGCATGCTATTAACATGATTATTAGATCTTTTAAATTGAATCTGCATCAAAATTCGTTATTCATATGATTTCAAATTTAGTGTAACTATCTATATAGAGACTTTATGTTTCAAACGTGGACAACAATGCAAATGCATGTTTTCATAAATTTATTCCACAAAACTTTTCCGATATGGTTTTGAAGGATCGAAACATTCATAACATATTCAACTGATTATGTTTATATGCAAAAAAACTCATAATTGTTACGAAAAGAGATGCGTAGCGATTGAAATTTCATGAGTTATCAATTTTTATATCAAATTTAGGATACAATCTTATAATGTTGTAAACAGAAATTCATCAAAAGTGACACCTCAGAAAAGCTAAAATATTGAATTTTTGGAACTTTTGATAGAGCACGTTTTTAAATATTAATTAAAGTTAATGTATATTTTGTAAAGATTCTTTTTAATAAAAAAATAAAATTTTGAAGAAGAACACAAAATCTTCTGAAAAATAATATCACATAAACTCATATTATTTTCTAATATATAACTATTTTATATAAAAATCAAATTCAATGATCTTAAAAGCGAAGGATAACCCTCAAAATTTACGAATATAATGAGTGGGAATATAATGCTTATCTATCATAAAACCATATGAAATATCAATTTTTGCTTTACGCCTAATTTTTGACGACAATTAGCAAAAAATGTTAAATGTTAACACTCAGTCCATTTGAATATGAAAAATAAAATTGACTTTGATTAAATGTTTTTATTTATCATGCAATTCTTCTTGCGACCAAAGATTTGAATAAAAGTTCAAAAAATAAGATAGCTTAAAAAATAATATACGGTAGTGTTTACTAATAGATGAATAGTATATAAATTCTATTAGAATGGATTTGATCCAAAAAAATATATAAAATTTGATCATAAATAAAATCGTTTTAAATTACTTCTTCATTTAAATTATAACAATTATTTTTGGTTTTATATTTTTTTGGATCAAATCCATTCTAATAGAATTTATATACTATTCATCTATTAGTAAACACTACCGTATATTATTTTTTAAGCTATCTTATTTTTTGAACTTTTATTCAAATCTTTGGTCGCAAGAAGAATTGCATGATAAATAAAAACATTTAATCAAAGTCAATTTTATTTTTCATATTCAAATGGACTGAGTGTTAACATTTAACATTTTTTGCTAATTGTCGTCAAAAATTAGGCGTAAAGCAAAAATTAATATTTCATATGGTTTTATGATAGATAAGCATTATATTCCCACTCATTATATTCGTAAATTTTGAGGTTTATCATTCGCTTTTAAGATCATTGAATTTGATTTTTATATAAAATAGTTATATATTAGAAAATAATATGAGTTTATGTGATATTATTTTTCAGAAGATTTCATTCTATATGCCTATGAAAAGTACTCTCAAAACTAACTTTTTCCTAATTATAATTAAATCTAGAATATTGTATTATGCTTAGTATTATTTCATTTTTCTCATTCAATTTAGAATTTACAAATGTCAAAAAATTGAGAGTTATCACTTTTGATGAATTTCTGTTTATTACAATAACCAATAAGATTTTTTCGATAGATTTTTTCAGAATATAAATTTTGGACATTCTTTTTCGAAATTTTGTGTAAAAATAAATTCTGCAAGTTTTATGAAGTTGGTTCATACAGTTTCAAAGACCAAATTATAATGGTATTATAAACTGTTTAATTTGAAATAAAATTTACTCAATAGAATCAGATGTGCCAAAATTTAGCGAAAAGATGAAATTTAATTCATGTTCCTGCAACAAGCATATTAAATTAAACAATACTGTTGCATTTATTTACAAAAATACAGGTCTGGAGGATTTACTGATATTCCGTGCGAAAATCAACAACTTTTGAAAGCAATTTTCGGTTTGACACTTGGAATGTTAAATGACTCAATGGAAAACTTGTCTTTCTTTTGTAAATTTGGACAACAAATATCATCATCAACATATTATGCAAGCTAGAAAATATCAGTAAAAATATGAGTTCGATTTATAAATTTGAAAGAAAATGTAAACTGTTCAATTATAATTCTATAACCTTATGGACTTCGGAGCCATCGAAGAACCCGGCGATGGCAACCCTAAGGTAGCTAAATCTAAGCGGTACACACGCTATATACTTGATCCATTTCAAATTTTCTGCATCGAAAAAAGGAATGAATATATGAAGGCCCACCCCAAGTTAAAGAACTCAGGCATAACATCTATGCTTGCAGGAATATGGAGAGAAATGTCAGACAGCGAAAAAATGCAATATAATCTCATTGCGATGAAATTACAGAATAACAAATGCAAAGTGGAACGTAAAATCAAAAAGAATCCATCGAGGACCGACTCGAGTAAAGATTCCAAGGGCAGCTCAACGCCGGAAATTAGTGAGCCTGACCTAGAAGCTGACGGAAATCCGGCATTCAAAACTTCAAATCCTCCCAAAATTTATATTATTAGTAGAACAGGGGTCGGAGAAGACCTATCTGAAGTTAGTTACAATCTCCTTAAAATGCAAGAAAAAAGTTATGAGGAAGAATAAAATGTTATTTAGATGTTGTAATAATGCCATCGAATTACCACTATTATTACATGTATTATCATGTTTGAATCATGCAAGAGCCAAAAATCAACGAGTAAAGGCTTGTTAAGGGTAAATTTTTTACTCTCTCAATTTCTCATTGAATTCCTCTAGATTATCTCTCAATTTGAAAAAATTGAATATTATTTAGAGAAACTCAGAATTAATATTAAAAAGACTCTTGTATGCTTCTGAACCATTAATTTTTTTGAATGGAGTTTATCAGTAAAAAAGTTCAGTAACCGCCAATAATAATTGATTGGCTTGACAATCGTGATAATCGTATGCTAATTTTCACTTAGATCAGTAATATCCCGTTTTTGAGCCGATTGATTATTAAATTGACATAATCAATTTTCACGCGCCCCAAGAATCTTGAATTAACGGTTATGAACATGTATTATGTTTTGAGATACGTGCATATGTTTCATATATGCCAATTACGATAAATAATTTTGGTTTCAATGATCAATCTTTTTCGTTTTTATTTTCTTGGCAAATTTAATCTATAATAAGTTTGAATTACAGATTTCATACATATTATAAAACGAAATCATTAAATAGATCATTCGTAACGATTATTTTTGGAATCGAAATTTTGAAATCAAAAACATTGCGGCATTAAGTTTCCATGTTCAATGAACTCATTCCAAAATTCAATTAAATACTATGAAATAAGTGCATTTTGATCGAACAAAATTCTTTCCGATTTCAATCATAAATGGGTATTGTTCATTACTCCTTATTTCATATTTCGATCGAGTAGAAAGAAAACATATCATGCTAAAAGGTAAATAGAATTGATTTAAATAATAAAAAAAATAAATCATAAGTTTTTAATTATGCCATGGCCTCGCAAAAGTCTTGATACATGAAACCATCTATCTTTCCGAACTGGTATCTTCTATATAATGTCAAAAATTCTTGGTCACCCATAACGATGCCAAAAACTTCTAAAACTTGTTGTACGTCAACCAAAGGTACAACAAATTGCTTTTTAGTATCATGCTTTTGGAATTCTACTAATATCTTTGGAGCTTTGCCTGCGAGGACTTTTCTGAGTTTAGTAATGATAACTGAGAGATCTGCTTTAACAAATACATCAGGACGAGACTCCATAATCTTTAAGGATTCTTCAGAAGCTTCTTGAAGGATAAATCTGAATCCATTAATGTTAACTTTTGCTCCTAAAAAGATATCTTTTGGCTCAAATGGTTTTCCGGTTTCTGGGTTATTGCAAACTGTCTTTGTAATGAATTTTCCTCCATTGAATCCTGAATTTGGAACGACTTTCTCGAAAACTTGAAAGGCTTTATCTTCGACATAATATTGAACAACAAAACTGCGGAGTTTATCCTGCTTGTTGTCAGATATGATCGTTGCAGAAAATTGAAGAATAGTTGCTGGTGGACGAATATCCATCAAAAATAACGTATTTATCGTAATTTTACAAAGATTTTTTTTGTGCGGCTACTTTACTGCTCATATATCATTTGGCGAACAAATGATCAAGAGATAAGTTTCCAAATCAATTAAGAGACTATGCTGCCATTTAAAACATTATAATTTTAACGAATCGATATTTTTTAATCGGAAATCCACAAATTGATAAAGTATTCCTAATCACAAACACGTTATTCTTCAAAATGTCAGCAAATAATGCAATGCTTTATAAAGTTTGCTCATATATTCTCCTCCAAATGAAAAATGAATTGAATTGCACCTCCTTTTTACGCTAAACCAATCTTAAAGGAATCTCATTTTCAATATTCATATACATTCAATGTACAGAATTTAATAATTTTATTTTTATTTTATCTTTTTCTTTTAAACTTGAAAACACATGTAGTCGTATATGAATATTTTATTAAAATAATTTTTTTTTAATCAAAAAACGAATACTATAAAAATTAAATTATTTTGTGTTCTTTGAATCGCCTTTGCGATGAGCTCCGCGTACAGCAAGTGGGAAGAATACAGAAGGAATGGTAAATGCCATTATACCTAATATAAGGATGAAAATTGCGAGTCCTGAGTACAATTTCCACCATTCAATGACAGGAGCGGTTTCTGGGTGGTGGAAAATTTCCTTATAGAAGCGTGGTGGAAGCTTTGGTGCTGGACCGCACATACCATTGAAGTAATTGTTGTATAATCTTGGAGTTGTTTCTTCTGTTGATCCTGTTGGTCCTTGTTCAATGATAATTGATTCCTTCTTCGGTCTACTGAAGCAGCATTCCGAAATTGTGATACCTGCTGTTGAAGCGGCCAAGATAAAGTTTGTTGTATCTCCGCCGAATGTGCAGTACTCAAGGAATAAGAGACCAGCAGTTTCCATGGTATAAAATGCTGTTCCGCCGTTATCATTGTCTGATTTGTTATCAACAAACTTGCATTGGTTGATTTCGCCTGTAACATGATCGAATGAAGCACCGCCATAGCTACGGACAGCGGTGTTTTCATGTATGTAGTTTTCTGTTAATTTGATAACTGCATGGGTAATGAGGAATCCGCCATGTTTAGATTCAGCGCTGTTTGCAACGATGTAGCATCTAGACATCTGGACATTCTCGCATTCCTTGGCCATGAAACCACCGGCTTCTGTCTTAGCAATGCATTTGAAGAAAGATGTACCGGTCATTGAAATTTTTGAGTTTCTGGCAAAGAATCCGCCTCCCATCTGGCCAGTTGATGAAACAAACTCGACATCTGTAATTGTGACTTGGCAGTCCGCACAGTATAAAGAGCCACCATCTTCCGAAACGGATGAGCAAAAATCGAAAAGAACATCTCTGAGGGTAAGAATTGCGTTCTTTCTTTCTTTTCTTTGTGTAAATGGTTTATATTTGGATCTATCAAGGGAATTTAAGCGAATGGGAGACATCGAATTTACAAAACTTGATTTCGAAACGACTAAATTCATATTTGTCTTTGCGGAAATAACTGGTTGGGGAAGCTTGAAGAAGTTAAATTTGTTTAACTGAAGATTTCGTTGGTCAAAACGTGGAATATCTGTGATCAATGGAGATTTAAGGTATTTTCCAGTTATAAGATAATTGGACATCAAAGTACTATTTGAAGATCCAATAATAGCATTAAGTCTTGATAAACTTATTGAATTTGCTTGAGAAAAGAAACAACAAAACATTTTTAATTTTTTTTATAGGTGGGTAAAAAATGATTGATTTCTCATTTAGAAAAGATCATTTCCATAACTACCAACTAGAAAAACCAAGAAAACCAATATCAATTGGTCTCAGATTTACAGAGACAATGGAATTTTGATATGAATTATTGAATTGAGCACAATTCTTGTAGTATATGATTTTACATGTGTGAATTTGGTAGCTTTTCAAATCATATTGGAAGAAAATTGATTCTCATATTTTTTGGATTATATGATCAGCAAACAGTTTATAATAACTGGCGCAGATTACATGTAGCTTCATAAGGAATCATATTTTATAAAAAAGAGATCTGATTTATTTAAATATGACTGTCCAATATCGGACATTCAATTATTCAAATTGATCAGAATTTCCAACTATTAAAAACGAAATCTTTATAATGCTTGTTTGACGTATTTTAAATATGTCATTTGACAAATTCAGGATAAACTTTTTTTTCAAATGTTTCATATTGGCTATGATTCAACACCACATTATGCTTTTATCTCTATTGAGAAGGTATCTTTTTCAAAGAGCGTGAACGTACCTGTATATGTTCGTGTTGAGAGGAAAAAATCAACATCTGGAATTATGAGAAAAGCATTTCATTCAGAGACACGGTTCCAGCTTGCTGACTCAAACAACATTGTTCAGTTCAACAATGAGTTCCGGATTCCTGTCACGATCTTCTCAAAGAAAGGAGAGAAACCTCAGAAAAAAGTTGTTGAAATTTCATGCATAGTTGTTGGATCTTCTAAAGCTTCAGAACATACAGCTTGTACATGGAGATTTGATGCTGCTAACCTTCCAAATCCAAAAGATAGTTCAATTCAAACTGCCCAAGCAAAATGCGAATTCGGCGTCGCAACACTTTATCTCAGATTCAATCTATGACCAGAGCAAGATTATCCTAATGGTCCGCCACAGAATTACTTCTCATTTGTAACTGCCAAATCAGAATCTCCAGAAATCGAGAATACCCTTGACGATCCAGATCCTACCGACCTTACGTCACAAGACGGAGAGTCTATGGCTGTTGATACGCTCGAACCAACGAAGAAAAGGAAACATCATCATAATAAAGGCGAAGATGGCGAAAGGAAGCATCACCACCATAAATATAAGTCACAAGATAACGGAGAAAAGAAGAAACATCGTAAATCTGCGGCTAATGCTGATGATTTAGAAAAACATCGGAAGAAACATCACAGATCCAAAGCTGACGACGGAGAAAATGATGAAAATCCTCAGGGAAAGAAACATATTAAGCCTGCAAAGAGTGCAGACGTAATTACCCTTCAGCAGAACAATTCCAAGAAGGAAGAAGAGCCAAGCCACCTTATTTCATCCGAAAACCAGTTCAGAGAGTCAACATCTGAAAATCTAAAAAGCGATGAGATGATTCTCGAAGAAGAGATCAAAGAAGACAACATACAATACGCAGTTCGCGAGGAAGTTGACATGGAAAACACTGCAAAAGAAGATTGTATAATCGAAAAACAAGAATCTCCTGAAGAAAAGACCGCAAGATTGGAATTCCTAAGCAAGATCCGCGATGTTTATAATGTCCACGATCAACAATTACAAGATATCGCTATCAAATTCTGCGGAACAGAGCTCAGCCACCTTGCCTTCAAATACTTTGCATTTCCTACAAATAGAAACATGATTTTCACTGATCGAATCATCGAACCTCTTAAAAAGTACAGAATTTTCGAATTTGGCAATCTTTCCGACGAAAAGATCACAGAGATGTTCGAACCAGTACTTCTTTCCATCAAATACGCCGTAAATACTGACAACGGCTTAGTTGGATCTCTCGAATTACTTTCTATCCTCATAAACTTCGGAATTCAGTTACAGATGATTGCAGGACCTTATACTTCAGCACATTTCCCTGTAATTCGTAAGATCGAAGAGTATATCTCAAAAATAATGAATATTTTGATGCAAAAACTCTTCTCAAGCTTCGGAACTTTCATTGTCTGTGATGGAGAAAACATCACATTCGATAAGGAATCGAATATCCAACTAGAAGCAACATCCGCAATTTTCAAGGAGTCAATTACGAAGTTTAACATTCCAGAAGAGGTTGTTCAGTCCATTGTTGTATCCTGCGCCAACTACTTCGCTTCAATCGTCTTCAATGTCCTTGTTTCCACTTGTAATAAGTTTAAATCTGACAATATTGTATCTCTTTTACAGAAACTACGTGAAATCCAGGGTTTATTCGTCTGCCTGCCTTCCAATTTCCCTGAAGCGTTCGGTTCCATACTTAGATTGATCGCAATTGTTCAATCTCTCGAAGGAGGAACTACATTGCAGAGAATGAAGGTCGACGCACAACTCTGGAGGTCAGTAGCAGAGAGAATGGAGCATCCTGTGCTTCCTGAGGGAGTTTCTTTGGATGATATTTCGGAACCAACAGAAAGAAACGATTTGAAGGTACCTGTGAAGCAAATGGACATCCAGTTCACGTTTGAGTGGCTTTTCACCACTTCCGCAACAAACAATTACGATGAAGACGACAACAGCGAATCTGAGGATGAGGATCAATAAGTTTTATTTAGAAAATTATATTGTTTGTATATGTTTAAATAGTTCCTTCTTTTTTTTAGGTTGTTTTATAATTTTTTTTATTTTTAAATTCATATTTCAGGGCAATTCCAGTTTGGACAAATCTTTTCTATTCTGAGCAATACATTTCAAAAGCTTTATTAGGTTCAATTTTTAAGAAATTTTGTTGAATATAGTTTTCAACATGCATCGCATTTCATAAGTATGCTAGTTTGGACAGATATTGTTTTTGCAGCAATGTATTTCAAAAGATCTAATTAATTAAGAAATCTTTTTGAAAATTGTTTTTCACAAACTTCATATGATAATATTTTTTATTTCTTATAATAAATTCTAATGATTTGTTAAGAGGTTAATACTAAACGAAGATTAAAATTTTTAATGTCTGATCAAGACGTTAATACTAGTAAATACAGTAAATTAAGAAGTATGTACAAATACTATATTGACTCATTTGCTTTACTGTATCAGTTAAAAACCACCAATGAAGATGAATTGAACGTGATTTACAAAATGATTAAAATGGATTTGATCGAATCAAAGAAACATCTTCCACAAAATATTATAAAAGATATATTAAATATTATTCAATATAATAACATCTCTACTAAATCATATTTGATTCTTGCAAAGCTCATTGCTGATAATTATCATGTAACAGAGGTCAGAGATATTTCACCTCTTTCTAACTTCCTGTTTTATAAAGAATATGGAATTAAATTAGATATTTATAATGACTTTGAAGACATGGATTTAGTAAATCTAGATCTTCATTCAGAAAGTTCACTTTACAGAGCAATTTTGCATGACGACAAAGATTTTTTCATTTTCTGCACGGAATCCGAAGGTTTTGATGAAAATCAGGAACTTACAAACGGATTATATCCACACTATTATAAAAGATTTTCATTCCTTGAATTATGTTGTTACCATGGAGCAGTTGATTGTTTCAAAATATTAAGAACTAAATTTGAGGCAGAAATAACTCAAGAATGTCTGGAATTTTCATTTTTGGGAAGAAATAAAGAGATTATGAGTGAATGTTTGAAATATCAAAAACCAAATGAAGAATGCATGATAAATGCAATTATTTCACACAACATTGATTTTGTTACATTCTTGTGGAATGAATACAATATGGAGATCAATTTATATGCCTGTGGTGAATTTAATAATATTGAAGCATTTTTAGTTTATTTCGATCAAACTAATGATATTAACAAATGCTTTTTTTATTCACCGATGTTTGATATTTCCTCTCTTTGCGAATATTTCCTTTCACTTGGTGCTGATGTCAATACTAAAAATGAAAATGGTGAAATAGTCTTTCATTATACTTCATTGAGAAATTGTAAAGAAATAATCGAATTGCTTCTTTCGCATGGTGCAGATATCAATTCAATGGATGAACGCGGAGCAACAGCTCTTCATTATGCAGTACTAGATAATAATAAAGAATCAATTCAACTTCTTCTTTCATGCGGTGCAAACATCAATCAAAAAGACGAAGATGGAGAAAGTGTTCTCCATCAAGCAGTATTTGATGATAATAAAGAAATAACCGAGTTTCTTGTTTCACTCGGAGCAAATATCAATCAAAAAAATAATGATGGAAAAACAGCTCTTCATTTTGCAGCAGAAAATGATAACAAAGAAATAGCCGAAATACTTCTTTTGCACGGTGCAAACATTAATGCAAAGGATATATATGGAAATACAGCTCTTCATATTGCGGTAGAAAATAATAGTAAAGAAACAGCCAAAATTCTTCTTTTGCACGGCGCAGATATCAATGAAAAAAATGATAATGGACAAACCGCTCTTCATATTGCCGTAGATAATAATACGAAAAAAATAACTGAAATTCTTCTTTTGCACGGAGCAAACATCAATGAAAAAGATAAAATGGAGAAAACTCCTCTTCAAATTGCAACAGAAAATGATAGAAAAAAGATAGTCAAATTACTTCTTTTACACAGTGCAAATATCAATTAAAAAGAAAAAGACGAGAAAACTATTCTTCACATTGCTGCATATAATAATAGAAAAGGAATAGCAAAGATAATTCCACAAATTCAAAATGATGATTTTCATATAATCGGCGATTAATAGATAAAGAAATCTGCAAGGGCTTTTCGGAGATATTATCAAAATTTGTGTTCGATTATTCTTTCACAATGAGCAAATTTCAATTCTTGAATAAAGGTTCAAAAATATTGAGCAATGACACTTTTTCATCCAAATTTCGTTGTAAAAATTTTTTTATGGAGAGAGTTACACCATACGAACCGAAATCTGCAAGACTCTATCATACTCCATATCTTCAACCATTATGGCTCCCAAAGCCTCCAATCAATGCTGTTGCTTCTCCTCGTCCAACAACAAATAAATCTCCAAGAAACGTCCTTCGTCAATACAATGGTTTATCATCAGATTTCGGAAGAGATACAATTCAATCTCCAACAACAACTCGCGAGTTCAAAATGAGCAATTCTCTAACTTACGATCAACGCTTAAAACAAAACAGCATAAGACTTCGCAAATACGATAACAAACTTGCACAAAAGTATTCTAAGGTATTTTCATGCGAACCATACAAATCTTCTATGATTGGAGCGTGGCAAAACTCAATTATTGATCATCAACATGAACGTGCCAGAAATGAGACATTCCAGTATCAACAACGTGTTAATTTCAGTAGACAAAGGAGCCATCGTATTCACGAAGAAGCAGAAAGAGCTCATCGCTGGCAAATGGAAGTTAATGGAGTTCCAGAGCCACGTTACAACTACTGATTTCCATACATATTGAGTTTCTTTGTATTTTCAGTAATACATCTTTATTTTTCTTTTTGTTATAAAAATTACGTTTTTAAAACTTTACATTTTTCATATTATGAAGTTTTGAGTACCTGCAATATCACTAAGCACTTCATTATGTTATATTTTTTAAATAAAAACGAATTTTATAAAATTGGAAAAATTCCAATTTTGCCATGATATATTTGGAATTGTGTTCTGTCACTCCAAAAGCTTCATACATACAGGGAATTTGGGTTACTTCCAAAAAATATATAATTAAAATTTCGTGAACAGTCTATCATTTTTAGTTCCCTCATTAATTTTTCCAAAACTACGATCAATTCCCATTTTGGTGGAATTTTAAAAATTTTTCATGGAATTTTTTTTTTCACACAATAAAAATGGATAATGGTCTTACGCTGAACCACGAATATGTTGCTTCCCATATCGATGAATATATTAATAATGAAAGCTTTTTTTAATACATTTGAACGAGAAGACATCAAATCAATCCTGGAAAAAGCACAATTAACTCATGATCAATACTTTTCTCTTTTGAAACAATCTTCTTCAACTATCACATTCAAAGACCTATATGCATACACACACAGTACAAAAATTTCTATCCAAAGCTTCGAAGAAGCCATTTCGGTTTTGAAATCAATTACCAAATACATGAGATTCAATACTTTGAATGGAATCATTGATTTCTTAGAACAAAAGCAGGAAGAAATCCTTAATTCATCAGAAACATTCAGAAAACTTAGAGAAGAATTGAATAATAAAGATAGATTAAACAGAGTTTTTGAGCTAGAGAAAAATAATGATTTCGAAGGTGTTTACAAATCACTTGAAGAACTTGCAAATGAAGGAAAGCAGGATATAATGACAAAACTTTTAGGAAACAAAATTTGGGAAATGTCACAAGAAAGTGGAAGAAATATTCTTCATGTTGCGTGTGAAAAAGGAAATCTCAGACTTGTTAAATCTTTTGTTGAATCAGGCTGCGATTTGGAAATAAAGAATAAGAGAGGATTGACTCCACTCATTTGTGAATTAAGATCAAATCAACTTGAAGTTGTTAATTATCTTTTATCTGTCGGAGACGATAAAGATGCAAAAGATAAAGATGGATGGACTCCACTCATGTATGCATCTTTCAATGGACAAATTGATGTTGTTAAGAATCTTCTCACTAATGGAGCAGATAAAGAAGCAAAGAATAATAACGGATATACTCCACTCATGCTTGCTTCCCAATGCGGCCATCTTGAGGTTGTTAAATATCTTGTATTTAATGGTGCTAATATCAATGTGAAAGCAAATGACGGAAAAACCGCACTTAAAGTTGCAAAAGATAATGTAAAAGATTATTTCAATTCTATTGCAGGTAAGTAATTTATCGTAGTAAAAACATTAAATTTATAAATAAATCATACTTTTTTTTATTTGTAATCATCAAATTATCAGTAATATTATGTCATCTACAAAATACATAGGCCCTTAGAAATCGAAACATAATTTACATATGTTTTTTTGAGATCGAACATTTCTACGTAAAATTTTGCTCTTTTTTTCACCACTGATTACATTACCCAGATTTTTTGTCATCACACATTTCGGAAAGACAATGTCCAGAAAGTGCAATCTTATCTCAGTTTTGAAAATGATTAAGTAAATTTAACAACAAAACATTTTATTAATAAAATACAAACATAAAATTATAAATAAAAATAATTAATTAATAATAATACTTGCTCTTCTATTAAACCAAATCTTTTGACCTCTCAGCAAAACACTTGATGCATAAATACCATGAACAATAACAGGTATTGAAACGTAGCTGTCGTAGTCAACAGATTGGTCAGTTGAATACAATTTGATCAAGAAATTCTTCTTGACACCTTCATTTTCAAGACATTTGTTTTCCATATCCCAGAAAACATTCTGTAACTCTGCACCTTGCATATAAATACTTGAGGCAGAGAAATCAGCAGCGTTTTCAGGAACTAAAGTTGCTAAAACAACCAATTGTGGCAACTTAATTTTCCTTATATTTGCAAGATAATTATTAATGCAAAGGAAAATTGGTTTCGCATCATGAAAGGCGGAAAGATCCAGAATCTGTGGCCTTCCTTTTCTCATCCATGTGTTGATGAAATCGATTCTTTCGTTCAAATTGTTAATCCAATGATTTATGTAGTTTGTTGCAATTTGGCCAGAAAATTGCCATGATTTTGGAACTTTTTCGATTGCAACTTGTAACATGTCATCGTAGTTAACAAGTAAATCAGTGAACGATCCTTTATCAACACCAATGATTTCTTCACATGATTGTCTGATGTTTTTAACAACATTCGAGTAAAATTCTGCTTCATTTTGGATGGAAATCGAGAATTCATCTTGTTTCTTTTCATTTTGGATATCGATATTCGACAAACTCTGCATTATGGACTTCGAACATTCAATTGCCAAAGAAATATCTGGTGGCGGAGTGTTGTTTTCAACAATCTTCTTGAGAGATGTCGTGATTTCTCCTTCTTCAGATTCATCTCCATTTGATAAATCTCTTGTGAACATGTTGTAAACAATGGAAGCGAATTTTCCTGCATGATTGACACAGAATTCTCTTGTGTCTCCATTAGGAACTGTTACTTTGCCATCGATAGTTATAGGATTCTTTCCATCTGCGATTTCTTCTGTAAACATTTGGTCGACAATTAATTTGAACATTTTGAGATCATCTTCTTCGACCAAATGTCCAGAGTAGTTCAGTTCGATGATTCCTTCTTTGAGGACACTGAGTGGTATTGTTCCAAGTGCGTAATGCAAATTGAGGAGTGTCTGCATCGAATCGAAGAAAGGAACATTCGAAAGATGAATAGAACTCTTCGAGTATTTCATCATGTAACTTGTGAAAGCTGTATGGAAAACAGCAATCAAAAATGCAATTCTTGTGGATTTCTTCTTGCCAAATATGTCTTCTGGCATCCAATTAATCAGTTCTAAAAGCATCTTGTCTGGCATGCTTATTCCTGTAACAGCCAATCGAACTGAATCTGTTAAAATGTTCAGAGGAATTGAGACTTCTCTTGCAACAGTAATAAACAGTCTAAATGTTGGATGTCTTGAAGAAACAGTCTTGAGTTTCGTGACTAAAGCGGAAACAGTCAATTGTACATCCATGTCAGCTTCGTCTATTGCTTCAAGAAGAAGCCAATCTCCGCCTTGCATTGCGAAATTCAATGTTGTTTCGACAAATGATGCTTTTGTGTGTGGTAATGACAAACATCTCAAATTAGTCCTCTTTTGGCGTGCAAGAGTTTGCAATTGGAAGAAAGATGTTGCGAAAGCTTTCGTCATAATTAAAATAGGAACTTTTTCTGGTAATTCAATGATATCTTCCAAACCAGTACTTTCGACTTTTACGTATCTTTCGTTTAAGTTTTGTGACACGAATTTGTGCATCATCTTCGCAACATGTTGTGGAGCAATGACTTTGAACAAAATGATTGTCTGGAATTCAGTCAATCCTTGCTGTAATTTTTCTGGTAAAGTGTCACTTTTTGTTTCTAAAAATGTCTGAAAATCTTCATATTCAGACATGATTTTCCTTGGGAGGTTCTTCATTGGTTTGACGTGAGATGCAAGTGTTTGAATATCACACCACATTTCATTAGTCATTGTCTGAGGAATTGGATTTTCAAAGACACTTTGTTCCCTTCTAAATCCGGAGACAAAAATGTCGAATTCGCTTTGATCCAAAAGTCCACTTCCCATCATAATTGCTGAAGAAAACAGGAAAGAAACAATGAACCTGTACTCGCTGAAGACACTTCTAAGTGTTGCTTTGTAGAATGCATATGTCAATACTTCCATTAAATCATCTCCTTCCTTCATGTTTTTCATGGCAATTTTGATGTCATAATGGAAATTAACTTTTCCGAAAACATACAAAGGATTGAGATATTTCAAGTTCTTTGTCAATTCTGTTAATATGGCCAAGCGCTTTGAAGGAGCATCCATGAAATCAGTCGATTCCTTAATAGTTTTCAGTTCAGATTTGTAGTTTTCAACCAATTTCGTCAATGTTTGAATTGAATCTTGTTGTTTCGCCAATTCTAAGAATAAAATGTTGTCTTCGATGATTGTTGATGCATCAGTATTAGAGAGCAAGTCTTGTATTCTCTGTTGGCAGAAAGCGAGATTCGTCTGTTCTGTGTCAATACTTTTAGACAAATCCGAAATTTTCGAGATCAATTCTGGCTTCAAAACTTTCATGAGTGAATGTTTCATCGAGATGTGGTAGTCATGAACATTTGGAGCGAAGTTAACAACAGTAGCTCTTGTGCAAAGTGTCTGGGAGAGCTTCTGGTCAATGAATTTAGTGAACAAATACAAATGGAATCCGATATCAATTTCAATTGTTCGATCGGCCAACCTGACAACAGATTTGTCCTGTACCAAACTGAGTTTTCTCGCCATTACTGCTTCATAGCAATAAGGAACCGAACGTCTTACGTCTGTAACGAACAAGGCACTTCCTGCTCTCATTGCGCTTTCAAGAATTCTCAAGTAATTTGTTAATTCTAGCTTAGTAACAATAGGCGCTTGTTTCTTTTCTTCCATCATTTTTACGACATTGAAAACCATTCCTGATGGATCAATGACGTAAGGAGAATAAGGAGCATTCATGAGATAAATGAAGTTCTCGAGAACTTCGTCGTCATCAATTAAACCTGCCTTTCTCCACTGTGCTGCTTCTGACAAAGGAGTTATCATAGAAATTGAAGAATTTATGAGAGAATAACCCAATCTTGCATCACGAACAATTCTTCTGACTTGTGAAAGGAATTCTTCTCTTTGTTCTTGAGTGAAAGAAGAAGCAAACAACAAAGCAACCGTGATAATAAATGAATCACCAACAATGTCTGATTGGTAATTCATGTGTCTGTTTAATTTTCCTTTCCAATTATCATGTTCTTTTATCAACATGTTGATAATTTCTTTTCCTGACTCTTCCTTTTGTATGTTTTCTTGTACTTGTTGTGCCAAAATTGAGATCTCTTGGTCTTCTTTCGACATTTGTTCTTTCAGAAGTTCAATGTTTTTATCAGACATTGTTCTGCTCGAATGAACTTTTGATAGTTTAGAACGAGTTTGTTCAATGTTTGATTGCAATTTATGGAGATTATGTTGTGTTGGAGTCAATCTAATCACTGCATTCTGGTATTCGATCAATGATTTAATGTATGACAAGAAATACTGACATCCAACTGTTTCTCGCAATGCAATATCTTTCTTGAACAATTTGTTTTTCTCGATAATTCCGACAATTTCACTTAATTGTATTTCTGTAACAGGATTCTTGTCGGAATACATTGTTGTCAGCTTAGGAACAATTAATGGATCGTTTAATAAGCTCACGGAATTGGGCCATGTTGGTTCTACTTCCATTAAAACACAAACAATTTCCATGACACTTTTTGTAATTGGCAAAGGAGGATTTGCACTTCTCATGTCATTTATTTCAGTTTTTGTCAATGATTTCAATCTTGCGACTGATTTATACAGTTCTGTGATGTAATCATTGAGTTCTGCATCATGTTGTCTCCTTATTTTTTCTGCTTCTTCCAAGTTCTTTTTCATTTCTTCTTCTGTCATTTTTATGTCATTTGCAATGTTTGAAACTTCTTTTTGTTTCGAAACAAGTTCTGTATTAATTCTCTGCAGTTTGGACTTCCTGTTTTCTATCTCTGGATTCAAGGTTTGCACCTTTTGGGAGATTCCTTGAACTGTTTCTTGTAATTCATTGAATAACTCAACAATTGTTTTAAGTTTCGAAATTTCTTCGCTTTCAGAAACATATAATTTCTCATATCTGTTCAAGAACTCATCAACTAATTTCATGAAGATTGATGGATAAATGGCAAAGTTCTTGAGAATCTTTGGTTTGTCGGAAATATATTGTCTTGCGAAGTTAAATGTGTCAATACATAATTTCGAAATTTGGTTGGATAGTTGTTGATTTTGAGTTCTTTCCAAAACAGTTTTGTTCGCGTAAGTCATCATTCCTTCGATATTGAACTGTTCGTAATTATCTACAGTGCAATGTCTGATGATTGCTGGATTGTTTTGTATGATTTGCAGGAAGTTTGGAGATTTCGGATCCAAATAAATGATTAAATGGAAGTTTTCTGCAAATCTATCATACAAAATTCGACTTAAATTGAAATAAGATTCATTTTCACCTCTAAGTCTTGCGAATCTCACTGCATCTACACACAAAGCATCGAATTCAACAGGAGAAAACATCATCATCAATCCATTATTCGTCAACAAATAAGTGACATCTCTTGAAATTTCAGGTTTCAGAAGCATTTCTTCTGTTATAGAGATACAGTAACCTTTTCCACCACTTATAGCTTTAGGTAACGCTTGTTTCATTTCATCTCTGAATGACAGACCACTTGTTAACTCAAGATATTCCATGTTTGCAATAGAAGCAGCAATTTTGGCACATGTATGTCTTCCACTTCCATCCTGACCTAAAAGAAGCAAATTTCCTAATGGTTTGTTCAATACTCTGTTTGCTCTTATTATGTGGACAGAAATATCATTGAAGATAACAAGTTTTTCGTCTGCAATTCGTCTTGGAATTTGATACTTTTCGACATGTGATATGAAAAGTTGTGTCAAATCATTTATGTTGTTGAACAAATTGTAATCGGGGAGAGTTCCGTATTCAGGGTTGTAGTCTTCTACTTTATATTCACTGTAACAGAACATTGGGACTTGGAATGATCTCAGGGACTGTGTACTATTGAGTTTGTTCTTTAAAGCGTTTGAAAGATATTCTTCATATTTTGGTTTGTCTTCTGGTAAAAACTTATCTCCAAATGATCTGTCCATCTCGTGTACCCACAACAACTCTAAGTCATTGCTTGTTTTAATGACATTGGAAGAACATCTCAATATACCGAACAAAAGATTATTGATATCATGCATGTTGAATGTATAATGAGGCCTCTTTTGTGTTGGGAAGATATTCAAAGAAATTTGTTCGTAAACATATAATGTTCCATTGATAATCTTAGGGACGCAAACAATAACTGGCTCCTCGTACCTCAAGAAAAATGTCTTCATGAGGCTATGCAAGATATTAAATATCGCTGTGGAGTTAATCGACAATTGATAAGTAATAGCGGTTTTTGTAAATCTTGCATTCAAATTTTTATGAGTTGAAGAATCATCATTACCAACGCCGAGTAGTACTAAGTCTTCTATTGTTGTCCACATGTTCTTTGGAGTGAAGAATGAACCGTTTTGTTCGGAAATCTGTCTCAAAAATTCGATAATTGGTTTTTCTCCGAAATCATTTTCTTCCAAATTATGGATATCATCCAAAACAAGACATCTCTTGACTGCGCCGCTTCCGTAAAGGATTGATTTCTTCTTTAATCCCATGCATCGATGCATGAACTTCATTAATTCACTAGGCGGGAATGATTTTGTGCATTCTACATCCATAATTTGCAATTTTCTTTCATCTTCGAGATTTCTTGTGAAATTTCTTTTGATTGTTGTTTTTCCTGATCCTGGAGGACCTCTTAACAAGATGTTTAATCCTGATTCCAAATACAATTTGAACAATCTGTTGACACGCTCTGTTTCTACTGTTGGAATCATTATAGAGTTTGCCATAATGGATTGTGGATGAATAGTAAATGAATCATTTGTATCAACGTATTTCGGAACTAAATCTTGCCAATTCGTCCATGAATTCTGTTCTGAATCATACCACCATTCAAACAAAGTTCCTCTCATTGGAAGATCAATTGTGTTCGTGAAACAATCTCTGGCCATTTTGTCAAACAACTGTCTGCGGGAATTGTCCAAATGTCCACCAAATGCCCAATAAAAGGCAAAGATGTAAAAAGCTGTCATTTTGTCAGCAACAACTTTTTCTGAAGTTGTAAAGTTCAATTTTTCGATCAAATGGATGAAAATCTTGAAGAAATTGGAGACATGAGAAAGCGATGGAACATCTTTAGTTGGAGATCCATTTTCATCTGAGAAATGAACAGCATTTTCGAGAGACCTATCGCATAAATCAGAGAAAACATTGATATACAAATTCTGGTTTTTGAAAAGTGGCAAAATATTGTTGTATTTCTGGCCATCAACAAATGAATCCCAAATGAACTGGTTATTATCGAAATAGACCAATCCGCATCTAGAAACAAATGCTGGTGATATTCTAGAGATATCAGTTGTCTCAAAGAAAAAGTGGAAATTGTCATTCAAGAAAACTTGATCTCCATCATCAACATTTAATATTGGCTTGTCATAGATCAATGATTCGATGCTTTCACACCATTTATCTGCCATCGTTCCATCAAAAACGAACCATCTGACTTTGTGTTTCCTGTGATCATTCGCGCTTTTGATTGATTTCGTCAAAAATCCATCGTAAAACTGTCCTTGACTTTTACTTTGGTAACCAAGCATTTCCTGGAGTGTATATATATCATTGTAGATGCTTATGATATATACTTGCTGTATCTTGTTGTCGTCATTAACAACTTTGGCGTTCATGTTGAAATGAGACCTCAAAATTTTGAGAGCAGTTGATTTTCCGGTACAAGATGGTCCGTAAAGTATAACTCCTCTGTTATTAAAATACTGACTTCTAACATTGATGATTTTATCAATGAACAAATGTGTGCAATTGAATTTGAGATCCTTTAATGTTGCTCTCAGTTCTGTAGCAATTTCTCTTCTGTGGATTTCATCGAAATTAGGAGAATGTGGTTCATTGAAGTACATCAACAATGTTTTATCTATTTGTTCTTTCTCTTTTTCGTCTTTTATTCCGGAATTTATTGCGCATTGGATAGAATTTGCAATGATTTGTTCATCTTTCAAGTCCCTGTTCTTGAATTCATTGACAAACTTCATTACACGCTTTATCAACTCATATCCTAATACAACAATCTTCTTTTCTTCAAATAAAACTGATAAATCTCTCAAAATATTTATCACTTTTTCTGACAATTCTTTTGCATTTTGGAAACCAAGAGACCACAAGCAGCTCTCACAGTATAATCTTAAAGGAGGCTTCCTAATGTATGTTGGTCTGAAGAAGGAATGTAATGAATCAGGTAACGCGTCATTTGTTTTTGTAAATGTCAAGAAAATTCCATAATTTTGAGGCATCGTAATTTCGAATCCCAACAAATCAACTTTCTTTTGTTGAGCTTGGCTCGCGTTGAACAATGATCTAAAGTAATCAGTTAATATGGCAATAGAGTCCATTGGCAAGTTATCTGCGTGTTTGTAGCATAACCAGACATTTGCCAATAATGAACCTTTGAAAACCATTGAAATTTCTTTGATTGAAGAGAAATTCGAACAATTCAAAATATACATGAATCTTCCTAACGTTCTTGAAATCATTTTGAGTGTTTCTGTCTTTCCAGAACAATGTTCTCCAACAGTTGAAACACCATAAGAATGATGCAAAGAGCTTGTCATCGAGAAGAAGTCTTTCTCGGAGTCTTCAGTCATCACAGTTCTTGCATTACAATCTGCAAATTCGTTATCGTAAACATAACTGCATGATCCGACATTTATTTTCACATCTTTAGTTTGTTCTTCGTATGTGAATTTAACTTGTCTGAACCATTGGTAATGCTGCTGTGTGAAAACTTCGTCTTTTATGTATCTTTCGATTGTATCTCTATGATACATTCTCAAAGTAATTAACGAGGAAAGCTTCAAAATGTCTAAGTTGTTCGTTGAAGTTTTCAATTCTTGACAATATGTCAAAATATATCTGTCAATTTCGTTCTTGAAAACTTTGAGGGATTCAACGGCATTTCCTGTTTGGAAGCACAATAAAACTCTGTTCGTCCAGTCAATGCGGATTAAGATCCTTACTATCTGACTCAAATGAGATTTGATCCAATCTTCATGCGTCATTTCGTTTCTTTGTTGCATTGACACTTTTACTTCGGATTTCAAATTTCTTTTTGATGTTTCTTCAATGTTTTTGAGCCATGAATCAATGTTGGATCTGAATTTAATGGATCTGACTTCGAAAACTTCTCCGCTTGCGTTTATTAACGATTTGACGCAAGGAATGTGATTATCTGGAACAATTTCAACATTTCGGATTCCGTCGAAGATCTGTGGTAATATTTCGACGATACATGTTGGTTCCTTCGATCTGGAGATGATTGATGCCAATTGATTATTAGATAAGAAATAGAATCTCATGAAATTGATTCTCTTCGAATCTAAGTTGTCATTAATTGACTTAAGAAGCTTTTGGACTGAATCTTTGGCAGATTCAAGGTCAGGAGCCGTTTGATTTAATGCAGATATCTTTGCAACGGCCGGATCATCATTAATCTTGGTAGATAACGTTCTCCATATTTTTTCAACTGATGAAAGTTCTTTGGAATCAGCTGGAGTTGGTCTTAGACCTGATGGGAAAATTGATTGGATAAAAATCCAATTATCTTGCACATATCTTAACAGATGAGTGATATGTAGCATCATCTTGATCGTTTTGTTCCATGACCCGGCTGTTTGTCTGAGAGGAGCAACATATGGAGAAGCTCTGACTGAATCAATCGTAGCTTTGGCATTTTCAAGCTGTTCTGTGACTTCATTGAATTCGCAGATTTCGTAGCTTGATTTTTGCCATTTGGCCGCATGACATCCGAAATACAAAGCATCGATGTCTTTTTGGACTTTTGTGATGTTTTCCAACAAAATACGCTCGTTTGTAGCTTGAACTGATATGGCATGGATTTGTTCAACGTAGTTAAAAGCATGGATGTCGAACAAATTATGTAATGTGAAAACATCGTGGGAGAAAATGTCTGTTCCAAGAAGATTCGATATCAGAGTCTTGTGCTCGATCGTGAAACTTGGGTTCTTTAAGTCTGCAATGACCGGTAACAAGTTTGATACGTCAATAATTGCAGTAACTAAGGTATCTGCGACTTGGTTGCCTATCAATGCTTTAGCAGTCTTATAAGCGTTATCTTTGAATTGCTTGATTTCATCTTTGAGTGCATCTGGATCGATATTTACGAAATTCATAACGAATAATTGGTTGATTCTCGAATCCCAGAGGGTTTTTGTCTCCCAGAGCAATTGCTTGTTGGCTACATCAGTGCATAGTTCATTGACATCATTGAATTCTACAGGAGCTAAGTCCATTTTTTGTCTGTAAAGGTTGTATTTCTTGGAAAGGTCTCTTGCAGCGTTTGCTTTTGCGATCAAAACAACGAGAATAGCTGCAGCTTCATTGTTGGTTGTTGTTTGGTCTTCAAGCTTCGGATTAGTTTCAAGTTCTTTGTAAGATTTCATCGATTCATGCAAATTGGAGATATATTCATCGAGTTGGACCGTGAAATATGCCTTTTGCGACTGGATTTGGCTGGAAGAATTGGCCAAAACAACTTTAATTTGTTCCAAAATTGGAGATAAGTCATTAAACAACTCTTTATCTTCTTCACTAACGGTAATTGACTGATCCTGAGCAAGTTGGAAGAATTGCTGAAGGTTGTTCTGTTCATCAACAAAAGAATTTATTAATGAATTATATTTGTTCGAAACATCGATGAATTCTACATATGTAGGCACGTTATTAACAATAATAGAAAGATCTCTGTGAGCTTCTTTTATGTGTCTATTGAATTCTTCAAGATATCTTTCAATAACATGAGGAATTCTGAGCTTAATCGATCTAATACAGACTCCTGGAGACATAATTAACGATTTCTTCATGTCTGTACTAACACAATAGAAGATTCCGACATTTTTAGATTCAACAATTGATTTCAAAAACTTTTCTTCTGTTCTTAAGCCTTTAATTTTGTCGGCAACATTATTAGCAGTTAGATTAGGATTATCTAAGAAGGTTAAATCAATAGATTGCTCGTTATTATAAATTGAAAATGGTTCTGAAAAAGTTTCGTTGTAAAAATTGAGAAGGTGAAATTCACTATGAATAATATTGACTTGCTCTTGTGTAATTGTCTTGAAAACTGAATCATTAAAGATAATTCTGCCTAAATCCGGAATAGAAATGATATGGAGGGCATCTTCTCCATATATTTCGCCAAGTATACTTCCAAACAATGGATTTGTGAGTAATCTTGGTACTTTAAACAACAAATCAATAAAATCATTTCTTATAATGTCCAATTTCTCAATGATTTCTGATTCATTTGGATTCCACTTGATTGTATCATCAAAACTCATATCAATCCAAAAGATTGGCGTATCAAATAATTCTTTTGTTCGTTGTTTAACTAAATCGTAAAATTTTTGGAAATCAATTGGGAGTTTCATTGGTTTCTGATATTCAGGATCTACAAAATCAAAGTCTTTTGCGCCTCTTTCATGTAAAATTTGGAAGATACTTAAATACGTCATTGTTGAATCGAAACAAAGGTTTCTTAGAGCTGAAATGACAACGTAATCGATTAAATGTATGAATCTAATTAATTTATTGCATGTGGCTCTGTAGTTTGCGCGATTTGTATATTCAAGTGAATTTTTATTTTCATTTTCCTTTTCTTTGGTGATAGAATGTGTCTTTTTGTAGTGTTCCATTAAAAGTTCGAGAGGTCTTCCTTTTGTTTTCCCTGATTTTTCTGGAGAATGAAGTAATTCGCGGGTTTTTTCACAAGCTTCATTAACGGTTTGACAAATATAGTTGTACAGTTCAGAAAACATTTGAGTAGTTTTATTGTAATGCTCATGATTGTCTTCAATGAAATTTTTCATTCGGTATTTTCCTGTAGATCTAAGTGAAAACAGTTTTAAGTTCTGTAAATCGCTAAGTTTACGTTGGACTTTTAGAAAAGCATCGCGTAAAATCAAGTCTGTGAAGAATAAATTTTGAGTTAGCATCATATTTGCGTGTTTTACTTTAGATGTTTGTACTAATGACTTCCATGCTCTAAAGTGACGCCATTGACGTTGATATCTAAAGAAAGGAAGTTGAATTAATTTTGCAAACTTTTTATTTGCATCAAGCCATTCATCTAACTCCTGAAAATCAACTTCATCACCACATACATGTGTCAATCCTTTCAAACTTAAAGTCCAGAATTCGCTACGCTTAACTTGACTTGGAGGAATAATTTTCAAACTTGTTGGATGATTTTCATCCTCAATAAGCTTAGACGGATATAAGTAGACGAAATTGTTTGTAATATTGTATTTCTTGACGTAATTTATAAACTCTAAAGGATCTTCGAAATTATCTGGGATTAATGAAATTTCAGGTTCTAACTGTTCAAGCTTTTTTGGTGTTCTTGGTGTATGTAGAGATGAATGTATTGGTTTTTGTTGAATTTCTGGTCGAGTTGCGGCTCGAGTTTTTGGTCTATTCGTTCCAAAGCAAGATCCAAGCGTAACTGGTTTACTTATTAGTTGTTGTCTTGGAACTAGTCTGCTTTTAAGTTCTCTTGATCTGTCCATTCCTGGCCCATGAGGAGGAATTGACATAAAAAAAAACAAAAAAATTTAGACTTCTTTATAAAAAAACGTGTTTACAAAAAATCTAAGAGAATTGATAAAACTGAAATTTCATTTTAAAATAGAACACATTTAATGAGAGAAAACAATTTTCGCACTGTAAAAGATTATATCAATGTTTAAAATGAAATATTAATTTTTATGTCACATAATCATTCTGTTCATTGCATAATATGACCATCCACATAATGTGTTCTGATCATCTGTGCAATATCATCTTATCTTAGCCACCTGCATAAAAAAGTATACAAGAGTGAAATTAAATTGAGAAGGCGCATGAATAAAAAATTCATTTTGTCATATAAACTCATTTCTGCACCATATGAAATAAGGAGGTCAAATATTTCTTTATTACTCAATTGTGCTGCCAAATATAATGGAGTATCTCCATTATTATCTTTTGCATTGACATTTGATCCATGAGAAATAAGCACTTCAACAATTTCTCTATTTTTCGTAATTGCTTCATGAAGTGGTGTTTTTCCAAGTGTACATTTTTCATTGACATACGCTCCATGTAAAATAAGAAGTTTGACCATTTCTATTTCATACATTTTTATTGCTTCATAAAGTGGTGTTATTCCAGATTTATATTTTTCATTGACATCTGCACCATTTAAAATCAGAAGTTCTGTTACTTCAATCGAATTGTAAAATATCGCCTTGAAAAGATAAATTTGTTTTATTTGAATTAAGGTCGATGAAAAATTGAGCGTTTTTAAAAAACCGCCGTTTGAGAGGAAAATTGTGAGCCCCGATGTATACTTTTTGACATTGTCAAAAACTTTGAAAGGACCAAAAAAATTTTAGTGTCAGAAAGTTTACAAATGTATACTTTCTGACAAACAGACTCTCAGAAAGTACTCAAACTGCGGTTTTTAATTTCCGCACTTTTTTTGGCGACCTTATACCGTGCGAAATAAGAAGATTTACAATTTCGGAGTAATTCTTTTGTATTGCAATATCAATTGGTTTTTCTTGATACTTATCCATCTCATTACAATGAGGATAGATGAGAAGTTCGGCAGTGTCTTTATTATTATTACATGCTGCATAATAAAAAGGAGTTCTGAGTTTTTTATCTTTTGCAAAAATATCTGCGCCATGAGAAATAAGAAATTCTGCAGTTCTTTTATTTTTATTTAAAGCTGCAGAATGGAGAGCTGCTATACCTTTTTTAGCTCTTGCTTTGACATCAACACCACGCGTAATGAAATATTCACAAAGAGATGGAATACCAAAACGAGGGGAATAAACAAAGCATTTATATAATTTTTTGTATATATCTAAATGCACAAAGAAAGCATGAAGATTATTATACTCTACACAGTATTCAAGATTGATATTTATGTTGTACTCATTCATTAAAAATGAAACGAAATCAATGTTTCGCGAAATTATTGCGTATTTCATGCATTTATAGTCGGGTTTTTGTTCTTTCAAGCACAAATGCATGATATCAAGATTTCCACTTAAAAATGAGTAATAAAGACAATGTTTTGTGATTTGTGTATTGAATTTTGTTCTTAAAAACTTAAAACAATCAACTGCACCATAGTAACAGCATAATTCAATTATTGATAGCATTGTTATTGAATCAGGAGAATAAAAATATTCACGATCTGGAAGCAGGTCAAATGGAAAATAATAAGTAGGATCATTCTCTATCAAAGGAATAAGTGATTTTATATCATCATTGACAATTGATCTGAGGATTTGGTCTTCTTCATGAAAATTCAAAGAATATTGTTTAAAATTGATATCTTCCTTTTGAGATTTATCTAAAATGATTCCATACTCCTTATACGCAAAATAATTGAAAATTATTTCAATTCCTGAAACTTCTCTTGGATGATATTTTTCAAATATCTTTTTGAAAAGAATCCAATATGATTTAATGTAGCGATTATTGCATATTGATATAAACGAAATCTTGCGTAAAACTTCCGATGGTGTTAAATATTCTGTTTTGATCAAATTATTTTCCACAAGTTGGTAAATTATATCAATATCACCCTCATTCTGTGTGTGTAGCTTGTACAGAGAATCAAATGTCTCGCGATATTCTTTTGTTAACTCCATAAGCTCATCATAATCATATTTTTTCATATTAATATTAATGATGGCAGAATTTTAATTTTGTAAAGAATTTCTATTTACAACAATATGATAAAGTTATTTTCAACATGTACAAATAGAATCTTAAGTATTCAAATTGGGGGTTATATCAAAAATTTACCATCAAAAATTTGAATACAAAGCTTCCTGGTGGCACCGCCGTTGTTGTTCCAATGCTTCCAATCCTAGTTCCTTGACGTATGACATGAATTTCTTTATATAAATCAGGAAACTTGCCATTACAATGCTCAAATCTTGTTTTTCCTTCATCTTTAAGAAAGAGTCGATATGGACGAAGATCACATAATAAATGAAGCTTCAATATACGAATGGGGCCATTTCAAATTCTGACTAACATTATTGTTCAGGAATTATCATGAAGTCAGTCTCATTAAGTAGTTCTATTCATTTCCTATCGAATTTAAGCAGAAAAGCACAAAATAATAATACAAAACTGAAAATAGAATTAGAAGAGGACATATAAACTTGCTGACATTAGAAATATTTATAATTATTGTGCTCAGATCATTGTAAGATGCTATGTTGAATTAATAAACTTATGATGTTTAAGCCTTTTTGAAGTGGTTGATAATCTTGATGAAAAAATCAATGAATTTATAGCAGTTTCATCGAAGGAGACATATACTTATGCCAATGTATGATGATTTATTTCGCCGAAAATCAAATAGAGCAGGGAAAATGGTGAATTTCGTTCAAAATGGAAAAATTACGATGAAAAAAATGCATATAATAAAGGCCACAAGTCTGGAAATAGAGAATTATATTTATTACTTGCTATTGTCGAGATCAAAAAACATGGATCTGATGGTCTGGCATTTTGCCGTCAGAAAGCATGAACTTTTGATTTTCAATTCTCAAATTTATAAATCATGAATAGTTTTATTTGTATAATCAAGATGAAGGAAGGTTGGAAATTTTTTATCGTTTTTATTTGAGACGTTTAACCGCAATCTTAAACTATCTAAATATTACTATCAATTAGATTTAATAATTTGGGCGTGATTTCGGTTCGAAATTTTTGAAATGCGATTTATTTAAAAACTCCCATCACATGTAGAAGAATGAAAATATTAGTTATTGTTTCAGATTGCATTGAAATTTAATTTGAATATAGAACGATAAAAGCAAAAATGTACGAGACACCAGATGTTGGGACTTACTCCTCCTTTGAAAATAGCGAGGCTTCAATGTCTACGGTCAAAGTCGGAGAGAAGCCAAAATATGCATCTTGCTTTATTACAATGATGAACTTGTTAAATACTTTGGTCGGCGCCGAAATTCTTGGTATAGCCAACTCCTTTACCCTTTGCGGATTATTTGTTAGCATTGGTCTTATGGTTTGCACTGCTTTGCTTTCATATGCTGCTTCCATTTTAGTAATTCGTTTACAGAATTTCACCGGTGGCCAATCCATTAACGAAATTGCCACAAAAGTCATGGGTAAATGGGGTGGCACAGCCGTATCCGTTCTCACGCTCTGTTTCACTTATTCGGCTCAAGTTGCTTATTTAGTTATTGCTTCTGAAACAATCGAGAAATGGCTCTTACTCCTTCATGCTGATGCTTGGACCACTGGATGGAGACGTGCTATCGTTGTATTCGGATACGCCATGGTTCTCCCAATTGCATTAACAATTCCAAAGAAGATGGATTTCCTTAATACAGCATCATCAATAGCTATTTTATTCCTTACCGTTTTTGCATGCGTTATGGTTTACAAGGCTATTGTCGTCTTACCAAAGCAAGGATTCAATCCTACATGCGAAAGTGCTATTTGGGGATTGAACTTCTTCAATGCACTTGCCATCTATGCTATGATTTTTGCCCTTCCGGCTATTGTTTTACCTCTTCTCAACCCATTCGATCCAAGTATCAAGAAGAGATACTTCCTCATGGGTTCTGCATTCCTTACATGCTTCACCATCATTCTTGTACCTTCCGTTTGTGGTTATCTTATGTTCGGAGCTTATACAGAACAAATTATTTTCGGTTCCTTCGACAACAAGGATATTTTAATTCAAGTCGTTCGCGCCACCTTCTTCTTCGTCGTCAACGCTTCATTCCCTGTCGTAGGTATCGCAGTCGTTACAGATATCTCAGCTCTTGTTTACAAAGTTCATAATCCAGCCGACTTGGACTGGAAGCGCCGTATCATTTGCTTACTCATCGCCGATGGCCCACCACTTGTTCTCGCTATGGCACTACCTAAAGTACGTCCAGCGCTTGAAATCGGTGGTGCATTTGGTGGTTGCCTCACAAACTTCTTCTTCCCACCACTTTTGTACATCGTTCAGTCAAAGAAGAAGTGGTATCATCCGACAAACTTACTGCTACTACTCTTTGTAACTTTCGGATTTGTTTCATCCGGAATTGCTACATACACTGCAGTTGAAGACTGCGTTCACACATTTAAGGGTGGAGTTTAAATAATAAAGTTAGTCTATTTGATATAATTATAATTACAAATGCCTATTTTTTGAATAAAATGGTTTGGTGAAAAAATTCGGATTTCAGATCTTGGAAATGAATTAATTAACTTGTATTTAAAATTTTTACAGGTCAATGTGAAGGTTCCATAGTGTAATGGCTATCACTGGGGACTCTGAATCACTAAATCCAGGTTCGATTCCTGGTGTAACCAAAATTTTTTTATCAAAAATCGACTTTTGTTTATTTCAATGGATTTTACTCCCCCTTCAAACTAAAAAAATATATGGATCAATTTCCGATTTTTAGATTTATATTGAGTTCATTACTTTTGCAGTGATTTTCTCCATTTCATTTTTCAATTTTTCTCGCTCATCAATTCCAGCGGTAAAAATATAATTTTTGAATGGGAAGCGGAATTTCCCTTAACTATGATAACATTCAACCGCTTTTCACAGTAGGTTATTGGGATATCAAGCGTGCTGTTCAGAAATCTACAAAGCAACACGTTTGTCTATGGGTTTTCGATTATCCAAAAATTAAAGCCAAAGAAAGAAACACAAACGATCGACATAACTATATGGAAAATGTTATAGCTTCGATTAAAGCTCAGCAGAAAGTACGGCACCCGAACATTTTGAAGATTTTTGAAGTTTCTGAAGATATGAAGAGTCTTGCCTTTTCTTCGGAACCCATTGAGTTCCAATCAGCGAATGATCCATGTTTTACGCGTGATGAAGCTATTTTCGCATCAAAACAATTAGCTTCTGCAATGCAATTTCTTAATGAAGACTGCCACACTGCTTATTTGACTCTCAGTCCCGAAGCCATCTTCTTTGACAAACAATTCAATCTTAAGTTATGTCTATTTACATTTGCAAAACCATATAAAGAAATTTCTCAGCCAATTCAAATGCGCGCACCTTGGACAAACAACACAATGCACATTCCAGCAAGATACGCAGCTCCAGAAGTCATTCACAACCAAACAATTACAGTTCGCGCTGATTCTTTCATGTACGGCTTAATTGTCTATTATTTCTTTACAAACAAGCATGCGTTATCTGCTATATCCCTTGAAACCCACAGACCCAGCGAATTACAGTCCAAATTCGACGATATTCCCGAAGAATACGCAGATTTGATAAAACTATGTTTTAACGACGTTGCGTCCTTGCGACCGAATTTTATTGCCATCAACAACGATGAGGCGTTCTCCAGTACCGTTTGCGACGCTTTCCAGTATTTGCAGCAAATTGACACGAAAGATCCGAAAGACGTCTATTCTTTCTTGTCAGGACTTGCCGATATAGTCCACGTGTTCTCCACGAGAATTAAGCAGTACATGTTCCTTCCGATTTTCCTCAGATTGGCCCAAACAGATGCGAGGTACGGAATCATCATTATTCCAATAGTTCTTACTATATCCGAGGCCCTTGAAAAATCAGAGATACTCCCTATGATTTTGGAGCCTTTAAGACCTTTATTTGAAAAACCTTCAAATCCTATGTTATGTAAGTCAATTTTGAACAACATCGATTTCATTTCTAGCAATATTTCACCATCACAATACCCAGCATTCATCTTCCCAGCAATTTTCTTCGCTTTAGGTTCGAATTCTTCGGATTTAATCCAATTAGGTATTACGAAGCTTCCAATCATCATCGAAAACCTTTCAAGCCAAGTCTTAGCCGATCAAATACTTCCTAAGATCGCTACAATCATTCCACAATGCAAAGATGCACAAATTGCAACATTAAACATCAATATTATCGAAAAATTCGTTACTAAATTAGAAAATGACATCATCGCTGTTACGATCTGTCCAAAGATTCTCGAATTATACAGAAAACAACAATGGGATTCGATTCCATTAGATTATTACAAGATTTTGTCACAAATGTCACTCAAACAGGACACAATCATGAAGTTTATCGTACCTATGTGCACTGAATTCCTTCAAAACAGAGGTCTTCCGGCAAATTTACAAGGAATTTACTTTAATTACATGTTGAAGTCGATTATGATCGTTATGAAGGAAAGAAATATCTCATCCAATGTCGAAGTACCCGATACCGTCCTCCAGCAGACAAATGAAGCTACTTCTCCCGAAAATAAAGATCCATTTGGTGTCAGATTGAAGAAAGTCCAACAGCAACAACAGCAACAGCCACCAAAACCACAGAATCCACCAGAAGAAGAGCCAAAGAACAATGATCCGTTCGGAACTACTCAATCTCAATCCCAGAAGACGAATTCCGGTTTCGGAAACGATCCATTTGGTTCTCAATTACAGTCGAGCCAGCCACAACCGTCAAAAACCGCTGATTCTGGTTTCGGATCCGATCCATTTGGAACATCTCAACCGCAGCAGGCCAAAACAACATCCGGATTTGGTAATGACCCATTTGGATCACAACAGCAACCTGCAAAGCCTCAACAGCAACCTGCAAACTCAGGATTTGGAAATGATCCGTTTGGAACAACTCAACCAACTAAGCCACAGCCACAGAGTTCATCAGGATTCGGTAATGATCCATTTGGAACTACACAGCCTAAGAAACAAGAGAATTCTGGCTTTAATTTCACTACTTCTGAAAATAAACCAGCTCCAAGCAACAACGATGGCTTTAACTTCGCAGATGATGACGAAACTCCTCAAAATAATAATGACTTCTTTGGAAACCAAAATAATCAAAAATCCAACTCAGGAATTGACGATCCGTTCGGAAATAAGCCACAACCAGCTAAGCAACCGACAGCCACATTCTCTACTGACGCTTTTGCTTCATCTCAGCCCCAGAAAAAGCCACAACAAAATTCTGGTTTCGGAAACGACCCATTTGGAACAACTCCACCGCAAAAGCCACAAGATAATGGATTTGGAAACGATCCATTCGGCTCCCAGCAGCAGAAACCTCAACAAAGTTCTGGTTTCGGAAATGATCCTTTCGGACAACAGCCAAAACCACAGCAACAGCCACAAAATTCAGGGTTTGGAAATGATGTATTCAGTTCCCAGCCTCAGAAACCTCAACAGAACTCCGGATTTGGAGATGATCCATTTGGCCAACCACAGAAGCCTCAGCAACCTTCCAATTCAGGATTTAGCAATGATCCATTTGGTTCTCAGCCACAAAAACCTCAACAAAATTCTGGATTTGGAAATGATCCTTTCGGACAGCCACAGAAACAATCTCAGCCTCAAAACAATGGTTTCGGAGATGATATGTTTGGTTCCCAACCACAGAAGCCACAGCAAAACACTGGATTTGGAAATGATCCATTCGGACAACAACCAAAGCCACAACAACAGCCACAAAATAGTGGATTCGGCAATGATGCCTTTTCACAGCCCCAAAAACCTCAACAGAGCTCCGGATTTGGAGATGATCCGTTTGGCCAACCAAAACCACAGCAACAGCCATCAAACAGCGGTTTTGGCAACGATAGTTTTTCAAAGCCCCAGCCAAAGCCATCAAACGGAGGCTTTGACACTGATGTTTTCGGAGCAAGGCCACAACCGCCGAGATCCAACGATCCATTTGGAACAACCCAGCCACAACAGAGCTCTGGATTCGGAAATGATGCTTTTGGATCTTCCCAGCAGAGCCAAAATTCCGGATTTGGAAATGATCCGTTTGGCCAGCCACAGAAACAGCCGCAGCACAGGCCATCATTCGGTGGCGATGTTTTTGCTACTCAGCAGCCGCAGCAAATGAACAGAAACGCTTCAACAGATATATTCGCAAGTTCGAACTCGGGATTTGGCAACCAGTCTCAAAACAATGGATTTGGAAGTCAAAATAACATGTTTGGAAATCAACAACAGCAACAAAATCAGAATAATTTTTCTGGATTCGAGTTCGAGTAAAACCCCTTCATCCCTTTATTCTTTTATTTATGGTATATATATAAAAATATTTATTTTAAATTTCTCTAATTTTTCAAAAAAAAAATCTCAATTTTATTTTAATTTTTTAAAAAAATAACCTAACATAACTATGAACCTGTTGATATCTATTCCAGTTAATTTTGTTTTTAATTTTATCGTGTGCGGGACAAATTTGCCAAGTGTCACTTTTCAATAACCTTAAATTACGCTTTTCTCATTTTTTTAAAAATAACCTTAAATTATATTTGAAGAAATTATGTCTATGATATATGTTTTATGCTAGAATCTTGGAGTTTTCATGCACTACAAAGAGCTCCAAGGTTCCAAGAGTGAATGCTCAATAGCAATTATAGAGATGTACCTTTTCAAAATGACTTTTACTGATTAAATTTAATCAATAGAAGACATTTTGAAAAGATACCTCTACAATTAGATATACAATAGATTCAAAGCTTCATTTCAGATAGATTTGAAACTTTGAAACTCTTGGTAGATTTTGAGTGGATGCTGACAATCATCTTTGAGAAGGTTTTCTTTAAGAAAACCTTCTCAAAGAGGTTTCTCAGGAGCCCTGAGGCTCCCTTTCGTAATGATTGGGAGCCTTGGGGCTCCTGAGACGAAGAATGGCTTCGCCGAATCTTTGATCAGCAGAGGCCAAATGAAAAGGCCTCTGCTGATGGATTCTCAGGAGCCCTGAGGCTCCCTTTCGTAATGATTGGGAGCCTTGGGGCTCCTGCAGCAGAGTATCGCTCCGCTCCATTAATTTTTTTTAAAAAAAGTGCCGTGTGGCAAATTTGTCCTGTTCCCTTTTGGTCTCATTATTACGACAAATTTGTGTGAGTAGGAGCATAGAACCTAAACCAATGTTAACAAAAGAAAGAATCAGAAGATCGATATTCAAATACTCTACTCCATTGTGCATCATCTAATGGTTATCTATATATTGTTCAATATCTTATTTCTATTAGAGCTAATAAAGATGCAGAAGATAGCCATGGATTTACGCCACTCATCATAGCATCATATAATGATAACCTTGTTGTTGTCAAATATTTAATTTCTATTGGAATTGATAAAGAAGCGAAGCACATATTCGGATCTACTGCATTTCTTGCAGAATTACAAGAAAATAATTATGAAGTTGCAAAATATCTTATCTCTGTCGGAGCTGACATAGAAGCAAAGAATAATGATGGATATACCCCACTGATTTGGGAATCAGCAAAAGGTCAACTTGAATTTGTTAAATACCTTATCTCTGCTGGAGCTAATATTGAAACATCTGACAACGAAGGAAATACTCCACTCCTTATCGCCCCTTGTTATAGTCAACTTGAAGTTGTTCAATATCTAATCTCAGCAGGAGCAAATAAAGAAGCAAAAGCTAATCATCAACATACAGCACTAATTCTTGCATCAATGATATTCAGCTATTTTTTCGTTATCGCCTCTAACCGCGAGGTGAAGAAGTGTTCAGCCATCACTATCGATTTGGTGAATGTCAGAACCAAGTGAAATAAGAAGTTTTGGAACTTCATAACCATGATGTTCTACTGCATATTGAAGAAATGTTTGATTTTTATAAGTTATTGCATTGAAATCAACTCCATGGGAAATAAGGAGTCTTGCTATGCTGACACTATCATTTTTTATTGCATAATGAAGAGGTACTTTACCCTTTTTATCTTCGGCATTTATATTTACACCGTGTGAAATCAGAAGTTCTACTATTCTTGGGAGATTATTTCTCACTGCAAGGAAAAGAGGCTTAATACATTTTGAGGGATCTTTATTTAGATCTAGACCATGTGAAATGAAAAATTCTGCTTTCTCAACATTTTTATTTTCTGCTGCAAAATAGAGAACCCCACTTCCTCCCAAATCATACACATTGATATCAGCACCATGTGAATAAAGGAAATCAATCATTTCATTACTATTATGCTCTACAGCTTCAAGAATGGGTGTATAGTTATAAGGGCCTATCTTATTTATATTAGCGCCGTTTGCAAGGAGAAGTTCAGCCATTTCTACATGATTATAAATTGCGGCAGCAAAAAGTGCATGATGCTGATTGATATCTAATCCATGTGAAATAAGAAGTTCTAATATTTCTTTCCAATTAAACTTTGCTGCATAATAAGCTGCTGTTTTATTCGATTTTTCAATATTAACATCTGCACCATGTAAAATGAAATATTTACAAAGAGATGGTATTTGAAATTCACAAATAAATGTCAAATTTTCTTTGAAGCTCTTTTTGATATCAAAATATATCAAGCATGCATCAACATTATTGTAATCCGGACACTTAGATAAATAAATTGTTACATTGCATTCAGTGATCAAAAAATTGATAAAGTCATTGTTGTGTGCAATAATTACATATTCCGAGCAATCAGTATCTGGTTTTTCATATTTAAGACATTCTATTATTATTTCTTGATTTCCTCCTAAAAATGAAAATCCAAGGCATGTTTTGGTGATTTTTGAATTAAATTTTGTTCTCAAAAACTTAAAACAGTTTACAGAATCATAGTAACAACATAACTCAAGCCAACCAATCTTATGATATTCACGTGGAAACAAACTATTATCTATTATTTGCTTTTCATCAAATCTACTTCTTTCTGTGAAGCCTATAAATGATTTAATGTCATCATCCAGTATTGATCTGTAAATTGTGTTTTCGTTGAGGAACTCAATTGAAAAATCTTTATGAGTATCTGGATGCTTATATGAAAATTTATATTTGTCGTAAATAAGTTTATCAAATCCACCACTAAAACTAATACAATCAACTTTATCCGGATGATAATCTTCATATAATTTTTCGAAAATCCGAAAATATGATTTCAAATAACGATTGTTGTGTCGTAATGCATGTGAAATAGATTCAAGAAATTTCGATGGAGAAATTATTTTTGTTTCGATTATTTTGTTTTTGATATTTTGGTAAATTTTTTCAATTTCACCTTCGTCGAAAGTGTGGAGCCTGTATAATGCGTTGAAAGCATCACTGTAATCTTTCGTTAATTCAAAAAGTTCTGAAATATTAAAGTCAGTCTCACTCATTGAGAATTGGATTTGTGAACTGAAAAAAAAATTCTATAAATTTTGATTTGATTGTGCGATTGAATTGCTTATGTTGTGTGAAGGCATTTCAACAATTTCGGATTGATTTTAGTCACAATTTTCAAAAAAACTCCAAAATTTTCAAAAAAAAATTATAGTCGGATAAATTAAAAGTTCAAAAACATCGACCAAGATTATATCCGTTAGATTCTACATGAGGAATACAATGATGGTATATATATATGTAATCCTAGAATTTTACACTTTCCATTTTGAGATATCCGAATTACGATCGAAACACCTTAATTTCGCTGAAATATGTATTTCATATGTATTTAATATTAAAAAGAATATGTTATACACTGCGACTGCCAATACCTCTAAGCTCAATCCCATAAGGTTGCAAAAAAAAGGAAAAACAATAGAGAAATTGAGAGAACCAGTCACCCCAAGTGATTGATGAGAATAATTATTATATGAATACATGCATATCTTGTTAAAATGAAGATATTAAATGTCACCAAATGTGCACAGCACACCTGATTTGACAAATAAACAGTAAGAAAGTAGAAAGCTTATCCTTCTTATTGAAATTCTGGCTTTAAAAAACTTTATCGTGATTTTGTAAATTTACAAATTTTACAAAAAATGAGTCTTGGCATTACTCCGAATTTTGAATACATTGCAGCTCATATCGATGATTATATTAAAAATGAAAATTTATTTAACCTATTTGAGATAGGAGAGCTCAAAACAATTATGAAACAAACAAATTTAACATCCAATCAGTACATTTCACTTCTACAACAATCCATAATTATGCTGGCCATCTTGAAGTTGTAAAATATCTTAGTTCTATTGGAGCTAATAAAGAAGTGGTAACAAATGATGGAAATTCTCCACTCAATTTGGCATCACAAAATGGTCATTTTGAAGTTTTAAAGCATCTTATTTCTATTGGAGCTGATAAAGAATCAAGAGATAATGATGGATATACTGCGCTAATTCGTGCCTCAAAACTTGGCCGCCTTGAAATCGTTAAATATCTTATCTCAGTCGGAGCTGATAAAGAGGCAAGAGATAAAGATGGATATACTGCATACCTTCGTGCGTCAGAAAGTGGTCAAATCGGAGTTGTAAAGTATCTTATATCTGAAGGTGTTAATAAAGAAGCTAGGACAAACGATGGAAAAAATGCTCTTTCAGTTTCATCAGGATATGTAACCGATTATCTAGAATATCTTTCTCGTCATTAATCTAATCAGATACTTATCAAAATACAAAAAGATTAAAACTATAATATAATTATTATATTTTTTCAAAATGAACGTGTATACATATATATACAAACACCTGGACTCATTTCAAATTCTGCAACGCCTCATTAAAACTATGATATTTTTAGCATTAAATTTAAATTTAAGGTATGGAAACCGGATCGGTTAATTGGTTAATAGTTTCCAAATCTCCTGAAGTTTTATTCGAATTCTTCGTCGAACTGCATGTCAGCTGGATTACGGTAGCAGGCAAATTTGAACTCTCCTGAACTGTGCATTTTTCCATTGAGTGAATGTACTGCGTTAACGGCATCTTCATATACATTTCTAATGCTGATGACACCTTCACAGAGAATGAGAGGAAATTATCAAATATGAGTATTATAGTAGCTCCTAGTTGTGCAGTTTAGATTTATTGAATCAAAAAAAATTGAGTTTTAGTTTAAGTTTTAGTTTTCACAAAACTCCCAAAAACAAATATGCTATAAAAGTGACAATTTTAGCAAAACGAACCCCAATGATTAAATTTAAATTTATCTAAATTTATGGTAATTGTGAAACAATTCCATAGAACTTTTTTTGGAAGATTATTTGGCAAAATTTATTTTTTTATTGACAGAAAAAATGGAGCATTTCTATATGGAAGAATTACCAGATAACTTTAAAGAATCAATTAGACTGATTGATTTGATTTGGAATGTGTCTGAATCGGAAATTGACCAAGTAGCACAAGATTTGAAAGAAAATTTAACTAAATCAAGTCTAATAATCAATGATATTATTTTAATGATTGACAAAAAGTTGTCATTTTATTCAAAAAACTTCATGCCACTAAAAGATCTCTATTTTAGAATATTAGAAGATTTCAAAATCGAAGATATCACAAAAATTCTTCCAAACAAGTTGTATTTCGAGCCTGAAGAACTGAAAAGTATTGAATACCCATTTGAACCTTCTTCTCTCGAAGACATTATCTTTAGAGATGATTTGCAAAGTTTGATTTCCGCCACTGATTTACAAGGTTTCAATTTTAATCAGCATTTAGGTCGAACATTGTTAATCGACTTTGCTGCTTCAAAAGGATCTGTCGAGTGCTTCAAGTTTATTTTTCTAAACCAAGCTGCAGTTTGGGAATCAACTCTTGAAAAATCATTTGAAGGAGGAAACCTCGAAATCATCAACATATGCGAACAAAAGATTCAAATAACACCCGGATGCATGGATCAAGCCATCATGCACCATCAGGACGAACTTGTACGCTATTTGGTGGATAAATATCAGCTTTCTTGGACATGGATTTCAACAATGTTTAATTATAATTACAAGTTGTTTTTCGAAAAATTGGCGATGTGTGAAGACATCTATGAAACAGATATTCACGGAGATAATTGTATGTTTGCAGCTTCATTTCATTTGCAACTTGAGTTAATGAAATTCTTAATTAATAAAGGTTATGACGCAGATAATTCGAAATTAATGTCTAAAGCACCTCCAATTATTTATGCTATATGTGAGAAAAGAATTGATATTGTTAAGTATCTTTTAGATCATGGCGCTGAAGCTGAAAACAAAAATACTGTATTAACAAATTTGACATCAGCCATTTATATTAATGATTTCGATATAACTAAACTACTTATTGAGCATAGTGCGGATATAAATCGTCTAAATGCTGAAGGTTCTACCCCTTTAAACGCGGCAATTGAATATTCATCTATTGATGTAGTTGAACTTCTCCTTTCAAATGGAGCTGATTCAAATGTATCAGATCTTAAATGGAACTCGCCTTTAGATTGCGCTATTCATAAAAATAATTTGGATATAATAAAATTGCTCATCAAATATGGAGCAAATGTCAATAGCACTCATATAGAGCACGCTATTCAAGAAGGAAATGATGAAATTATTAACTTTTTACGGCCACCTCCTCCCGAAGAAATTGTTGAAAATAATGAAAATTGATTTAAATATTCATTATTTAAAAGGATTTGTTTAAAGTTGCTTTCACCTAACACAACAAATTCTGATATGCGGCCTTCTCCTTTTTGAAATTCAAAAAATAAAAAATTGTGAATTAAGAAATATCTTCATTCATAGCAAATAAAACTTCAATATTGGCGGATTTGAATGTTGTGATTCATATTAGGTGCCTTAACAACATTCCTCAATTGAGGAATCTGATAAATTTATCATAAATATAAATAATTAATGTTAACATGTCTTACATATTAATAGTTATTGCAAGTATTCTCAGTGATTTCTATCCTAGCCTTTCATATTTGTTAACGTCATAAATTTCTAAAGAATAGCAGTATTGAAAATCTCCAGTATAGATATAACATTAAATGCAAGATTGAGGGCTTAAAAAAAGGAATTTTCATTAAGAGAAATATAACAAAACAACATTTAGCATGATTAAAACAAAATTAAAACATATCCTGGTTAATTTCGTTGAAAAATGTTTCAACTGATTTATATAGCTGCATATCTTTATCCTTTTCTGCGATTTGTAATTTAATGTTATTTCGATGGTTTAAGTTGCTAAGGAACTTAGCACTAATATTCAGACGTCCTAAACTTCTTCTTTGTTTTCTGTTTTCAATCCATTCTTCCCTCAATTTTATCTGATGATTTCTGTGAGCTTGATTTTCTAGAACAATTATATGAGATGATGCTCTGATTCCATAATCACTGACCTTCTTTCCTATGTTTAATGTACCATTTCTAGAGGAAAGATTGAAATTGGATAAATCTGCTTTAGCAAAGTGAGCAATTCGTAGTTTAAGAGATTTTATAGGCTCTTCTTCGAAAAATTCTATCTCAAATTCTGGATTATCGAGAAAATGTATGTATAAAATTCCGCTTGGAGGTCTTGATGTGAGTCTTTCCGGACGTTTTGGACTGCTTGATGCAGGTATTGGCAAAATTAATTGATCTGGAAAGTTGAATTGGTTTTTGGATGATTTTCCTGAAAGAAGAGCTGATGGACTTTTATTCATTTTGAAATTGATTACATAGCTCAATCTTCTCAAAAAATTGTGAAAGTTTTAACAAAAGAGGGGGTTATAATTTACTTTCATTTCAAATTAAGAAAAATTGATTAATGGTTATGAACGATATCTAATAGGAATTGCTGTAATTCCGACGATTAAAAGATGCAAAAAATTCAATGGGAATTTTTTGAGAAGTGATGAAAATATTTTGTTGATTGTTAAAATATTATTAGAAATTGATTACTAATGCAATTTCTAAAATGAGCAAGTAAGGTAATTTCTGTACTTTTGAATGGAAGAGATATAGAACGATCCAACATCTAATTATAATTTTATATATTATAAAAAGAAAAAATTAACACTATTCGTCATCTCTCGATCAAATGAAAGAAAAGTTATTGTTATAACTTTATTTTTGGGTCGTTTAGAGTTGAATAGGCGTGTTTAATTACTCAACTGAATTATATTTATAAACTCATTTTGTCAGAGGAATTGAAATTCAACCTGTTAAAAATCATATCATAATAATTAGATTAATTTTGGTGGTTTAAATCCAATATCCATATGAAGCATACTTTTCATATAAAAAATCATTAATTTTGATACCCTATATTTCCAACTCTTGGAAAATTTTCATGACCCCCTACCCAGGGTCCTAAAATGGGTATTTTCCTCACACAGACACTGTGGTTTTTTGAGCCGGGAAATAAATAGCGCAGACAGTTTCTACATATAGAGACATGCTTATACTTAGAGTTTGACGGGAATCTAAAGTGATTTTTTTCTGCATCGCGAAATCTAATGCAATCTCAAAATCATGAAGAAACTGCGAATCGGAGCGCAATTTTTAATATGTTAATATATAAAGGTACCCCTACTACTACAAATGCTTCAAATGAAAATCTAAGAAATCAGATTAATTTGATCACATTAGTATAGTATTGGTCAAACCAAAAACTCATATGTTGATATATAGCCTATAGATATTCATATTATCTACTTTTCATTGAATTACATAAGATTTAATAATCTCATAAATATTCTTTTTAATTTTCCAAATTCCGTGTGCATTTAGATTGCCTATACCTGTATATAATAATTCTAGAATTGTTTGGTTAGATATTAAGTTTTTTAGATTAATATTTTAACATTTTGATAAAACAAGCATTTGTTCCATTTTAGAATCGCCATTGAACTCTAGTTTGACTAACATGATGTTGTATGATCAAATAAATTCTAACTTCATGAGATAAATTTTGAAATTAGAAAATGCGATATCTGACTCAAATATTTATCTGAACACATTTAACATTCAATGATAAACTAAAGTACTATACAGCAGATTCGATTTGGCTTATATTTTATATAATCAACAAATAATCCTATAAAATTGTGCTATTCACGTTGCTCAAAGATGTATTGAACATTCCCTACTTGTGTATTGATAAAATTAGATATAGATTCTAATGTAAATCGATATTTTGAAAATTCATATATATTTTGTCTTGGTTTGGCATTTGATCGTGTTGAAACCGGAATTGCAATATATATCATCTAAATATATAACTATCAAAATATGAGCTATAGATTTTTAAATTATTCTCCTGAATATGAGTGACTAACATAATTATATTGAATTGAGTAGTAAGAATCATAAATATTAGAATCTGACGATAATTTATTATAACTTTATATAGGAACAAGATTATAAATGATGATGAAAATAAAGATTAAATTTAAATCTGAAAATTTGAAAACATTAAGTGTATATGATAGCATTACAAAATTAAATTTTATGTGGAAGAGGAAATAGAGGAATTAGAAGTATTATGAGAAAATAATAAGATATAAAAACAAGATTCTATTAAATGAGTTAATTTATAGAAAGGAATAACAGTGTGAATGTAGTAAATGAATGTTTTCATGATGTATTATTGAAATCTTAAGTTTTGTTAAGAAGATAATAAGGGAATCAAATTTTGTATTAGGAAGTTTGACCGACAAGAGTGTATTGTGCACTCTTGTCGGTCTGATGTCTCATTCGGGAGACATTGTCACTGCATGTCTCCCAGAATGAGACAATCTTCCGCATTCATAACTTGAATGCGGAAGTTTGACCGACAAGAGTGTATTGTGCACTCTTGTCGGTCTGCATGTCTCATTCCGGGAGACATTGTCACTGCATGTCTCCCAGAATGAGACAATCTTCCGCATTCATAACTTGAATGCGGAAGTTTGACCGACAAGAGTGCACAATACACTCTTGTCGATCTAAATGTATCTTACAATCAAAGACACTTTCATACAATCTTTTCGAAGTTAAAAAAAATTTAATTATTTCTTTCTTATTTAGTTATGAACCTGAAGAGAAATTTTAAGGAAAATATTAAGTTGTGCAATTTGCATTTATCTCTTTATGTGATGCATATTTTCACGATCTGACAGCAGAAATCGAATCAGCGGAGCCAGAAGAATCAGATTACGTGTGGAAAATAGGTTTTGAACGCTTAGATAGGGCTAAAATGAGACTTTATGAGATGTTGTATAATTATAGTTTTTGCGATAATGTGTCATGAGATCAGAATATGAAGAGAGTAAATATGTATTATTGTCACAGGTTTATATGTGGGGATAGCTCGATAGAGTCTCTAAAAGAGATTAGTACGTGAGTAAGGCGATTTAATAAACAAAAGAAAGAAATAATTAAATTTTTTTTAACTTCGAAAAGATTGTATGAAAGTGTCTTTGATTGTAAGATACATTTAGATCGACAAGAGTGTATTGTGCACTCTTGTCGGTCAAACTTCCGCATTCAAGTTATGAATGCGGAAGATTGTCTCATTCTGGGAGACATGCAGTGACAATGTCTCCGGAATGAGACATGCAGACCGACAAGAGTGCACAATACACTCTTGTCGGTCGAAGTTTTGCAATCGCGTTGTGATTGCAAAAGATTGTGCTATTCCTGCATATTTTCTACGAGCCTGCTTCATAAAATTGAATCCTTCTATCCAAATTAAATGCGATTTCGCTAATCTTTCATCTAAAATCACTAATCAGAAGCATATTGCAAGTTAACTTGAACCGGCATGTTCCTCCTATCCTGTCTTTCAGTTCTTTCTATCAGCCATGGTTCACAAGGAGGAGAGCTTTGCGCACAATCAGACATAAGATTGCGGCAGAGGAACCGGGAAGAGAGCAGCTTGAAGCGGTAAGATGTCCGAATGCTGTCTCCCAGGTGTATCTGTCAGGCAAAGTTCACAAGGAGGAGAGCTTTGCGCACAATCAAACAGAAGATTGCGGCAGAGGAACCGGGAAGAGAGCAGCTTGAAGCGGTAAGCTGTTTTCAAGTCTTTAGTTAACAAACTTTAACAAAAGACATCTAAAAAATTTGAAATAATTGCAAAAATAATGCCGTCAGGTAATGCGCACCTAAGGAGGTGTTTTGCGGGAGCTGGGGTATCTTGGTGAGTACTCAGGAGGCCAAGAAGGGCACCCCAACCGACATTTTGCTGACGCATTGTGTAAGCAACCATTCTGATAACCCCTCAAACCGTCGGGACAAAATAATTTATGAAATTATAAGTCATTTCTAATACATATTTTTGGAAGGGCGTAAGATACGCAACTTAAATATTTATTAAATATGAGAAAATCACTCAACAAAAAACAATTCTTTCAAAAAGTTTAAAATTATTTTCTAATACATATTTTTGGAAGGGTGTAAGATACGCCAACTTAAATTATTATTTAAATATGAGAAAATCGCTCAACAAAAAACAATTCTTTCAAAAAGTTTGACATTGATCTTTCTAATACATATCCTATGGAAGGAGTTTTACATTCACAAATAAAAACCAGTTCAAAATCTTATTACTCCTTGAATTAAAATCATTTAATTTCAAATCCATTCCAAATCCTTAAATCTGTATTAAAATCGTTTTGCCAACAACCAACACAATACAAATTACATTTCCATATATCTTCTTGTCCATTTAATTTTTTATCTCATTTTATTTAATTTTATTTAAAGCATATAGACATCGAGATCCTTTACACATAGTTATATAAAAGTCAAATACATAATAAATTCTTAATTCTAGAGATATCTCAAAATCTCAATTTTTTAATTTAAAATACCTTTCATTTTTCACAGTACTATCACAACAAACAAGCCATTTACTAATTAACACATATAAGAAAAATATCAAATTACAAACAACTTTCAATATCATTCGCATCGAATTCTATTTTTTCATAATTATCAACTACATGTTATTATATAATATATGTCGGCGCATATTCCACTCTATACAAGTGTCAGACACACTCACATAAAGCTGTGAGATTCATACCTCTATCAGTAGGACTTCTCAAATCAAGAACACATATGTTTCACTATCGCACATCTGTGTAGGATCTAATTAACCCTTTGGACTGGTACTTCAAAATTTGATAATTTGATAATTTCATGTGATATCATCATTTGCCTTTAAAACAACTGTGCGTTAAACTAGACACGTTTCTCTATCATAATGCAAAATATCAAAGTTTGGGAGACTCCCAAAGTGTCTGAAACTGATCATAAGGGTGAAAAACCGTTTTCCAGAAGTTGGGAACGTAGGGTAATTAAAAATGAAATAAAGATAGATTGAATTTTTACTATAAGTATCTTGTATATTTGATATAGTTTCATTAATTCTACATGTAATTAAACAGATGTATGGAAAATATAGGAATTATTTTTTTCAATCAAGAATCTGAGTATTTGTACCCTTATAATGTTGTATATCGTATGTGTTCTCTATTATGAAACGAAAGTATCTGATATTACGACGGATTTTTGGAGAATAGAATTATTTTGAGCTTTTCATGCATTTATCGAACATTATTTAGATATGCATATGATCAATGTGTATATTCAAATGTAAATTAGTTTTGTCATGAAACCAAGAAGCGAAAACTTGAAGTTATTTAACTTTCTAGCAATATATCTGATGTTGATGTATCTAATTTTGCACCAATATCTGGCTCGAAATAAGGTGATGTATCTTCGAGTTGAATCCTATTTCTATTAATATTCTTCATCAAATATCTGACAATTAAAAGGGTAACAATCATCACAAATAATATGACAATAGTACCTGTTGTATTATGAATATTCTTCTGTAGAGTTATGCGAGACCCAGAGATTGAGTAAAGAAGCATTACTTTTTTTTATTTGGAAAATTGAGATTCGTAATAAAAATTGACTTTCACAGTCGTAAGCTTGTTATTCGAGAATTATGGATGATAAAATTGGCAAGCATGTCTATAACATATCTCAATGTTTGAACAAGAAATTATGAATAAATTGAGATTATTATTTGGAAATTCGACTATGAACGCCTAAAAACACAGACTCACAGCCAAATGTTCGCGTATATACATTTCTCTTGATATCAATACATTCTCACTTGATTCTTGAAATAAAATTAATCTGAAATTTAGAAGAATATTGTAACAAACTTATAGCGTGATAATTTTATCTTTATGTCTAAATGAGTACTGAACTGATGTAATAGTGAGGAATTAAAAACAAATATAAGTGTTGAAATTAAGAGTTTAATTATTCTTCAGAGAAGATAATTTGAATTTTCAGGAAGAGTAGTAAGCGCATTTCTCTTGGATGTTTTTGAGGCTGAGTTGTTCGTCGTTCGCACCTTGCATCGATATCGAGACTCCGTTGAATGCGCTCTTTGTTGAGATAGCTGCTCCTGCGATGACCATCTTCTTCCTCCTATCTGCGCGTGGAGATACATAAGTAATGAAAACGTCTTTCGTGATGTCGAATCCGTATGACTTCGAAGGGAAGACGCACTTGTAAATTGCGTAGCATATGCCCTCTGCTTCAATGTCATCGAGGAATTCGTCGTGTGAAGCATATGGGCTTGCTGCTTTCTTGAGGACGATTTCTGTGAGATCGTTATTGAGCGAGAAGATGATGTACTTGTGCTCACCATGTGCAAGCTCGTTGTATGCCTTCTGAACTTCGCTGTTGATCTTGATCTGTGTGATCATTTGCTCTAGATGAAATATGAAGTGGACAATCTTGATGAATCAATCTTGTGCATTGTCCTGCTTCAATTTCCATTTTTTTCTGAAATTTTAATCCTCATTTTTGTTAATCAGAGTGATACTTGTGTGTATATATTTGTGAATATCTGCTAAATTACTAGCATGAATCTGAAAATCTTAATTGAATGGATGATAATAATTTTTTCGAGAGAGGGTCAAAGTTGCTATTTGTCACTTTTCCACAAGAATATAATGGGGAAAAAGTTATCATATAGTTGATCTCATTCACTGAGGTGAGAGATGCATGTAGTGTAATGGGATAAACGGTGGGATTGCTGCTCTAAGTCCTAGGTTCGAGACACATTGGCTTCATTTTTCTCTTTTTTATTGACGTAAACTATTCAATTTTTGTGTTCTCCATTCAAATTTCAGAATTTTTTTTGCAGATTTCACGCTACATTCGAAGTTACCTTTTGTAACAACCACCACTGCCTACGAAAGACGAAAGTGTGTCACGATTTCACCCGGAAATCCGACGGTTGTTTAAGAGTATGCACTTTTGTCACCTACTCTAATTTTTTCCCTCAATTATTAATCAATAACGTATATGAATTTTCTTTTGAATAAAATTATGATAAATGTAACAATATGATAAATATTGATATCTTTTTTTAGTTCCAAAAAACAAAAGTGGCAAATTTTTATATCAAAATTCCGATGATCATTTGAAAAGAATTTTTTCAATAGGGACTTTCTCAAGTTTACGAAAAATCATCTGTTATTCAAAACAAAAACTCTTTACATACAGTCCTGTTTCTGATAACGATATAATTAACCAAAATCCACCAAATTTTGTAACATGTGAAGTCACTGTTGAGAAAGTCCGATATTTCTGTAGAAGTTCAAACTTTTGTTTTCCTGATATAAGGCGGGATTTTCAAGTCCTATATGTTGAATATTGCAAGATTTCTCTCTTTTCCCTTCATTTTTCATAAAAATCTAATTTCAAATATTTAAAATAAATATCATTTTTAATAAATGATGTTACAGACATTTATAATTTGTTTATTTATAAATGATACATATGGATTTGGCCAGTTTAAATATATAAATTCATTTGAAATTTATGATTAACTGAAATTTCCTAAAATTATACAATACAATATGTACTGAATTTTCATATCTTAGATAATATAAATAATTGATGAAAACTAGTTACATCAACAGATATTTAAATGAAATTTAATTTGATAGTAATTTTATATTTATTAAGTATAATTTGTCTGTATTACTTACACAACTACAATTATGGTAATCAATATTTATAAATTCATTTAATTTATTAAAATTGAAATTAGATTTTTATGAAAAATGAAGGGAAAAGAGAGAAATCTTGCAATATTCAACATATAGGACTTGAAAATCCCGCCTTATATCAGGAAAACAAAAGTTTGAACTTCTACAGAAATATCGGACTTTCTCAACAGTGACTTCACATGTTACAAAATTTGGTGGATTTTGGTTAATTATATCGTTATCAGAAACAGGACTGTATGTAAAGAGTTTTTGTTTTGAATAACAGATGATTTTTCGTAAACTTGAGAAAGTCCCTATTGAAAAAATTCTTTTCAAATGATCATCGGAATTTTGATATAAAAATTTGCCACTTTTGTTTTTTGGAACTAAAAAAAGATATCAATATTTATCATATTGTTACATTTATCATAATTTTATTCAAAAGAAAATTCATATACGTTATTGATTAATAATTGAGGGAAAAAATTATTATCATCCATTCAATTAAGATTTTCAGATTCATGCTAGTAATTTAGCAGATATTCACAAATATATACACACAAGTATCACTCTGATTAACAAAAATGAGGATTAAAATTTCAGAAAAAAATGGAAATTGAAGCAGGACAATGCACAAGATTGATTCATCAAGATTGTCCACTTCATATTTCATCTAGAGCAAATGATCACACAGATCAAGATCAACAGCGAAGTTCAGAAGGCATACAACGAGCTTGCACATGGTGAGCACAAGTACATCATCTTCTCGCTCAATAACGATCTCACAGAAATCGTCCTCAAGAAAGCAGCAAGCCCATATGCTTCACACGACGAATTCCTCGATGACATTGAAGCAGAGGGCATATGCTACGCAATTTACAAGTGCGTCTTCCCTTCGAAGTCATACGGATTCGACATCACGAAAGACGTTTTCATTACTTATGTATCTCCACGCGCAGATAGGAGGAAGAAGATGGTCATCGCAGGAGCAGCTATCTCAACAAAGAGCGCATTCAACGGAGTCTCGATATCGATGCAAGGTGCGAACGACGAACAACTCAGCCTCAAAAACATCCAAGAGAAATGCGCTTACTACTCTTCCTGAAAATTCAAATTATCTTCTCTGAAGAATAATTAAACTCTTAATTTCAACACTAATATATATTTATTTTTGATTCTTCAATAGTGTATCAATACATAAGCTTCTTCCTTTTGAATCATAGCAGCCATCTCTGGTGTGCGTTCAACACCTGTAAGATTGTAAAAGTTTTCTCTCTCTGAATTCTGACGTTCCGATTCTTCCAAGTGATGGCAATCACAGTTGAATGTGTTTTTGAGTATCTCGTTGAATTCTTCATTATTCTGGAGTTTCTCGGCATCTTCTTTGAACTGTGTCATTCCTTGTGTGAATGTCTGAGACAGATTCTTCAACATTCAAATGATTTGCTTGAATGTCTCTGGATGATCTACGAACTGCTGAATTGTTGGGTGAACCAGTGGATGTGCAGCGAGCATTGGAAATTGGTTGATGATCTGGTAGATTGACTTTGGATTTTTTTCGACTTGATCTAACATTTCCTGAATCTTCTTTGGATCGAAGAATCCGAATGGAAAACCTCCAAAGCATTTATCATCGGATGAAGACTTCTTGACCATTTTGAGAGATGTATTTTCTTGAATTCCGCTCTCTTCGAGTGTTTTCTCGTCATCGAGTTCTTTGTCGTTTAAGAAGAGATGCATATCATCATAATCTGTTTCCTTGATTGAAGCGATTATTGCTTTGAGTTCAACAACAGTTGACTGAGCACTGTCTACTTCTACTTCGAATGCCTCTGTGTTTTCACCAGTGATTTGGATCTTCATTCTTGTAAAATGCTTTCTTTCTTCAATAAGAACTAATGATCAGTTTTTTTTTTACACAGAAAATCACTTTCTTCATTACACTTTTATCTGTATATCTTGAAATTCAAATAATAGATAGAGTAAGCCGGAAAATAAATAATCAAAATTATATAATTTGAAATTAATTCAGAATTGATATGATTTCAATCTTGATTCTTCCGATTTAAGCAATTTTTGAATCAAATACCTTAAATTTAGAATAGTTGCTCCAAAATTCTTTCAAAAATAGGCAATTGTCTTAGCGAACATGAAATTAGTTCATCTGTAACCTAAAATCCGCTATTGTAAAGGATTTACTGCATTTACTAAATCTCATACCTCAATCCATTTCTGTCCAATCAAACTGCTATGAATTTGATATGCCATTGAGTTTATATTGGTATGGTGTCTTATAGTAGTGGGATATTTATGTAATTTGCTTCTGTAGTCTTCGATTGAAAAAAATGTTTCAATAATTCTTTTAAATAAGGATGTTTTTGCTGTTAGTGTATTATCTTCTGCCTTAAAATAGCTTCCAAACTGGCAATCAAATTCTTGATCAAATATTCAATACTATTCAATATTTTGATAAGTTTACGATCAATAAAAGACTGCAAAAAGCAACAGTTGAAATTTTTGTTAGTGAAATTAAAATAATAATCTATTTATCAATTCTATTATGGTTAAAGTTTCCTCATGATGAAAAAATTACAACAGCAAAATCCAACAAAATTTTGATTTCATAAAAAACGGAAAGAGTAACTACTTTAAGTATGAAAACAATCAGTTTATATATAAATTTAATAAAGTTGGCTTCTAAAAACAAGTTGGACGTTGGCCGATGCAGGTAAATCAACAAAGACCTTTGGTAAATCTTGAGCTGGAGCAGTTTTGAGGGCTTGGCAAACGGAAGAACCGCTGACGCACGAAAGGAGATCAACAGCTCCTTGGTAGTTAATGTTTTTGACTTGAAGGAATTGAATTAAATAACAAGCAGCGCCTCCGTACTTCTTTGAAGCTTCTGTAAGTATCTTCTTAGCGTCGTCTAATTCTAGGTCCTTCTTGTATACTGTAATGACTTAGCCGATGACTTCTAATGGTAAAGAATAAAATTCTGGATTGGAAATCAATTTAAGGAACTCCGACTGAATTTGTGGCTCTGCTGAGGAAAGGTCTTCGCCGGTCTGTACTAATGTAAATAATAACTGTACGATATCAGCCATTTCTTATTTTAAAATTTAGAAATTTGTCACTTTTTGTATTGAAAAATCGACCGTTATTTGAATTGTTTCATTTCGAGGTATTATGCTCTGATGCTTGTTCTTTGACATTCGTTGAATCAATATCTAACTGAGCAATTTTTCTGCGTAGATCAAACATTCTCTTGAAATTTAACGGTTCCGAATTTGGATCATACAAATACTGGAATAACTCTTGTGTATTAACAGAGTCGTGCTCAACAGCTTTGATTTTGAGGTTGAGAGTGCCAATTTCATCTTCATAATATTTCCATATTTTATTAATGTTCGTTTTCATGTGTTCGCGTTGTCTTTCCCTTTCCTGACGAAAATCTTCAAGTGCTTGTTTTGCTTCATTCACTTGTTGTTTCATGTTTCGCTTCATTTCTTCAAGATTTTGTAATTCCTTCTGTAATTGTGATTCTAGAACTGCAATATCAGGGTCAGCGACTCTCTGTGATGTTTTTGATGGAGATAGATAGTTTTTATAATTATAACTGTCACCATATGAAGCTTCATCCAAACTTGCCATAAATTCGATGTAATTTAGATTTTGTTGATGTAGAGTATGCATATCATTAACTTCATACTGACGTGGATTCAATGGTGATACTTGCATTGTAAATGGAGTTGTCTTTGTTCTGCTAACGGGTGATTTCGACATAAAATTTCTAAGTAAAAAGTGGCATCAATGTAAAAAAAATTAAAAATCGAATAAATATAATGTATTTCGTGAATAATTAAAATTCCGGGAATGTTTAATTTGTCACTTTTATGATTTTACGAGTGTTACTGAACTTTTTTAATATCATTGTTATATAGGTATGCTTTGAGTTATCTTGAAATCACATCAAATATGAGGGCGTCTTTAACCCGCCCCATATTAACGACTCAAAAGGTTCCCGAGTCAGCAAGAGCTAGCACTTCACAGCAACTAACTCCTGCGCAGTTATCATATAATCCATCACCAGAGGATTTGACTTTAATTTCGACCATTAAAAATCAATTTGAAGGCATTGTAGCAAAATCAATGAAAGTAATCGAAGAAAACGAAACAATATATGGAATTCAGACAACTTATCAAGATGTTGTTAAACAGACTTTAAATTCGTATCAAATCTTCTATAACGCAGCAAATACTTACTTTCAAAAGCATCAAACTCTTCGTTTAACAGCTGTTACAAACCAAGTTATTAGCTCAGCTTCGTGTAGAATTCCATCACAAAATTTTGGAAAAGATTGGAAAACATTTTCAAAACAAATAGATCTGCTTGCTGATTCCCACCCTCCACCGCACATCTCTGAGATACAAATTCGCTTTCAAAGTATTATATCTGCGATCGAAATCATCAATACAAGTAATTCACGTAGAAGGTACCCAAGTCTTACTCTTAATGGATGTGTTGGTAGTATTTTAAACTTAAATTCATCCCTTAAACAGAAAATAACGGATTTATTTTTACAGCCAATTTTCCCTAAATTTGAAGGAAATGTATTAAAATCCTATATTGATGAGATGCTAACATATAAGCAAGTGCTAACAGACGCGTTTTCTAATGAATTTGTGCAAAGTGGTATTATGCCTTGTGATCTCTCAAGAATTCGAGGTAATATATTCAATGATGTTGATGATATTGTCAATTTGATCAAAAGTTCATTTGTATTCCCTGATGAAATGAAAGAAATTCAATCTGAAAAAAATAATCTCGATAAAAATTTGATATCTGTATTTCAAAAGCTTTCAATACCATTTGCAGTTGTTAAGCCATTGAATCCTTTAGTTCCTACAAAGAAGCCTGCAGAAGAAACAGAAGAAGAAAAAGATAAAAAACCTGTTCAAGTTTCTGAAGAAGCTGAGTTGCTTCAATTCATTATTAATCAAATAGGTGATATAACAGGAAATGCTTTCAGTGAAACAAAGCGTGATGCTGTAAATGAAATTATTTCATATTATTTGAACCAAGAAACAATATTAGCTGGTAAAATAACAGAAACGACTAATCTCAAGAATATGTATGATACACAAAAACATCAGTCAGAAGAAGAAATTGAAATGTTAAAACAAAAATTAGAAGTTTTAACAAATCACTATGAGGAAATGAAGAAAGAGTTGGCAACTACAACATCAAAATTCCAGCAATATGAGAAGAAGGTAACAGAAAACGCAGACACAATGACAAATTTGCAAAATCAAATTGAAAATTTGACAAAACTTGGAAATCCTTTATACTTGAGAAAACATATCAGGAGAATACTAGAGTTGGAAAACGATCAATCAGCTGATGATGAATTAATTGAAAAACTTAAAGAATTAATTCATCAAATTAAAACGAAAAAATGCGATAAATGTGAAGTCAAAGATGCAAAAATATCAAATATTGAAGATAAACTCCATGAAGCTACAGGAAATGCTACAATTTCACCAATTGACGCAATCGAATATTTGAAAAATAAAATTTCTTCACTAAACTCTGAAATTGAAGCATTAAAACAAAGCGAAACAGAACTGCATAATGATCTCTATGGAATTGCTGTTAATGAATGCCAAACTCCAAGAATTAATGAGCAAAAAATTAATTCTATGACAGTTCCTCAAGTTTATGAACATATTATGCACAGAGTTAAGATATTAAAGAGGAATTCTGTGTCTGCTGAAGAAATGGCCCAAAGAATGTTCCAAGAATTTTACGAAAAACTTAATTCGGTCATAAAAAATTTTAATGAAATCACAAATGATGAAATAACTATTCCTCCAATTGGACAGACTGATGAAGAGAAAGAGGCATCAATTGCAAAGCTCATTGATATTTTAAAGTCATTGAAAATCTCAATAGACAAGAAAATTGAACTTCATTTACAAAAACAAGATGAATTGAACAAAGAAATACAAAGATTAGAATTAGAATTGGGAACAATCGGCAGCAAAATGTTGAACGCTTTGAACATCAAGACTGATCTAGCTAATAACAAAGAACTTGTTAATGTTGCTTTCAAAGCATTAAGTGATATTCAATCTCCTTATTTAGAGAAAATTGATTCACTTGAAAAACGCGTAAAAGAATTATCAGAAGGAGTTTCTTCAATTTACTCAAGAACAGTTTCTGTTTTCAAAGCAGATCCTAATGAGAAATCTGTTGATATCCAAATACAAACTATGCACAGTATATTTAACACATTAAATGACAGGTTCTCAGAGAAAAGAGTTGTTATAGAAAATTCGGAAAAAAGAATTGAATTTTTGAGATCTCAAATTTCATCAATTGTCATAAAAATGTGCAATGCTGTTGATGGAGATATAACTCAGGATCTTAATGAGTTGAATGACAATGAACTTATTGATGAACTGTTTAGATTCACACAGATTATGATCTCGCCAACTTATTCTGATTCATTTCTTTCTTCCGACCAATTAATGAAAACCCTTTCATCTGTTACTAAATATTTCACTGAAGAAAACGCAGGAAATCCTCTTGAATTCATCAAACTTATTGTCAAACGCTTCTCTGATCAGGAGAAGGCAATTAGTCTTGTTTCAAACTTAGATCCGATTGTAGAATCAATGCTTAGGAAAGTTTCCGAGCTTGAAAAGTATGAAAAACTATCTGACGCATTCCTCGACACAAGAAATCGATTAAATAGATTTAGAATGAAAGTTGAAAAGATTTCTCAAGTAACAAACCTTCCAGGGTTATTGCAAGTTATTAGGTCATTAGCGCTGTTAACAGATATGATTATTTTAGCGAATTTGTCTGAATAGAATTGTATTGTTTTGTATAAAAATTTTCTATCGATGTTAATTTTTAATATACTTGGAATATAGCTTTCCAAACTTCTATTTTTATAATCGAAAATCCAGAATTCCAGAATATGAAATCAATATTTTGATTTGAGGCAAAAATTATATAATTAAGTCTTATTCAATTAGGGCTGTACAAAATCGAGAAAAACATTGCCGTGCGGTAATATAGGGTCAAAAAAATCGCGCCTCGGCGGCTCCGCCGCCTCGGCACTATTAAGTGCGCATTATATTTAATATGTCCTTCTTTTTCTTCTTCTTCTTTTCCTTTCCTTCTTCCTCTCCTTCCTCTTCTTTCCTTCTCCTTCTCTTTTTACAACAACGTCGAAGATCTTCGAATTTGATTGTTGGAAAAGCATCTATTTCAGATAAAGGATGCCTTTCTCAGTTAGTATACAAGTCATGTGTACGGCGGCACTGCGTTCCACCTTACCCAATACTTGTGAATTTGACACTTTACAAACCCGCCAACCACTTCACTAACGAACTCACTAATGTAAAAAATAAACGTTCTCACTATCGTTCTCACTAACGACTTCACTAATGTTCTCATAAATTTTCCTCAATATCTTCATCATCAGTGTTAACCCTATTGTAGTCATACTTGAAGCCATAAACTTTCTCTAACTTCTTAACGTACAATTTACATAACTTACCTTCGTCATCGTATGGTTTAATGATATAACTATTTCTATCTTTATACACAGTCAATGAAAAGTCAACTGGTCTCGGATGTATTTGAAAGAACATGTTATGCTCAGGAAGGAAGAATAAATGTTTAAATGTATGTTTGTTATACTGTGGAATTCGAATGAGTTGCTTTTGTTCTGTCATTTACATCCAAATAAAAATTTTCAGTAAAATAAAAAATAAACTTAAAAATTAATGATATCACCACCCTCACACGTATGAAAACATAGCACAAAAATAAATTTAGGTGAAGTGGTGAGATCTCACCTCTTTTTTCACCTGTTTTTTCACCCTGTTGAATTCATTGCTTTATAACTCTCTTCCTTTCTCCAACTCTTCTAACTTCTTCTTAAGTTCAGCAATGTTGTCCTCATGAAGTTTAATCTTTCTCAAAATTCCTTCTTTATCTAATGGTTGCTTTATCTTTCTAAACTGAACTCTACCATCCTTCATAGTATGAATGTAAAAACCTTCTGGAATAGTTCCTGATTTAATGTATTCTACCAAAAACTTTTGTTTCATTGCTTCAGTGACTTTATTTGTCATTTCAATCAAATAAAAATTTTAATATTAAATAAAAATAACGTTATTTTTTCAGTAAGGAAACGCAGGAGTTTTACGATTTATTTGAGGAGTAGGTTCTGGTTTAAATGTTGGAGTCGGTTTAGGAGTTGACTTTTGAACAGGAGTTTGTACTTCCATAGGTTCAGGAGTCATTGAAGGTTTTGCTTGTGAAGGCGTTGGTTTTGGCGAAGGTGTTGGAGTTTGTTTAACTTCAGCTACTTCAGTATTATTTACAACATTTGCTTTTTTCTTTTCAACATCATAACTGCTCCTGCTGTAGCTAGCAAACCTAGTGGGAGACCATATCTTATATAAGGACTTGACCAAATGCTATTTTTGACAGGAGCTGGTGGAACACCTAACCTTGGTGAGACTGCTCTTTGCCATTGTGCAGCTCGTAAGAAATATTCAATAGGTGCTCCATAATCGTTTGGTAAAGTTTGTTTCATAGATGGTGAAGGTTCACGAGAGCTTGATGAAGAACTCATTTATAAGCTTTAAAAATAAACGTTCATCCTTTATTCCTCACTGTCGTCCGTAGCTAAGTTATAGTCATCTAATCTTATTATGGGATGCCATTAGCACGCACCTGAATGGCAAAGCAACAATCCCTCATAAATCCAATAAGTGGCTTTGGTACATTTTCAGTTGCTAGTTCAATAGGTCCTTTAACAGACAATTTGTATGTTATTGGAGCAGTAGATGTTTGACCTTGCTGGAAGCAAAAGTCCACTTCTGTTGGAAAACCACATAAGAAATGTGTGTTGTCATAGCTATCCCATTTATGTTCCACACTACCATCATCCACCAATGACCTCATAACATCTTCATTAAATCCTATCATATCATTGTTTGTATTGCAGCGTTCGCAACCATTTCATAAAATACAGGTCCATATGATTTTTCAGGTTCTGCAGGCATATTTCCATAAGCTCCCATGGAAAGCTGAAGATATTTAAACTTAGGGTTCTCAAAATTAACATAATAGTTGTCTTTCTTTCTAAATAGTGCCCAAATACTTTTAACATTAATAGGCGTATAAGCTGCTGTAAATGTTGCACTTGAACTATCTGTATTCTTTGAGAATGAACCGTCCATAGGAATCCAATCCATAACTTTAACAGGAAAACATAAAGCCTCGTTTGTATAATGTTCTACAAGTTCTGTATAAATGTTAGGGTCTAAAGAGAATGACTTTGGATGAATGAAACATTCATTAAAATCCATCTTTGTTCGAAATAGTTGCTGGGTTACAGTTGTAATAGTAACTGTTCCACTAGCTTCTACTGCCTTCGTTATCATAGTGAATGGTTCATTCCATGGAACAAATTTATTTGTCGGTGGATTTGAATCTGAAGCAAATGCAACTTTAAGAGTTGGATTGAAAGCAATGATATCATTTACAGATATAGATGTGCATTGTAAGGCGTCGCTACTGAACTTTACTTTAAGCTGAATGTTTCCTGCAAAAGCTGGAATAAATCGAATAGCTTCTAATGGAAGGAATCTTCTAACAGGAATTCTTAAACGAAGCTTAAAATCAAATGATTTTCCTGCTGTAATTGGACCACTAACAATTTGTCCTGTTCTGCATGTTCCCGAATGACTCCATACATCTTCATGTCGAGTCTTTGAGAAAACATCTACTTTCTTTATTTGTTCGGTAGTTTGTGAGTTTGAAGTTATATATGCTTCTTCTCTTGCGTTGTCTTGAGAATATACGATACGACCATTTGCAAGGATTTGATATCCAGCAACTGCATAGAAAGCGTCATCGAAACCAATCCAAAATCCTGGTGGGTTTGTTTTATTGGAACCTGAACCAATTTCTTTATCTACAATAAATTGACCTTCCATTTTATACGTAATGAATGTATTGTAAAGGTCCAACATATTTTCACCAGGAGGTGAGAGATTGAATGTTACCCATGTGTTATCTTTAGCAGTTCCAGGTTGTGATGGAATCTTTGCGTCAGAATATTTTCTATTAGTGTCACCAATTTGAACTGCATTGTCTATGATATCGAAATATGAGCGAATCTGATGAATATGCTCTGCTGGAGTAAATTCGTTTAGCTGTTCGTTCTGCATGTATTTACTTCAGATAAAAATATCTATTTACTTCATTATTCTCACTCTTCTTCTTGGCATTCGTGGTGGAAGTTGTTTCTTGACATTTTCAATGAACTGTACATTCTCTTTTGTCTCAACTTCTTTCACTGGCGGGTCAGGATTCTTTGACTCGGTTTGTTTTTCAATGAAATTCACGAACTTTGCAATAAGCTCTTGGTTCGTTATTGAAAGTACATCTGGCTTCTTTTCTTCTGGTTCTATTGCTCAGTTTGAACAGAAGGTTTTATATGGGCTTCGTGGACTTCACCCTTGCCATACCTTAATGTTGTCGCTTTCTGCATTCGCTAATGGAACCTTTCTTTTTCTTACGTATATTTTACCATCTTTACTCTGACTTACGTAATAGAAAGGATGTTGTATTCCTCTTGCGTCATTTAATATAATAGACTCTCGCTCTGATTTTGACAAGCTCATTTTACATCGGTTAAAGTTTTAATTTTGTTTTTTATCTGCAGTCAAATGACTCAGACAAGCCCCACGGACAAGACCCAAGAGGTCATAGATGTTGAAGCATTGAAGAAAGAAATTCGTGAGCAAATTTTATCCGAACTGAAGGAACAAAAACAAGAACAAAAGCCAGAGAGACCAAAGAGAAAACTTAGTGAAAAACAACATGCTGCATTAGCTGCTGGAAGACAAAAGAACCCACGTTTGCTGGCGAAGAAAGCTAGAGAAGAAGCTGAAGCAAAAGCTAAGAAGAAGCTGAAGCAAAGAAAGAGTAAATGGTTTATTTTTATCCGAACTAAATGTATAGACAAATACCTTTATCTGTTGCGTTCAGTAGTGAAAACCCCGACGTCAAAATAAAGGGGAACAGAGTAACGTTTAAGTTTCCAACAGACTGGATTATGAACATAAATGAAGAGAAGTACATTGGCATAACATCTATGTATATAACACGTGCTTTCAGAAAGGTTGACTTTATACTTCAAGTCGAGATAGAAAATGACGAACAGTCTTTAAGCGCCCAAAACATTCACATATACAAATACTTTAAAGACGATACAACGTTGCAACAATGTATGATTTCATTTAATGAGATGTTCGAGAAAAAGTTCAACATTGAAGTACAAACTTTACAGCCTTTACGTGAGTTTCTTGCACAACTGAAAGAAGAAGGTAGTCAGCCACAACTTATAGACTTTCATTATGAATTTAATGAAAATGAAGATGGAACACATGACTGTCAATTCATTGTATTCTCACCATTCAATGAAGTCGCTAAAGAAAAGAAAATCCATTACGTATAAGATTTCAAATCTCTGAACCAAGTGATGATTTCAAGAATGTTTTCAATTATGATGCAATGCTTCCGAGGAAAAATGAATTTTCGAAATTAGATTTCCAGGCATTTGGGATAGAAAGCAAGCTATATTATATTCAAACTTAAGTAAGGGAGTTGAAAATGAGTTCATTGGTCATACAAGAACTTCACCACTTCCTAACCCTAAATACTATAAATTAACTGGCTTCAATCGTGAGTTTTGGATAGACATGTTCTCCACTCATGACCATAACTGCCCAGTGTTCTTACCTCCAGACCATAAGGACTGTCTCTACATTGAAGCACAACTCTTAAACTCTACCATCGCAGTATTGTAAATGACCACATGGGCTTCGCCCTTGCCGCTAGTTTATTTTTATCACGAATGACCTCATTGCTGACAAAAATAAATGACCTCAGAACTTCAACTTACGAATAAAGCTTGTTTTAGTCGTTATTGAGAGGTTAAACTTCTCTTCAAAGCAAGGTTGACATGACTTACATAAGTCAAATCCAATCTCTTGACCGTCATAAAGTGCTTTGTAAAGTTTCATTAAACTGAACTCAGAGTCTTTGTCATATGTTCCTTGCGGAACCATTAAACCTTTATCTTCATCATAGAAACACTGAACAGAGTCAGGAAACATTTCATTAGCGGTTAAAGCAATAACATCTTGCTTCACGCCTTTCATTCTGCAGTGAAATGCAACTTCATTTAAATCATTCGTGAGTAAGTCTATGTAAGTCTTCTTTCCACAAAATATTGACTTGTATGCTAAACTTTGTTTTCTTTTGTGATTTCTGCAAAGTCGCTATGAAATTGACCAAGGTTTTTACCAATGAGAACTCTTCCATAACGTTTCTCAAACTCTTCAGCTAAACGAGGGATATCTTCATTGTAGAGATGCATACTGTCCGTATCGCTATAAAAGATGTCCATTCCTAAGTCCTCAGCAGTACAGAATACTTCACACATTATTCTCTTCGACATAGACAGAATGTTAACACCAAGTGGACAGAAGTTAAAGTGTCTGCAAATGCTTTTCGTTAGCTTGAAAATAGTTTTATCTGAACCATCCAAACCTTCGAACTTCACTATATGGTTGTAGTTTCTGATGGCATATCTTATAGCATCTTTGTCATTTACTATGGTTATTTTTGACTCAATAGGAGATAGAATAGTTTTGCCATAAATACTGTTCAGAATGAGCTTTATATTTTCTTGCAAAGGATTTCCTTCTTTCTTATACTTTAACCTTAACTCAAACAACTTCTTTACTTCATCTCTTATTCTAATATCTCTGTTTCCATCGTAATAGTATCCTTGCAACACTTCACATTTGACACCTTGATATTTTATGAGGTCTTGTAATGTTATATGGTCAACATACATTAAACAGCAAGTGTTTGAACTTCTGGGAACGTTAAGTTCTGGATTTAGTTCAGGGTCACAAACTATTAAAGGAAAGTGTCTATGTATTCCAATCTCTGTTATCTTAATGAGAACAAAGAAGCCAGACATAAACTTTTCACCAATGGGTTCCTTTTGGTCGTCATCGAATAAATGTCTCATGAGATACTCTGTGCTTAACATTTCTTTCTTCATAACCTTTGGAATACCTTCTAAAGTATAAAGTCTTGCTATAGCTGATGGATATAATGAAACAGCGTCGAAGTCAGCAATGAGTTTCTTTTCGCTCTTTTGTTTAATGTTATCTGACAGCATACATCTTCCACCTTGAATACAGCGTGAAATAAATTCTCTTGGTTTATTTGAGAGGTCATATAAATTTCCATTCGGGAAGTACACTCTGTTCTCAAACAATTTGTTAGCAATTGAACAAATACTAACGTAGTCATAAACGTTTAAATCAAATTCTTTCAATATGTCATTGCGGAACTTAACAAAACCTTCTCTTAAAATTCTTACATCTTGTTTGCAATAAAATGTGCTATACTTTTCTAAGTCGAAGTGGTTCTCATCTATTCTGCAACCTTTGATGGAATCTATGTTTTTCATGAATGTATCTGCATCCCGGATAAACTTACATGCTTCAGAAATGACACCAGTTCTGTTGTCATTTGCTAACAAAACACTGCTGTAGTAGTTGTATGGAAATACTTCTTTCGGTCCTGTTTGTAAGTTAAACATAGCAGGAAATAGTTTAAGCTTCTTATTTATAACACTGTAAGAGTCTTTTATAATAATTGCCCTTCCTTTATATAAGCCAGTTATTTGCATTGTTCGTGAACCTTTAATGATGGGAGTTCCTTTCACTTCTGTCATGTGTCTTAAGATGAAGTTTATATCATAACTGAGGTTATGGAAATATATTAAACTCTTGTCAGGAAGTCGTTCCAAAAATTCTGTTGCACAGTTCTGACCCCAAATGCTTTCACTCACTGAACCATCTTCACTGTCATAACAAATGTTAAAGGCTTTATGAACTCCATCAGTGCTACACTCAAAGTCAGCAAAGAAAACGTGCTCAGGAATGAACTTGCACTTATTTTTATTTACTTCTTTTGACTCGGCTTTCTTCTTCAGTTGTACACAATACTTTGGAGCATATGTCAAATCTTTAAATGGTGCAAGGTTCTGTTTATATAAGTCAGTCGTATATGTGAAAAGTTCTCCATAAGAAATAGGTTCGAAATATTTGCACTCCCACAATGTTTTCATAACATCCCATAACGGTGTTGTTCTATCATAACGAACTACATATTTATCTTCTCTCTTTGTATAAATCTTCATTTGTTTCTCAATGTTCATTCCACCACACTCCTTCAAGATTTCTATATAGTTGCGAATGAAATATGTTGTCATTGGTAATCTTTCATTTAGCATGTAGTGGTCTTCAACAAGAAGTAAGTCAATAGTTCGAACAGTTTCACATTCTTTTGGTATGTATCTCTTTATTTCATTATGTCTTGAGTCATTGAAATAACCAATGGTAACATTAAATGCTATACCTGTTGCGTCAGAAATTTCTTGTACTTTACTTTGAGGAAAGTCTCTAACACGAATGACTTCTCTCATGTGGTCAATAGTTTCTTCATTACTCCAGCCTGAATGCAAGCATAAACGAAACAATTGTCTTCTGTCATAAGTGCTGCAGTTCTTTTGTTCATTCATTGAAGATTTGGTAGCGTTCAAGATTTATAGGTAATGTGCAAAGATACTTCCAGAACTGACCGCTTCTCTTCTTATAAAACTTCTTTTCACCATTATCTTTCCAAAAGCTTTCTATAAGTGCTGGGTTTCCTGTTTGCTTAAGAGCTTCCAAAATGGCTTTCTGGTCATTTGTCAGTGTGCTTTCATCTCTATATGGTCTCTTTTTTGGTTTGCCTTTCTTTACATCTGACATCGTTAAGCCTTCATATTCTGTTAAATCATACATCTTTATTTCGGTAAGATTCTTTATGTTTGTCAAGAAGAAGTCATAGTGCATTTCAACAATACCTGCAGCATTTGCTTCTATCTCTGATATAAAGTTCTCCTTCAAGAGCTGATGTAGTAATGTTCCAATATTATTGAGGTTTAACGTAGAACATTCATACTTTCCACCAAGTTTATAACATACCATCCATCTCTGTTGTGAGTTTATTTTAATTTTCTCTAAGAGTCTCATGAAAACCTTACCGAAATGTTTGTGTAAGTAGTCTCTGTTTGGTTCATCTAAAGCTTCGATGTTAAAGTCAATGAGTCTATTGCCTGACTTCACATTTCTCTTCCTATTCTCTTCATCTTTCTTTAACCATCTCTCACCTTCTTTTGGTTTGTCGTCAATGGAACGAATGACATCGTTAGCTTTGCGAACTTGTTCTATAGCGCTCTTAAACATCTCTCTTCTCTGTTGTTTCAGTGTGTCGTCTCTTCTTCTTGTTTCACCAACGTTTGCATTTGTTATGTCAAACATTTCTCTTCTTACTTCATGAGGTACTGAACGTCTATGATATAAGTCAATAGCAACGTCATTTAAAGGAAATGCTCTTGCATGGACTTCGTCCTCGCCGCGTTGCGGCTTTATGAACTCATGAATTCTATCATAACTTATTGCACCATTATAGTCTTTAATGAAGTCAGCGAGTGCTTTTTTGTTTGTTGCGTAATGCTTTGCAACATCTATATTAGCTTCTGTAAGAAGTTGTTTTATTTCCGAGTGTTCTAACTTAGACAACTTCCGATACATCTTTAGTAGGAAATAAAAAAATATTTTTTGAAAAAATTAGATTAGATTTTTTAAGTTATTTTTCAAAATAATTTAATATTTTTATTTTAATGAAACACATGCAAGATTGCAAGTTCTTTTCATACAATGCTCTCGCTACTGCCATCAAGAATGAGTTCAATAATGCTTCAAATGTTAATGTTATCTTTAACAAGAAGTTTGTGAAAGAATCTAAGTTTGGTCAGTATGTCAGACCATTAGCTATCGTCATTGACCGCAAACGTTATACTTCACAAGAGTTAGCAGTAGTTTTGAAACAAAAGAGTTTCTTCGTGAATGTCAAAGATACTCATTATACTGTTATAAAGAACTCTAATATTGACTTCTTCAGTATTGCTTTAAATCTTTCCGAACAGAAAGAATATAAGAAGGGTGAAACAAATGTGAAATATTATCCTTCATCTCTGAAGACAATAACGAACAAAGATGTTATACAGAAATTCTTACCAAAGGTTGAAGAAGCTTCTATTGACATTGACGAAGGAAGTGAAATGGTTGAAGAAATAGACCCTGAAGCTATTTAAGCAAAAATATATTTTTGGTTAGTCTTCATATCGATATTTTACAACAATTCCCCAATGTATAAAATACGCTTTTTCATAAGCTTTATATACCTTCAGAAATTTTGCATAATCTTTAGAAGCATTTAGATATTGTTTAAATGCTTTGTATGTCTTCAGAAATTTTGCATAATCTTTTACATGTTGTTCGTTCTCTTCTTCTGTCATGAGTTCCGAATATTCTAAATTCATGTTCTTTCATATGAGATAAAATTTTATAAAAAAAATAAAATTAGCTTAGATTTTTTTATTCTTCCTCTTTGAAGTTATCGAAATATTCTGTTATTTTTTCCTTCAGTAATGTTAAGTCTTCTTTGAATGTAAGTATTGTGCAACCTTTGATGTCATAGTGTGTTTGAGGAAGAGTATTTTTGACAATTTCCTTTATTTGCTCATTCGGTGTCATTGAAATCGGTAAGTTTTCACGATAGAACCAGTTTCTGTCAGATTTGTATATTTTAGCTAAGTCGTAAAAGCTCTTGTTGTTTCTTCTGACTAAATGCAACATAACCATATCTTTATCTTCTTCTTTCTCCAACTCTTCAGTATATATCATATACTTATAACTCTTTTCCTTTCCTTTTGGTACTGAACGCGGTATTCTTTTCTGTATGCTTTTGTCTTTGGATTCAATGACTTCATCTTTTGCTTGAAGTTTCTTTTCCATCTCTCCACGTTCTGCTTTATATAGTTCATCTAACATCATGAAAATATAACAAGCATAACGAGGTGAAGCCCATATTGCTACAGCGTTTACTAAAAGTCTATGAACATAATAACCTTTCAAACCAGGAGCCAAATTCTTGCGATTTTCGTACGGAATCTCTTCTCTCGGTTTTCCGAGGGAAGCAATCATATGAGGAAATTCTTCTAAAAGTTCTTTTGTCTGTTGGTTTTCAAACCAATGATATGCTTGCTTTGTAGAACGAAGAGCATTCATTATACTTTGCATTTGGTACATGTCATCTTTGACTGAACGAATGAGACGTAACTGTTTGTTATACTGTATGTACTCGTATTCTTCATTTATAGCTTCATGGACTATAACTGTTGTTGTGTTCTCTGATGTTGTCATTACTGTCTTTACATACAAAATAAAAAAATAAATAAAAATAAAACTAACTTTATTTTCTGACTTTCACAAAAGACCAAAAATAAACGCTTTACATGTATTTTTCAGCAACTTCGTCAAATAATTTTATAGCTTTATCTATCTCATCTACTTCAAACGTTTCTTTACCTTTCGTGGGAGCACCATACATTTTCTCAAAAACTTCAAGCAGTTCTGTTTCAGCAGCTCTCATATCATTAACAAACACAACCTTGACTCTATTGACTGTACTGTCATATCTTTGAGTTATATTATATGTCCTTCCTATCTTATATCTTTTTGTGTTGAAGTCCTTCGGTTTCTGAACGATGTAAAGTAAGCCTTCACTGCAACGTTCCGTATCGAATGAACCATATGTTATGAAGTTATATCCAACAACTGGGTCTAACCATAACAAAACTATTGGTATAAGACTTTTGTCTATAAGATATGCTCTTGTTCCATGAAATGCTACTGATATCATAAGCTCAGGATTTCTTGTCAAAATTTTCTGAGTTGAAGCATTTCTAACCCAGTCGTTTGTTTTCTTTCCAGATGGAGATATAATGTCTGACAAAGAATATTTGTTGTATTTCTTTGAGTATCTTACGTTTAAATCACCTATTCTAACCACTTTGGTGTCATTGTCTATCTTTCTAACTGTTTCAAACTCAATGTTTGTCATTACTGTCTTTACATACAAAATAACTAATGAAATTCATTATTTTTGTGCTGAATTCAATAAAAATAATGTTGAGGTGAAGAGGTGAGATCTCACCTGTTTTTCACCTGTTTTTTCACCTTTTTCACAAGCGTTTTACATGAATTGTACGATGTATATTTGAAATCCTAAACAATTTCGTAGCTTCTATTTCTTCTTTTAGTACATCAAAAGTTTTAACAATGCCGAAGGTTTCTTTATATTTCTTCTTGACGTCAGACAGAAGGAAATCTTCTGCTGTTGGATAGTTTTTATTAAGAAATGTCAACATATCCATTTTATCTTCTGCTGGCTTTTCTGCTTCTTTCTTTAAGTCTGCATAGTCGTTTCGCATTCTTTCTATCTCTTTGACTGAGTAGTTATATTTCTTATTGCTGCTTTACATTTTGAACATTGCGGCATCGTTTTTGCGTTATACATTGAAATAAACCAGCTAGAACAACTAAGGCGTCAATGGTTTTCTTTAACTCAAAGCTGCTGGTTTTATCTGTTCATTCCATACCTTACCTCTTCTATCTTTATCTCTTATCTGCCATACACATTTTGCAACTAATGAAACAAAGTTATCGTATGTCTTAAATTCTTCGGATTTGTAAAGGTCAGAAATATTTTATAAACCATGTCGCAATCTTTGTCCATAACTTTATGGTTGCAATGAAAACCAAGGAATTCATAATTTACTTTACGTATGAATTTCTTAATTTCTACTGAGTCAGTTGCTTTGACTTCAATTTCGTCGAATTCAGGAATAGTTAGTTTTTGCTGCTGAATTTCAGGTAGTTTAGGCAAATGGTCGATGAGGTCCTCCATTTCATAAAGATACTGTTCATTTGTTTCATCTTTCGCACTACAGTCTAAATTACTTGTTAAAAGTTCTTGCTTTATCTTCTGGATTTCTGTTTCAAAAGTATATGAAGAAGGAATAAAGCTTTTCATCTCTACCAACATTGACGTAGGATTCATGACTAGCGAGTTTGGTGCTGTAGTTGTTTGAATTGTTGTTGTGCCGATTGTTGAAATCATATCTTTTATACAAAATAAAAAATAAATAAAAATAAAACTAACTTTATTTTTTCTATCTTAAGGAAATTCATGAAAATTCACGAGGGTGAAAAAACAGGTGAAAAAAAAGGTGAGATCTTACCTCTTCACCTAAATTATATTTTTGGTCATGGACGTCGTCCTCGCCGCTTTGCGTTTTTATGTTAAAATAAATGGTACCATTAATGATATCATGACTGTTCTCATTCATGTCTGATTTACATCTAATGAAAAAGTTTAGAAGAATTTTCTTATTCTTTCTGGCTTATTTTTGTCTTTCCAGTACTCCCGCTCTAATGGTCCCAGATGTGTTGGCTTTGACTCTCTCAAGTTCTTAGATGGTATAACATCTTCAACGCCTCCTTCATATCTTACTTTATAAGTGTCATCGTTTATGTTATAGCCAAGTATTTCAATAACCACTCCTCGCTTTGCTTCGTCAATGGTTTCAGCAAGTTTGCCATTACTACTTTCGACTAATTTGTGACGAGGGTAAAACGCAAGAGTCGTCAGCAGCTTTTATAAGATATCCATTACCTTGCGTAGAGTCTACGATATAATAGTTTCTACTTAACCTTAAACGTTTCTTTGTCAACGGTTTGTTCAAGAACTACACGAACTTTTGTACCAGGAATGAGGGTAAATTGTGTTGAATTTCTGATATTTTGTGTTTGGCTTCGTTTCTTTTGTATATACTTTTCTTCTTGTTGTTGTGTCATTGAATTTGGTGTATGCCCTGTTGTAGAATGTGTTGAGGAATTATATACTTCGAGAAAATGTTTCATTGTTTCTTCGGTAAAGTCTCGCTCTTGGTTTAAATCTCTGAGCGTTCTTATGAAGCGGTTTATGATGCGAGTATGTTATGGTTATGGTCTTCAGTAGTGTAGTGAGTTATGTTATGCTTAATGAGAAAATCTGTGATTTCATTGCTGAGGTATGCACTGTCTTGGTCTGATGTTAAAGTACTTGGGCTATGTTCTGCTACAAACTTTTGTAAAACTCTTAACACTTCACGAGTTCCTTTATTTTTCATTGGATATGCATATGCTTTACGAGTGTTAACATTAATGAAGATGAGGAATGGTTTATGTCCTCCTTTTCTGCTTTGAATGAGAGTGTCAAATTGGTATGCGTCAGGAGTTGGAGTAAATTGGTAAAAAGTAGTCGTAAGGGTTTATTTTTGTTTGATGTACAACATTTTTGTCAAAGAACCTTTTCACTTCAGCTCTGTTAGTAAATCCCCAACTCTTTGCAGCTTCATTGAACTTCTTAAATG